TGGCCCAATATCATGACCCTGGACCATTTGGTTATTGAGATGTCGTTGATATATTTTACTACATTTGACCCCTGTGACCTTGAAAATAGGTCAGGGTATTAATTTTATTCAGGAAACCTAAAATGCTGTAAAAACAAAGGGCAATTTATGAAAACACTACCTCATGTTATGGTTTTATTGATAATCAAGTTTCAAAGAAATTGGTGAAAGGTTGAATTACTGTTAAACAAAGGAAAATAGCTCTTGAATAATTCCAATTCCAGTTAAGAGAACTCACTTTTGTAATGTAATAGTTCTAACGTAAATCAGGATTCGGATAAATCGGCTAAAAATGAGGGAGTGCAAGATTAAAATGCTAAAAAAACACAAAGGGCAAGAACTCTTTCAAAAAAATGTTCAATCGAAAAACCTTTTTTTCCCGATTTTTCATTAAAAAAAAACCCTGCAAGATTTAAAAGAAATCCAATAAAAACCGAGAGAGGACATCTCTGGACAAGATTAACATTATGAAAGCAACATGAGACATCAACTTTTCCCAATACAGTCGAATTTTAACTGCTGTTCAAGGAACACAACTTCATGCCTTGTTGATTGAACTTACTAAGTTTGAAAGCGACCTGTTGAAACCTGTGGGAGATCTCGTGACGAATAAAAGTTTATGACAGACTGACAATACCATTCTGAAATACGTCCTGTCATTTTTGAGGGCTACATGAACAATGTCAATTTTAAGCGTAAAGTGATTGCGTGCCCCTCCATCATATACATGTACCATAATGTCATATTTATGTGATGAACTGATCTGATAATACACGTAATCATCGGTTTTGAACCATTCTGTAAAAAAGAATGTCACATCCTTGTCTAAATCAACTGAAACTTGTGACTCTGTGGTTCAGTAATCAACTGAATCTCTCTCACGTCATCCGGGACCTCGCGTCACACATCAATGCCATGCTTGTAGTTTCAGCGTCACACATCAATGCCTTGTTTGTAGTTTCAGCGTCACACATCAATGTCATGGTTGTAGTTTCAGAGTCACACATCAATGCCTTGTTTGTAGTTTCAGCGTCACACATCAATGCCTTGTTTGTAGTTTCAGCGTCACACATCAATGCCTTGTTTGTAGTTTCAGCGTCACACATCAATGTCATGGTTGTAGTTTCAGCGTCACACATCAATGCCTTGTTTGTAGTTTCAGCGTCACACATCAATGCCTTGTTTGCAGTTTCAGCGTCACACATCAATGTCATGGTTGTAGTTTCAGAGTCACACATCAATGCCTTGTTTGTAGTTTCAGCGTCACACATCAATGTCATGGTTGTAGTTTCAGCGTCACACATCAATGCCTTGTTTGTAGTTTCAGCGTCACACATCAATGCCTTGTTTGCAGTTTCAGCGTCACACATCAATGTCATGGTTGTAGTTTCAGAGTCACACATCAATGCCTTGTTTGTAGTTTCAGCGTCACACATCAATGTCATGGTTGTAGTTTCAGCGTCACACATCAATGCCTTGTTTGTAGTTTCAGCGTCACACATCAATGCCTTGTTTGCAGTTTCAGCGTCACACATCAATGCCTTGTTTGTAGTTTCAGCGTCACACATCAATGCCTTGTTTGTAGTTTCAGCGTCACACATCAATGCCTTGTTTGTAGTTTCAGAGTCACACATCAATGCCTTGTTTGCAGTTTCAATCAGCAAACTAATAGGTTATGTGAAGGTGTTGGTCACTGATGACATGGTTACTAACATAGACCTATATTGCTTTGCAATGATATCAACCTAGGGGCTCAAATCAGGCTAACTAGTTCAATCTTACATCGAGAGAGTCGATTTTTACGTGAACTGCCAACACCGAATACGTTTTTTCTATGTCGTCATTCAGAAATATTCATTGTTAGAAATCAAGACAGACTTAAGTTTGTGTCTTTAGTTTCCAGGTGCCTTTGGGTTATGTCCCCTGTAAAAGACATACATATGCAATAACAGGAAGTGTCATTACAGAGACATGTCGGTACCATCGAGGAACCAAAATTTGCCTGTCCATTAATTAAACTGTGGTATATGACATCGACCGGTCTACTGAACCAAACCAGGTCCAAATCAAGGGCCATGGCTGTTCAAGGACTCATCCTATTTGAATGCCTGCACTATTTGGTTTTGTTTGGAAATTATTGTATGAATGAAAACCAAAAACATAAATCAAAATGTACAAATATAGATTACGATTTCGACGAAAACGTGATCATACAAGTAAACATTCACGACACAAACATGATCACACAAGTAAACATTCACGACGCAAACATGATCACACAAGTAAACATTCACGACACAAACATGATCACACAAGTAAACATTCACGACGCAAACATGATCATACAAGTAAACATTAACAACACAAACATGATCATACAAGTAAACATTCAGGAGGCAAACATGATCATGCAAGTAAACATTCAGGAGGCAAACATGATCATACAAGTAAACATTCACGACGCAAACATGATCATACAAGTAAACATTCACGACACAAACATGATCATACAAGTAAACATTCACGACGCAAATATGATCATACAAGTAAACATTCACGACACAAACATGATCATACAAGTAAACATTCACGACGCAAACATGATCATACAAGTAAACATTCACGACGCAAATATGATCATACAAGTAAACATTCACGACACAAAATGATCATACAAGTAAACATTCACGACGCAAACATGATCATACGAGTAAACATTCACGACACAAACATGATCATACAAGTAAACATTCACGACACAAACATCACAACAATGACAAATATTTTATCTTACTACTTACACGAAAACAACCCTACGTGATAAATAAGTAAAATTTGTTTATTCTTGGCACGTCCTGGTGAAAAAATAAATGTATTAAAAAGAACAACTTTTCTTTTGGTGTTTTGTCATATAATGTACATGTTTAACTTCTCTCATTAGTATGGGTATCACTTACGTGGAAGTGCTGATAGACATAGCTTTTAACGCCGTATCATACGACAGAATCCCTAGTTGTAAATAACATTTGTAAGATTAGGTCGGGATGGTTGGTGGGCGGGTGGGGGGAGGAGGAAGGCTATGCAACTGGCGAATATCTTACAGATTACACCTAAGAAAGAAAGCTCTGGGCATCCTAGTCCTGGGCAATTAAGATTGTACCTTAAAAATTCTTAGACGGGAACAAATTAAGTAGTCTGCATGATATTAGTCAAGAAAGGTTATCGATACCGGGGCAAATGATTGGAGAGCAATCAGAAAATGGCAAACTTCCGTCTGGTACAGGTGTATAATATACAACATCTAGTTAGTGCTTTTATATCCAAGATTACAAGAAATCGTGCATACATTTGGTTGATGCCGGTTAAGAAGCAGTTAAAATCAAGGGTGAAAGTTTAAATGACTTAAAGAGCTTCTTTATCAAAGACAAGAACAAAAGAGTGTGCGCTGTTCTTCAAAAAATTCCATTCAAACCTCATTATTTTGTTTATGAAATGATATCATGTATCATGTTTCATAGTAGTTTGTGGAACAAGAGTTTAAAAAGCGCCAGGAAACAGCAAACTAAAGGACATACAGTTGTACAGTAGAAACTCGAACTGGTACAACTTATACAACAAGAGTAACAAGGTAAAAAGTAACAAAGAGACAAACAAAATCTGATAAAATCACCCAGTTTAGGATCTCTCCCATGATCCTGTGGTGGTGGTGATTTGAACATTTAGCTCTAACCTATGGCCATCCGACATATCATAGCAATTTCTTAAGGAAGAGATAGAATTTAAGGAACTTAAGAATTGGACATGGCTCACGAAACTAGAACACCAATGGAAAGCTCCCTTACAAAGACAAGGGTGCAGATTTTATATCTGGATCTAGAAAGTGTACTAGAATGGGATGATTGTGGCTGCCACCTTCTCCTTTCTCTCCACCTCCACTTTAATCTCATGGGGAGAGCTATCATATGCTATGGGTGTTGTTCAACTCCTTTTGTCAGTAAAATCATGACAATAACATATTCTGAAATACAAAGAGATCCCAGAGGGATCTTGGTGCCCACCATTTGAGGATCTGTTTTCAGTTCTTGAAGATTTATTTTTTTTTTTTTTGTGTTACAGGTTTTGTAAATGTTCATGAACTGGTCTTCATTGAATGTACTCATTGATGGCACAAGATATTTTGATTAAGCACCTATTAGCAAATATCATTTGAAAAAGATCCTAAAGTATTATTAGATAGCAGTCAGTTACAGGTGGATAATGGACATGGTCTTGAATCAATATGATAGAATATCAAAGAAAATATGGTTGTGCTGTATTACTGTCGACATCCAAGATGGTTGCCTGTGGGCCAACTTGATTTCAAATCAGTCCAAAAAAGGTACAATGCACAACTAGGGACCAAGGGAAACTTGCATATGAAATTTGAGAAAGATCCATCCAGTACTTTCCCAGAAATAGCGGTAACAAACTTTCATTTTCAAAATCCAAGATGGCCGCCTGTCAGCCATCTTGAATTTGAATCAGTCCATAAAAGGTACAATGCACAACTAGGGACCAAGGGGATAGTGCATATGAAATTTGAGAAAGATCCATTTAGTACTTTCCCAGAAATAGCAGTAACAAGAATTGTTTATGGACAGACGGACCACAGACGCAGGGCGATTTGAATACCCCACCATCTGATGATGGTGGGCTAAGAAACAAAATGTTGTATGTTTCATATCAAACGATTTCACCTCTTATGGAAATATTTCCAGAATGTATTACTATTTCACTTCCTCTTAATTGTTGTGAATTCAATTCATCTAAACTGGGAATGACTCTAGTCTTTAATAAATATAAGATAATGCAACTTTTAAAAGAAGACATTATGCAGCTGATATAATTCTAAAAATGGGCATTGTAACAATAAGTAATAAAACACTTTACTGTTGCAGACAAACTTAAGAAAATCTGACAAATATTGGTCACATTTTATTCATATAGAATTGTAAGAATAAAGTTCATTTGTATTCTGCTAAAACAGATATGTTATATATTAAGATTTCAATGCTGTAGTTACAATGTAGATATTATTAAAATCATTCTGTGTTCTTTACACAAGAAAGAACAGTAAAACAACAATACTATGTGGTTATCATATCACTTAGTGGTGTTGTAGTCTCCTTGCTAGGAAGTTTATCAGTCTCAAAAACCTGACAATGCTTCACAAATAATTTCATTCATTTAAATAATTTTTTTACATCATTTACATCAACTTTATCATCACAATTAAATACTTCCATTCTTTGCAACACATTCTCATTTAACACTCATCATAATACTGATATATTTTAAGTCTGTTTCATTTTCTTTTCTGGATCATAAATAAATCGCTTAAATGTAAGGAGGATTTTGACTGGTTCTTGATCAGTCTCTCCTTCAGTTTGATTGGTTGAATCCTCTGATGCCTGTTTGCCCTTTCCTTTTTTCTTTGTTCCAGAATACCTTTGGAATGTGCTGGGTTGAAGTCCCCCTATAAATAAACAGATTTAAATTTAACACTTTCAGTAAAATATCAAGAATCTGTCATGAAATAAGAGCTATTTTCACAGAAATTAAAAGCTTCAAAACAATTTAATTCATTAACCACGGAACTTGATAGTGTTATTGGCACTGTCAAGATGATTACCCATGGCATATAAAATAAAATTAAAATCCTGCTGAGTCAATTGTTAAGAATCTGAAATAAAATTTACCTTTCTGCCAGTAGATTATTTTCTTTATTCCCACTGAAATTGTGCAAGTTTTTTCCAATATTTAAGTAATTGTTTTTTTGGTTTTTTTTGAAAAGGTTAAACCAATATACTTAAAGTTAAATTGTCACATTATATCTCTGGAAAAAAGTTTATTGACCATAACCAAACCAGAACTTGACCGGCCTATTTTATTACAAAACTACATGCAAAATTACATTATTACTTAAATGTAAATGCTCAGAAATGAAACTATGATCGAATGACAGACATAGACAAAATCTAATACCCCAACCATAAAATGGTGAGGACATGAAAACAACAGTTATTGGTGTTTTACTAGTAAAACTATAGATGACTATGGTAATGAGAGTAATTGATCAGAAATTCACAACATTCCAGAACTTAGATGTACAATATAAGTCTAATATCAAAGGAAAAATCTGTGCTGATATTTATAATACGTCTACAATAATGGCATTACATAGCAACAACACACATCTACATCTACAAATATTTCATGTGTAGTCCTTTCCTCCCTTAAAATTGCTGGTGCCCTGTACCTACCTGGAATTCTGATTTTTACTTTTTCCTTGGATCTGGTGCCCTGCACCTACCTGGGATTCTGATTTTGACCTTTGACCTGGTATTCTGTACCCACCTGGAATTCCAATTTTGACCATTCCATGTTAACCTAGTGGTCCATTCTTACCTGGAACTCTGATTTTGACCTTTCCACTTTGACCAAATCCTCCCTCAATGTGACCTTTCTCCCCAGATGACAATGTCACTTTCAGGTTGACAAATGCCTGCAGGTTTGTCTCCTTCTTGAACAGATTTTTTCCTATCACAGAATATTCATCCTGACATCGCTCCACTTGACCTTCACGGACTTTTACCTTGTAAACCTTAAGCTTAGGTAAAACTGTTTTCATTTCTGAATCATCAACAATGCCTTCCAGTAGATGGCCATGAAAGGCAATTCGGCACATGTTGGTGTGAATATCTGTATCCAGCTTTGAGCCAATCACAAGCGAGTTTTGGGGACATGTGACTGGTTTTTCGTACTCAATCAAAGCAAACTGTTTCACTGGTAGAGGTTCTGTATCACTTTCTGCTCCAATATCCTTTTTCGTAATTTTTACATTTATCAACTCATCCTGATAAACATATTCCTGGCTAAAGTCAAAAGGTTTGGAGGTAGAATCTGGTGTGTCACCTTGAGCGCCAGTAGATGTGTTACCATAGAGACCAAAGAAGGAAACTCGTCCCATAACAGTGTCATGTCCGGTGGTAATGTGGAACTTAGCCTTTGAGTTAATGGCACCTTTGTAGTAGGTGATGCGTTCAATGGCCACAACTGCTGCTGATATTGTAGGCAAGGCTCCTGGACTGCACACCAATCCACGTTCCAACAGTTTGGGGTCAAACTGGGTCACACAAACACCTGCTCTGTCACCCTATAGTGATATACAGTAAGTTTACAGGTGTTATTGTAAGTAAAGCATGGAAAGTGATAGGGTTGATATCAAACAGGTTTCACAGCAAATAAATAAAAGATAATCCTAAGTGTAATTAATTTCTTGAACAGAATTGGGGATATTTTTCCTTTGGAAAAACAGCTTTTTCAAACAGTAACAATAGACAAAAGAGCATGTCGTTTTATCAGGTATATATAAAGCAAGCACATATTAAAGATAATATCTTGGCATGTTGTCAGGTACAGTTTGAAAGAACATTATAACTTTTGGTACTTTCATTCTAGAAGGATAAATCTTTATAAACATTCATAATTTCTATACTTAATTCATCACATCAATTCAAGAGATTTTGTAATGATTTTAATACTGATACCTAGGGTAGGATTTTCTGTGAATTTTCTCACCTGCGATATCTGGTCAATCGGTCGTTTGAACATCTGGATGGATTTCACTTTTTTCGTTACTTTCATAGATGGGATTTCTATTGTCTAAATAGAAAATATGACATATAACTACAGTGAAAATTGTACAACTGATGATAAAAAATGGTTACTTTATTATTTTTTTAATGAATATCACTTCATGTTTTAGAGAAGTAAACAGAAAAATTAGCAGGTACTTTTAAGGCATTATTCTTCTTGCAAGACTATCACTCAACAGAAGCAGTTGATATTAAAAGTATGACAGAAAATAGAATGCCTCAATAATTTTTTTAAGTATTGTATTGCTTATAAAATATTTACAAATTCCACAATTTTTTTAGCCCTAATGCCTTTTCCAAAACAATTAAAGGCTTTTCCAATGATACATCTATCCCAACCGAGGAATCTAGTATTTATGTATCCCCCATAGAATTAGTTGAAAGAAGGCAAGAAATCAACCTTTAAATAAACGTAATTTATTTTGCAGTTTAAGTGTCAAGCATAGTGGAAGATACCTAAGATAACCTCTAGAATAGAAAGAGACTCACATCATTGAGGGCTATATTGCCCATCAGTGCCGTTCCAGTCATCACAGTGCCCTGACCACGAATGGAGAAACAGTGATCCACAGAAAAGATGAAGGGCCCCGTTCGACTACGTTGGGGCACATATGTGTTGGCCTTCAGTATGTCAATCAAATCTGTCAAACCAATTGCCTCCGTGTGTGGAGCCTGCAGAAATAAAACTTTCCAGTCTAAGCCAACACTTGATAACATTTTGATCAGAGGTAGTGTTGCTTTTAGTGAACTACTGGGTTTTAATTCTTTATTTCTACTCAATGTAAAACCAATTAAAAAATTTCATTATATCCCTGCTTTCCAAAGGGATTTATATGCCTTATTTTGTTGTATGTTAGTCCAAAATCTAAACTACGCCTTTGACTCATTCTGCCACCACTTTCTATAACATCCTCAAAGCAATGACAAAAGCAAATCTAATGGGAGGCTACTTCAACTCTTATGTAGAATTCTGATGATGATTTTCTTTCATAAAGATTATAGTTCACCTACATGTATAGCATTAAGGTTTGACTTGTAAAAAGTCTGCAGTACAGAAAATTGTCATATCTTCATCTTAAAATCATCTTCTAACTTCCTGGTATGTTGTATTTTATCGACGTACACTAAACAGTAAGTATATTTCTACAGTTCAAACTGTGTTCATGAAAATTATGAAACGGAGGTGAAAATAGCCTGTCCTTGTATACTCAAAGCCATGCTGAGCTTTTACTTTTCTTCTAGCTTAACAACAAAAATAAAAGAAGAATTGACAAAGATATTTCATTATACAATATTACCTCAGGCCCTCCTGGCTTAGCAGCAACTGCTACCATCGGACAATTTGCAAACTTTGTGGCTTCAAGTGTCTTCAGCATCTTCTTTTTCATCTAAATTAAGCAGAGAACAAAGCATCTGAGTTCTTATCAAAATGAAATATTATTAAAATATGAAAGAGAAAATAACAAATCCGTAATTATAGCTCAAGTGACAAGAAATCAAGAACTGTCCGATTAAACAATGTCATTTTAGAGAAAAATTTTATCAAAAGTGTTTATTCCATAGTTAGTACAGCTTTTGGGTAAAGCAATTTATTACCTGTGGTAGGTGGTGGGCTTAAAACAAAGCTACGACAAAGCACTACGTCTTCATTTTGTCTTAATATTTATGATAAAATAGATGGTGATTTCACCCTCTTCATACAACTATTCAAGAGTAGATTCTCATAAATACAGACATCATGGTTAGGTTAAATGTGTTGAAACATACCTTCTCCACCATAGCTTCCCTCTTTCCTGCTGGTAAAAGATCCACTTTGTTGAGAACTACAACCATTTTCTGACAGGCAATCTCCCCAATGACCAGACATTCAGCGGTTTGTGTCTGCATCCCTTTAGTGACATCCACCACCAGCATCATTAGATCAATGATCTGGGCACCTGTTTACAAACAAACACCAATTTACTGACAAAGTTAAGCGACCCTTTACATGAAATTCTTTCACATTGTTGAAATTCTTGAAATTAATTTTGTCCATATGAAAGAATTATAGATGTTTATGATGTTAACTAGAAATACTAACAAGGGTTCTCTATGTTAACTGTCCCTGGTCATTTTGAGGTGAAGTGTTCTAATTAGTAGCTGGTGGTTACCTCACTGAACATCATGCTGGACACCCATCAAATGCTATTCAATATGAGTTGGGGGTGTGGATGTAAAGTGTCAAGCTCAAAGACAAAACAACAGCACATGTGAGGACTCTCTGTGATCTCAATAGTCCTGATAAACACAAACCGCTCCAGGTTAAAATCTAATCATACACAAGTTTACCATCTGATCATGAGATTTCATTTATCCAATATTCTACTGTCTGAGCAATCAGGTCCAAATATTGATCAGTCCTGTGACTAACATTACAGGATTCTTTCATACGTCAAGGGGAAGGATAGGGATATCCCCTTAAGGGGTTACAAAATGTCATAAAACCAGAGGCTTTGTCAAGGGTTTTACCACATTTTGTGACCTTGACGGTGAAATATCCCATCCTTCATCCGTACATCAGAAAGAATTTTTTTCTCTAATTTCTCCCTCTAAATTGTTGGGGAAATGTAGTTTCACGGTAATCAACAATGTACAACAAATGACACTACATTACACAACAAGAGGTCTAGAGGCCTTGACAGTCATCTGAGATAAGCAATATTGAATATGAAGGTTAAAGGGTAGTTATCCAGTGTCAAGAAACAGAAATTGTGACACTGAATATAGTAAGCCAGTGTCAATACATGCATACAATCAAAACTGTCATCCTATACTGATAATTCTTGTAAGTCATTCCCAGTCGGAAATAACCAACGTTATGCTCAAAAATGCAATTTTCCTATGAAAATTGAAGTCAAAAAATAATATCCCCCCCCCCACCCAGTAACAAATTTGAGACTCATTTTGGTAATTAAAGCACCTTAAGATGCTTCCATTCATAAGAGCATATCTGGATCTTGAGAAGAAGATTTTGGAAATTTCAGTCAATTTGACCCCTTTTGGCTCCCCCTATCAGCCCCTGGAGGTCATTTCTTGTTATTTAAAGACAAGAAGTCATCAATATATCTGAAGGTGAAATTAAACGTCATCACAATGTCTTTGTGTCCTGTTTTGATAAGCTCTTAAAACAAATTCTGCCTCGTATAAAAACAAGTCAGCCGACAGAGGGGTGCAGTTGGTTCCCAAAGGTATGCCAATAGTCTGTAAGAAGATCTTACCACCAAAGTCGAAGAAGATGATGTCAACCTGAAACTCATTTTTATGATTTTGTCCTTCGTATCTTTGTTCTTTGATTTGGGTGTAAGTTTTACCAAATACGCTTAAGTATAGTTCACTACCACATATCTATACTGCCGTTCACACAAGGAAACAAACACATTCCTTCAGTTTAGAATGGAGTATGGTGGTGAACAGGGTGGAAAAATCAAAGAAGTGTTTTTTTAGAAAAGGGTGATGAAGCTCTTGTGAGTTCTTCAAAATCTACATTCTATTAATTCCACTTCTGGAGTAAACAGTATTACAATAAGACTGTAACCCAGATTTGATAGTACTTAGAATGGTGGTTAGTAGTTTAGACAAAGGCTTGGTTGAACAGTTAGACAAGCCAGCTATAAACTGTTGTATAAACAGCGGATGTCTGTATCCTTATCATTGATTGGCAATTTTAATAATTGTAATACCAAAGCTTGATTAGCCAGTATTTCGTCTTTTGAAAGATTGCATAAATGTATAGTTGGGGTTTCCTTTGCCATCAAGCAAGCCCAGTTCTTTTGTACACAGGAAATGTAATCATGGTTGCAGACAAGGATCAAGTTATTGGACTCCTTATCTGCAGGCACAATAACATATAAACCTTGTACCATGTATACTTTTCAATTTCAAGCTGCAAATCCTTTTACGAATGATGGACCGAATCGGCTTAACCCATTCAGAAAGTGAATCCAACACAGCATGTTCTCGTTTTGCCCATTCTCTGGCACAGTTTTCAACAGTTTCCATAAACATCTAGAAATTCACATTCCAATTAACAATATATTTAGGACCCTTCATGAAAAGCTCTCATACTTGTAGCTAAACATTTTGAATAATGCTTACGTCACCATGTGCAGAGTTGAACCATAGTTAGAAGTAAAGGTAAAACAAGAACAAGCTGATGGAGGACTAGTTCTAAGGTCTTCTATATTCAGTTGCTGCAGCGTTCATTTGTAGTTGAAAAGTATGGATGCAATGGGCTTGGAGTAACTGTTGGAAATTACAAGGGTGTTTCTACTTTGATGGAATGTTAACATGAACAGAGAGAAATGAGAGAAAATCATAAGACATGTAAGATATGCTTTGGTGCTGTTTTAGGACCTGATTATACATAGCAAGATATCTAAGCCCTTAATGAGACATTTTTAAAGAAAGTTGCTACATCACAACTGCAAATTGATAAGTATAATGGAAAGTAAAACAGTCATGTTTAATCCAACTGAACTGAACCAATTCACATTGACATTATTGCACTTAAAACGTTCCAGGTCATTGTAGAATCCAGATAAGGCAAATTTGAGTAGATATTTCTTCCCAAACTTAGTTAAATTCTTACTTGTATCGCGGTCGGCTGCGTGTTATCTTAATGAACTTGTAGAATGTCGATTAACAGAACTGATAAACAGGTATATATTACAAGTGTATGGGTACATATGGATTATGAATTATAATTATTAAATTGATCCCTCAGATGTGATTGATACTATGTAGACCTCAAACACTACGGCCTACGGCATCAAGTCTACAAAATATTTTTTTACATTCTCGATCGGGAGGAAGAGGAGATATATATTCGTACTTGTGTATCATGGAAATAAACGACGGGATTTCCCATCGGATTTCAACCATTCTAACTTCATAATACGTACCTCCGATGATGGTCTTAATAAGGGATGCATGTCCAGGGCAATCAACCAGCGTATACTGAATCTGGGAACCGCCGGAACTGCCAATCTCCCCCGTCAGGTGATCTGGCAAGTCAACACAGAACGACGAGAACCCCAAATCAAGAGTGATCCCTCTTTCTTTACTTTGAGGATTTTTATCAAAGCTTGCTGTACTTGCCACCGTACTTAGTACCTTTGACAAACTTGTTTTACCGCTGTCGACGTGTCCTAAAACTCCCACATTGAAGTTGAACGTGCACCCACTGGAGGCAGCCATCTTGTTACAAAATGAAAGGTCGAGACTAATAATAATTCCGACCCGAAGAGATCCGGAAATATTGGAATCACATACTGTTTGTACACATTTTGTACACGTATATTTAAATGTACGGTGCTGATTAATCAGACATCTTGTGCATTTATAAATTAGATGTCTGTTTTTTTTATTATTATGTCTCTAAAGTAATGATTACTTCCATATTTATTCTTCTTCAGATGACTATCGTCATATATTCATTTTGACCATGTACTTAGCCAAATCATAATGAGATATCTGATTTATGGAATATATCTAATATTGATATCTAATTTATGGAATATGTCTTATATTGATATCTTTATGGAATATATCTTATATTGATATCTAATTTATGAATATATCTAATATTGATATTATTTATGAATATATCTAATATTGATATCTAATTTATGGAATATATCTAATATTGATATCTAATTTATATATCTAATATTGATATCTAATTTATGGAATATATCTAATATTGATATCTAATTTATGGAATATATCTAATATTGATATCTAATTTATGGAATATATCTAATATTGAATATATCTAATATTGATATCTAATTTATGGAATATATCTAATATTGATATCTAATTTATTGAATATATCTAATATTGATATCTAATTTATGGAATATATCTAATTTATTGAATATATCTAATATTGATATCTAATTTATGGAATATATCTAATATTGATATCTAATTTGATATCTAATTTGGATGGAATATATCTAATATTGAATATTGAATATATCTAATTTATTGAATCAATTTACCTTGCGAGGGTTTTGATGGCATATATTATGAACAATATATATTTTTATAAAACTAAAAGCAATGATGCCAAAGCGATTTTTTTTAATATTATTATTTTTGTACAAACGACTTCCCCTCTTAAAAATAAACTTATATAACCCTTATGACAAACCCTACTGTCCTCAGAACTTCGAAAAAAAAACTAGCTAGCCTTCTAGATGCCTTTGAAATGATACTGTCTACGTGGTTAGTTAAACTTAAGTGAATGTTGATATGTATACCTAGGTGTTTGTGTGTTATTTCTTGGTTCATGTTCGCATTGTCCATACAGAGTTGTTGAAGATTCAAATTCTTACTTATTAGTAATGACTGTGTTTTATTTTCGGTAACTAACCATTATTTAGCCTTCGTATCAATTTTAAATAGATCATTATTTATAATATTGACTGAAATAACAGCGATGTCTATCATGAGATAAAGGATAGTGTGATAAGCAAACAATAGTGCTAATATCCGAAATTATATCATTATATAAAAAGCAATAAAGGTCCTGATATAAAGCCCTGGTGAACCCCAGCTTTGTTAGTACTGTAATTTGAGAATTCTCCGTTAATCTTAATTCGTTGTTTCCTATCACAAAAATAACGTTTGAACCACCTTATAAGTTTTCCCGAAGTACCTGCTTTGTTCAGTTTATGAATGAGGCCCTTATGCCACACTCGATCATATACTTTACTTATATCTAGAAAAAGAACCTGCACCTCCTTCCCACTATCTAAGCTTTACCAATGTCATGTGTAACGGCCAAGAGTTTATCTATAGTGGAACCGCCTCTTCTAAAACCTGACATATGTTCAGCGAAAAAATGACGTACCACGCAAAAAATTATATACATATTTAAAAATTCCATTACTTTTCCTGGTATACTTATCAATGGAATTGGATGATGATTAGATACAGTACTTGTGTCGCATTTTTAAAAATTAAGGTATTGCGTAATTCTTTTTCCACATTTCGTGATGATATTGATTGGACAGTGATTTGTTAAAAAGATTACAAAGAGGCCCTGTGAAATGTTGTTTCCTCCTTTAAAAAGAACCCACTTATAAGGTCAGGATTAGATGCTTTAGAAACAACTAATATTTTAATGGCGTCAGAAACGTCTTGCTCTGTACTAGTAATGTTGTCTAATGTTTACTGTACTAGTAATAGTGTCTAATATTTTACTCTACTAGTAATAGTGTCTAATATTTTACTCTACTAGTAATAGTGTCTAATATTTTACTCTACTAGTAATGTTGTCTAATATTTTACTGTACTAGTAATGTTGTCTAATATTTTACTGTACTAGTAATGTTGTCTAATATTTTACTGTACTAGTAATGTTGTCTAATATTTTAATGGCGCCAGAAACGTCTTGCTCTGTACTAATGATATTGTCAAGTATGATAGTATCGTTGTGTAAAAGATATGTTTTGACTTCACAAGATTCCTCGCGTTGGATTTCTAAGCTTTGTAAGCTCTTCATTCACCATTGTGATTTCTTTGATCATCTAGTTTATATATTAAATCGTCATTTTCAGATTAAAGTGCATTGATTTCGGCTGAGTGGCACAATTCCGTTTTGACTATAGCCTGTATATCAGGTTATGTCAGATTTAGGACACTGAGGGCATTGCCTTGAATGTTAAAGGCAGACGGATGCTGAAAGCCGTGGGTTGTCGTCACGTACGGTGCAGAGTTAAGGACCTTCGAAACACCTTGGCAGGGGGCTAATATAGGCGATTCTTGGAAAGTCAGTTGCTGGGTTCACAGTCATGATCGGACTTTAGTGTGTATAGTCCGTAGATGTATCATTTCCGCTTAGTTTGATATCAGTAGAAGATAAAATTAGCAAGCTTAGTTTTTATTTCGAAGACAACTTGTAATTTATTGAAAAGTGGTCAAAATGTGACAAACAAAAAAATATTGATTGGAATTTTGTATACAAAAAATATTCAACGTTATTTTTGTAGTGAGATCAAGCACTTGAACCTAACGCATTTTCAGGTAATATTAAACGAATAGGTACTGCTTTCTTTAAACTTTGGTATACAGCATATAGGTATTAAGTCATTTCCAGTGGATTTTTTCCCGACACTACATCGCTGCAAAATATCAAATTTGTTTTTTTTTATCGTCCAAGATGAGCTGAATTATACCCTAAATCTCTGATGGATAAGTCACGTGTTCTGGTAATCATATATATATCATATATATCAGTCGAACTAGTATCTAAGTACATATAACAATCATGCAAAATAGCCAAAAAGGAACGCCACAGCACCAATAACGACCATTGTGCAAGCATTTAGGATCTTTTTAACTCTTGGTTTCTCTTTCATGAAGAGTTGTTTCTGACGTAAAGTCATCACGGTTATCTCCCGTTCTTTTTCAGGCTCTCCAAATAGAAAGATGGTAAACCTCTGCTTCCGGGTTTTTTTCTCACACTCGACTTGAGGAAAGTCCAAGTGTCCTTCTGCTTCATCTGTAAAAAACAGTGAGGTAAATATGTATCTTTATATAAAAAAAAATCACGTTATCATACGAATTAAACAAATTACAAGCAACTGCATTATCTCAAAATTAGGAAAATTAGAACCAAGATTTCAGAATCGACAAATCAGATTAAGTTAACTGTAATTAAAAGAAAAAACGTTGCATGAAGAAATTATGAAACCGTACATTTGAAGGGGAACTTGAATCTGTCTTCAAAAATGTTGCTGACTATTACAATAGCAAAGACATGTCAACAGAATTTGAATTGAAAGGCACTTCGATGTAACCCAAAGGAAAGTATAGACAACATATTTAAACAGAGACCCATGAAAAAGTACAATGAAGATCATAAATACTGACAAGCAATGAAAATCTGTCATTCATGCTCATAAAAACGAAGCAAAATATAACAATGATAGGGCTCTACTTTGCTACCTATCAAATGAAAAGTTAGGTCAAATTTTATAAATATTTTCCAGCGTTTCTCAGTATTTCCCTGACGCAATCGGGACCATGTACCTGAGTTCTGTTTTTCTGTATCCGGTATTTCTGTGTTTCTTTTGACTTTGCTGTCGTAGTCAGTCGATATTTCGACCTCACTGAGCTGTTCAGTTGATTTATACTTTACTCTCGTCCACCAGGTGAGTCCTTCTAACTAGAAAAGAGGAATTCCTTATGCTATAGTATAATGCTATTGAGAGCGTCGTTCTAATGATTTCCTTTGGTATATTCGTCATAGTTTGACGTGCTGTGATATTATTCTTTCAAGGGTCTCTTCATAAATTAGTAGAATCTGAAAGAGGATTCAACTTCCTCATATACATTTGGCCATGAATTAGGGACCATCAATTTCAGTATGTAATGAAAGTTTTTTTTCCTTTGTAAAAATGAAAACCTTATTGTTCGCCTTCCAGTGTTTCCTTTTATGTTTGGTGCCGGAAGCCACCAAGCAATATACCCAACGTAACGATAGCTCCATTTAAAATAGGGTAAAAAGTTGAAGCAGCGTTTGCACGAGTATTACTGGTAAATCCTGCTAAATCGCGCTTCTGGAACGTTTCAAGGTGATGTGCCATTCAGGCAAATGGCTGCGCGTTTTAATGTCCACCATTCTGTTATTCAACGGTTAATTAGCTTCTGAACAAAGTAGGCGTGTTGACGAGAGTTTCCAGACTTGAAAGTCTACAGAGAAGATTGTGTTGACTGACAAGGGAAGCTTCATTCACAACTGTCAACTTGACTCAGAGAGAGCTTTAAACATCAAGCCACTTTGCTCTCGCCAAATTGTAAAATGTCCTCTGTTGACTGGAAGGTACAAACAAGCAAGAACACAATGGGCACGTGATAACCGAACATGGAACGTTAGGTCTTAGCAAAGGGTTTATTGGTCTGATGACAGTCGCATTTTATTGAGACCGACAGACGGCAGGGTCTGTGTTTCGAGACCAAGAAATACGAACATACCACCTGGACGCAACAGCATTTGGCGGTGGCGGTGTTACTGTTTGGATATGATTTTCTCTATAATGTAAGCTTCGCTTGAAAGACACTGACAAAACTTTAAATGGGCAGAAGCACCGTACTCAGAACCATCGACTTTAAGCCGTTCCGCATTTCAATGCTCATCCATTGGCAGATCGGCATTTGCATTGGATGGTAATGCCAAACCACACAAAGCCCGCATAGTGCTAAACTATCGTCAACAGTGAGCAGAGACGCTCACACGTCATCAAGCAAAAACCCAAATCGGACAAAAAGTCAAATTATTTAGAGAATAACGGGGTGCAGGAGTGGCAGAGGTTTCCTCAGATTAAGCTTCAGCGTCTGGTCAATAGTATGAGACAACGTAGTGAGTATGACCGATATTGACGTTTTCATGCACAATAGAAATTGTTGATTGATTATCTTTTTAATTGTTTTGTTTTTTAATGACGAATCTATTCCAAAAAGACAATGGAATCAGCATCTTCTTCGGGAATGCCTTTTCGAACACGTCTTTTTAAAATGATACAGCACTTCCTGTTCTGAAAAAATTCGTTTAATGTCTAGAGAGTGGTGGGGGGAGGGGACAGGGGGCAGGATGTCATTATATCAATACCTCTCGTTCTAAAGAGGCAATATTGTATCAAGCCGTGTACTTGTCCCGATCTCGATCTTTTAATTAACAAATGATTAACTGAAATATATATCTTACCTCTTGTTTACGCTGCCCCATAGTTATTATGCTGATAATCGCTATGGAAATAGGCGTAATGAATGCCAATAACGCTCCGAAGTAAAGAAAATGAACTTTATACAAAACTGCTGGTCTAGTTTCTGGTTCTCCGCACGGTGGCGCTGGATACACAAACTCCAATACCAGTCGTATAATCCCACAAGCGTGGGCTATCATCAACCCTCCGATTATACCCTGAATGTAGATTTAAAGAGAAAAGAACCAGCAAAAAGAATAATGTTGCTAAATTAATGTAAAAAGAGTGAAGTATGCCTTATTATGGTCTGCTATTTCTTTTCACTTGAAAAAATTATATGGGTAAAATATCTCATTTAAATAAAAATTGAAAACGTTATGTTAATTAAATATTCATATCCAATATAGGAACTCTCTTATACATATCGAAGCATTCTCGCTTAAAAGTCTCTTTTCACATTTCACAATTAGAAAAGAGAAAATCTGTTAACATTGTCAGACAGTGACACGGAAAGACAGGACGTTCAAATTATTCACCCATTCTGTGGCTTTCGTCCAAAATATCGCCATTACGAAGGCAGCCCCAACAGGAGCCATAATATTGGCCTGCATCATATTGATGTAGTTAAAGAGTTGTCCACCTTGGGCACTTTTAATAAGAGGGAGCCAAACGATACTTAGTCCGCACATGAGCAGAATCACGATTCTGTGTTAGGAGAACAACGATAAATATACATTCCAGCAATAGAGTGTTCAAATATCATTTTCACAAGATGGTATTTTATTGAAACTACAACCAATCTTTTTAATCAAACTCTTACTGTAATGGAGAAATTCATTTGTATTACATACTCTGTCTTATTACTTTAGTATTTCTTGATTACTCAATAGATTGTTGTTTTTTTAATGTGAGTTAATATTTTCTATTTTCAAGTTTATCTGTAACCCACACCCACCCCCCAAACAAACATACCCAACCCACCCTGATATATATATATATATATATACTAACAAAGAATTAAAATGACAATCGAATAGTTCTTGATTACATCTACTGAGAAACTATTGATAAACATTTTCATTAACCGTTAACATTGAATAGAATATCTCTTCCATGGTTTAGTCCGTGGTCGAAACTTTCTAAATACATCCGTCGATCTAATATGGTAACATGTGACATACCTGCAGACAATCCATAGATGAATCATTTTTGTTTACACAAATACATTCATAGTTACCATTATGTTGTAGGTTATCTTTACCTGCCGACAATAAGTAATTCCCTCTGAGTAGATCTTGGACGAAACCGTCTCCACAGGTCCATGGTAAACAAAGTACTAGAGCTGTTGAAGATGGACGTCAGGGAACTCATGATGGCCGACAAAATTACAGCCATAAGAAATCCTCGTAATCCTTATAAAACAAATAGTTCTATGTAGGTAACAAAATATATGTGGAAAATGTATCATTGGTGCAAAAACTGTACAGAATAAGATCATTTGAAATGTGAACAATTTTCAAATAAAAACATACGTTGATGGTAATATCAGACCAAAATAACACTTTAGTAGGAAAAACATACAAAAATTGGAAAAAAGAAACAACGTATGGGAGATCATTCGTTGTATCTGAAGTGACAGCATGTTTCAGATTTTGTGTTTAACTTTACTTACCGTCAGGTAAAAGTTCCAGAACCATCTTAGGGTAGGCTATATTAGAACATCCAACAGGATTTTCACAAATTCTCATACACTCTTCAGGATCGGCACATGCTACTTCGTCTAGACATTACAAAGGAATAAGAACTTTTTTGTGAATGCACTATAGCACCGGGTCTGATTCATTGTTTGTTTCTTTGTTTGGTAGTTTGTGTTTGATTACTTGTTCGAATGCTCGTTATTATTGTACATGTTTAGGTATAGTTATCTATAACAATCAAAAGTCCGATATTATAGTTCTTTGTTTTCATTTATTTGTTTGTATGCAGCGGCTTGGTGTAAAGTAATTAATGATTCAAAATACAGCTCTTCGCTGATGTTCATATAGTAGTAGAATAGTATACAACGATACGCAAATATAATACATAAGACATTTTAAGATGGGAATGAGAACGTCTTATAAAAAAATCTTATCCTTTTTACCATCTACACAATACTATTTTCCAAGAACTTACTTTCTTTTAGTCAGGCCCCGCCTCAGAAAATCGACAGATCATGAAAAGTAATTGGGCCATGAAAATGCATTGATATGAAGTAATGTTAATCTATTTTCTTTATTCACCTGGGAATAAGACACGACTGATCAATCCCGGAATGACCATGAGAAACAACGGAAGAATTTTCAAAGAAGCCGCTACGACAGATCCACCTTTAGCATGCTCAATGTTCTTCGCAGCAAGTGATCTTTGTACAATTATCTACAACAATAATTTCAATAACTATGAAAGCAACGCCATTTTGGCAACTTTGTACTTCTTGATAGTTTTTCCCGCCTACCTTCATTTTAAGATATTATTTCGATTTGTTAAATTCAAACTTGATGCATTCGTTTTGCCACTATCTAGTAAATAGAAATACACATGATCATTCTAAAAAATAACAAATTGTTAATGAAAGCACACGACAGGATGGCTGAAATAAACTTTCTAACACTTGATTTGTCAAAAGGATCCCCATATTCGAAATCAGCTTCTTAATCGTTCATACTTTGATGTAATCTGGATAATGATTTATCTATTTGAATTTAAAACCATGAATTCAATTAGCTAGTACATGGCCAATATTTCTATAATTCCAGAGGACGGACAGAAGTGAAAGATGCGTCTCAAACTGCTTGCCATTCTGAAGATTTCATTCGTCTTCGACAACTACATCCTGAATTAGAAGAGACTTGTTTAAAATCAAGCTTCGCCCACCTGGTCACAGCACCAGTATGCCAAACAAATGAGAGAAGCAGATATGATTAGTCCAGGCCATGGCTGCACACTTCCGGCTGGATCAAGAAACACATGAAATGCGTCTTGCCTTGGTAGGCCACATGTGGAGTTCACAAGCTGTATAGTAGCAGATGAATTCATGTATCTCCTTTCTAGATTTTCAAGACTTCCAATTTTATACATCCCTGAAGATATAATAATGTGACTTAACGGTTGTTCTCTATATTTGATCTTGACACAAATTGATTACAGAAAATATATGCGATTCTTATATGTTACATACAAAGAACATTTTGAAAATTAATAAATACAATAATAATAATAAATAATGAGCGTACGGTATCATATATAACAATTTCAATCCTGATTTTATTAATATGGAACAACTATTTACGTACCCACTCCCATTAACAAAAACGCACCAACCGTCATCACTGCAGTCTGGAAGGTATCCGTGAACATTACAGCTGTAAGACCCCCTTACAAATAAACACGTGTGCCAAAATGTCAAACAAGTAGACACCACCGCTAACGAGATCGACAAGTACTGTTGTCATTTTCAATGGGCTTTATTCAGGGATTGAATCAAACCGCGAAAAAAAGATCAATTGAATCCAAAACTTTCGTCCCTTTCATAACCCAGAGAAAATGTACATCACTTAGGCGTTATTTGTTTTCGTAAAACAGTAAATATTCTTAGTATCGAACATAACAACCTTCGAAGTATGTATACATAACAAATTTATTCAGCATACAGGTAAGCATATGAAAATACTTATGAAAATGGCAACTTGAAGGACAAAAATCAAAATGAGACGTTATGGAAAGAAAAGAACTCAAAGTGGGGATTCTTCTTCTTTCTAGATAATAATAATCGTGAAATTCAAATATCACCATCATCATATAAAGTGTAGATTTTCTACTTACCAAGTATGGTGTAGAAACCAGTGACAGCCAAAAGGATGATGACAGATACATACATGTTCCAACCTGTAGCCATTTGTAAGAAGAGGGAACCAGCGAACATGCTCACCTGCATATATTTTAAACATAGCATCAAAACTTATGTAGAATAAATCATATGTATAAATGTTTATTCAACTCATCTGTTCAGATCAAAGTGTTATCTTGTCATTGACAGTTTTCTTTATAATTTCTATAAAGACTATTTAGAATTAAACTATTCCATCTTCTTTCGATATCTTTGGAGAAAAACCCTTTCATTTAAAAACATATATTTCTGTCCAATAATTTGAATATTTTCTATCGAATTGTTTTTACTCTACATGCTATTAGATATACAGTAAATCATTGTTTAAATTCAACTTCCATTTCCATGGTAACAGCTACGTTATTCTTTTCTGTGAAGCACAATTAACATTTATGTTATGTAGTATGTGTCATTGTATAGCTGTATCATTTCGTGAGACTACTTTTTTCCTCTGTTTTAGGAAATTTCGCGCATGTCTATAAATGGTATCCATTGATCCAGGCATAAAATGTATATTTTCTTCGATATTAATTCACTATTAAAATGTTTACTGAGCATTTAATTTCCTTTAATGTCCGCGAGATTGGGTATGGTACGAGTATTACTATTTTTAGAGTACAGTACTAAGTGGTTATATTTACAGCAAGTTTGGTGACGATAGCGAGGAGGAGAGAGAGGCAGGAGAGATAAATTCTGATCTTGTTACCTCCCAGACGTTTCTCCATATACTCGGGTAACGTGTATACCTTAATGACACAAACATATCACAGGTTATGTATAGAAAATGACAAACAGATTTATCTAAGCATTCATTTTAAATGTTATCTTTTCATTCCTATCTTGAGTGAAACATTAAACGGTCCATCATCATTTAGGTAGAAATTATTATTTTGCTCAATTTTTATGTTGACAAATATCTAAATTAATGTTAAGTTGGTGAAGTGATGTAATTGTCTATTTCCAAAGAAATCAAACAAGCAAAAAATACAAATACAAAACATGAATTAACATTTGTGTCTTTTCAATTATAAAAAACAATTCGGAGATGAAAACATTTATCAATGGTTAAATTTAAAGTGTTCTCATGTATAAATAAGTTGCTGGTTACATTGCTTAACATGAATATCAATGGATTATTATGAAATCATTGAAGTATTCGAAAGGTTTCCTGGCGTTTGATGTTTGACATGATGATAGAGGGAAGACACAAATACTTTGTTAGAATTTACTTACACCGGCAGAAATGTAGACGGGGAGAAAATACCATCCCAGTAGCAAAATGGGGAATGTTGACTGAAATGAAATAGACGACACACATAGTTTTATAAAACATAATCGATATCATACAAATACCTGTTTATGTGTGAGTCCTTACATGAGCTTTTGAATTACGTATGTAAATATAATCATACAATTTAATTTCCATAATCATCGCAATGAAAATATTCTGAAATGAAAAACTTATAACATCTGTTCAACTTAAATGTTTCACCCTAGTGTATGGTGGAAGAAAGAAGGGTGAAAGCCGTCTGCCCATTAAAAATCACCCACTGGAGTCTTCATAGATTAGAATCTGATTAGAAAAATATTTATTCATGATTTCCATTATTTCTTTTGTGTCTATAAATCAACAAAGACTCTCGGAGTATACGCTGGTATAGAATACTGTGCGTTTAATTATTTAAGCGATACTCATATGAAATTCCGTATTGAAATGAAATGAAAATGTGTCGACATAAGCTGGTGTGTAGATATTTAAACAAAGAATAAGAAAACAACCTCATACCATCCATTCAAAAGTGATATTGGCGATTCCACTCGACGCTGCCGACCCAGCCAAACCGACAAAATGCTCACTTCCAATATTGCTAGAAAATAAGGAAGCTCCTATCTGAAAGGGATACATAACGTTTATATAGCATGTGTTATAAAATCACTGACGAGTCCTAGAAGGGTAGCACACTATCTGTGATGAAATTCAATTCATTATTTGACTCCACTTTATCTCATTCGTAATTTGCAGTAATATGTGCTATTCATTTTACGTGTATTTTGTACAAAGTTGATATTTACATTACCCTTTTGAAGGCAGGAAATCATCACCTTCAAAGTATTGTATAACCAGTAACAATGTCTCTATCTTATTTGAAACCGTTTTCGTAGGATTAAAACATGTTGTTCAAAAGACTTTTGAATCATTTTTTTTGTTGATACTGGTTAAGGTGTTGTATATATATACATTTATGTTTTCCTCCAGCTGTTCTGTTGTATAAATCGAGTAAGTATTTTCAGTGATGTGAAACCTACCGCTATCCATGGCATAGAGTGTCCAGCGAGGAAGTAACTTTTGACACTTCCTCGGTTCGATCTCCTCATCGACTGAAATTGTGAACAACTTCATAACAGCACAAGTGTGACTCTTCAGAAATATGTCATTTCTCCTTTGAGCATAGATACTAGTTTAAAACAATATTTCATTTAACATTACATACACATACATTGCATCTTAACCTGTCAAAAGTTCCAGAAAGGTAAAACAAAAAGACATAATAAATGCGTGCGTGTCTTGACAGAATCGAATATTAAATTCGCGCAAAAATGGTAAAAATAAAGTTTAAACCCTTTCTTAGCTCCATTTCTTGTTGCTAACTGGTCATGACAGCCCACATAACAAGCAGCAAGATGTTCAGGGGAAGCACATCTGTTATGACATGTTCATAGACCGGAACGACTTTTGGCATTTTACACGTAATGGTGTAGTATAATATTGCGACTAGTTTATCAGTCTCATAAAGCTATCATAGCAATGCGTACGTCAATTAGAATTATCGAAAGTTAATATATGGCTTTGTATTAAGATGTATCGGTAATAAGACTTAAACAACATAAATGATATACCATTTAAAGAAATAGGGACTCTTTATAAACATACGCCCATGGGTATAAGGTTTTACTAAGCCTAACTATTTGTTTAAATGAACAATATTGAATGAAAAACTGTTTTCAACTCATGTTTTAATTAGTGTGCGAAATTTAGATAGTAAACCAAACAACAGAAAGGAGAAATTTTAGCACTGCATTTAAACTAGCGAGAATGGGGGTTATATTAGGATACCGCTAAACTAAATACACGTACAGTATCCAGTGATGGTCGAAAGAATAAAATGATGAACTCTTAACAATGTACTTGAATGACATTTGACATTTGATTACAATTACATTTTTGTCATTGTTCCTGATTTTAAATACATGAATACACTTAAATACATCAAATAGTTCTTTCCTACGTTTTACAGAGTAAAATAGCTGCACACGTACTTACCCATAATCCTATCGCCAACACAGCTGTGAAATATACAGCAAGTACCAAAATGTCCGGCCAGTTGTTTATACTGCCCATGTTATCCGCCATACTAACCCATTTCCGTCTCCGTTACAGTCAATTTCTGTCATATTTTCTTAACCAAGATATAACTGCTGATGTGTTTAGATGGTGAAGTGATAATATTGTTGGCATTCCTATTGCAACATGTAGCATTAATCTTCATATAACATTCTTCCATTCGTAAACCGTATATTGACTTTGTAAACAGTGTCGTGGTATTGTATCCATAGTCTTAGTGTGTCGTAAAGGTACGCGATAACAACATATACTTATAGGAAAAGTGATTACATTTCTCTGTGATAATGGTGATAATCATTGTACTTAAACCTTGATTGCACTCAATCCAAACATATACAAAAGACACAAAATGGAAAGTGCCTATAGATACAAATTTACAATCGATGCAGTATCTACCAAAATATTAAATTAGAAACGATTGATTACAATTGTTTCGATCCGAAAACCGACGCAAAATTGACTGAATCTTGAGAATGGGACGATAGAGCTCTGTACCGATTCATCTTTGATGCAATGCATACTATTTCTAACAGCGGTAAACAACTATATGAAATTCAAAACGCTAATTACTGAAGTATTTTTTTCTTCCAGATAAGGGAGTCCTTGATGAATCTCAAAATATCAATCAAGTTATGAATGTTTTTTACTTCATTCCACGTAAAATGCTGACTGTTGAATTACGTGATATCGGTGGTGTAATTCTAAAGCTGCTGATTTGTTGAATTTATACACAAGATTTTGTGTACAAATAAAGTTTCCTTAAATGAACAAAAAGGGAACAGTACTTCCTTATGTATAACCCTAACACTGAATTAGATTTGATATCTTACACTTGACTTATCATCTGCACTGCATTTTTAGATAGCTCTTATCCATATCAATGCACAATATGCATGACCTAAAATAAAATCCTGAATGCCCGTTATCAGTCCGATACGATAAGAAAAAAATCGGTTATGAGTAAGAGTGTGCAAAAATGCAGTTTCATTATTGAAAGACGGTGGTCATTTGATTTTACTGGGTCTTTTAGACAGTGACGAGTATAAAGTTGGAAATTTTATTTTTGCATGTCCACCATTGTCTAGAAAGGAAAAAGAATATATATACGATACTTGTGTATCCGCATAATCAATATGGTTACAAAATTATTAGATGACGATCAGGTGAGCAATATGAAAAAAACGATGTGGAGTGGAATATTTTCTCATCGCATGCAATCTAACACGTTTAAATTTATACATATATTTATACGCTGATAATTTACTTTAGAAGCAAAATTGTATTAATCGGAACAGTCAATCCTTCATGTGAATTATTTGCATTGCTGGTTTACCGGAAACCAGAATCCTTTTTGTTTTCCATACTTTTTTAGTTATGCAAATAAATGTAACATCGTTATAGATGATATCAGATTCAACCCTCCTCGGACAATTGTTTCAATCTTAACTAATAAGTTGAAGATTTATGCTCAACCAACGTGTGTTGATATAAAATATCTGGGTGACGCCAAAATATGTGTTGTGGATTTTGCTGTTTACATCAAGAAGATCCTGTTAAATAATACATGTAGTTACATTTTTCAAAATACCATGTCAAGAACAGCAGTAAAAATGTAACCAATGTTAAATCTTATGAAAACTATATGAAAATGTTCAAATTGTAGACAAATCGATGTTAAAAAGGACCCGTTGTTTGTGAGGAAATAAGACTATATGAATTGATAGAAAAACATAAATGCACAAACCAAAAACACTACCATATGAAAATGTTTCTAGAAATAGTGACTTTATACTACAGTAACTGTGTTGAACACATCCTTATATGTATTTATTTTTATTTTTGCACTGTAAAGCCTCACATTGTTTCGCAAATGAAAATTTGTATTTTTTTTTGAAACCTATTGTAAAGAATTGTGAGGATATGCCGGTTAACAACGCACAGATAACTGACTGCAAGATGTAAAATACAAATACAAACAACAATGTATTACATTTCTACATAGTCATAAAAAATCAGGTACAACATATGTCCGACATGTTCATTACTACCACCCTCACTCAACCAACCACATAACAATACACTGATTAAGCTGCAAGCCTAACATAAAATGTTTAACCCCTAATCATAATAACTGAAATGCCAGTATCCTACATAAGGTAAACTCAGCTTCATAACTGTACCACAGAAGTATATCAGGCTTCGAACCAAGGTTCAGTTCCTTTATACATATGTGTATAACTCCAAATTGTTCAGGTTCCCAAGCTCACAGGAGTTCACCAACACTTTAGCCCTCTTAATGAAAAAGTAGACCTGCATTGAACATATAGATATAACTAGAAATAAAAGTATGGGTATTTACTTTCTCTGTTTCTTCTGAGCACACAGCTCTTGATCACACATCTCCACATGTAGTTCAAGCGCAAAGCTCCTGCTACCTTCATGAATCCATTTAGGCACACAGCTACAAAGTCTCTAAACTTTACACCATTCCTTGCATGTAAATCCATGATATACTGGTATATATTGGTGGCTACAAAAATGTTGTCGCCAGCTCATCTGCATTTCATTGATATTTTGAAATGCCTCTTAACCGTAAAGTGACTGGTCGCTGTCCCTGTCTGAAATATATCCGATATAATCTGATTTGCATGGTAGAAAAATTGCATACTTCCTATAAAAAGATTTCCTGAACAAACAATAATCAAAACACCATGAAAGCAACATAGCACCAACACAAATATACCTCCCAACAGAAAACTGAGTGCAGATAGGAAAACAGAAAAAGTAAAAAAAACAGACTTTGATATCCTTTTAAATCCAACACATGATACCTGACACATAAAGTCATATAAAAAAGTATTTCCAGTATATAAACACAAAATTTATGTTTCATTAAAAGTAATGCAATGAAGAAAGTCGAAATTCTTATCTTCCAAAAGCCAATTACAATCACTTAGATAAATACAACTGTAAATAAGAAGGTAATCTGCTGATAAATCCCCAAGCCATAGTCCTGTTACAGTTCATCTCTTTTATGTGACAAAATAATGTTTCTCTCCATCTCAAAAACATAAAAAAAACAACAACAATAATATATCAACCAACCATCCAACCCCCTCACCACTACCACCATGTTCGCGATGAAAATAACATGACAGAGAGAGTATCAGATTGTGTAACCAAACCGTTAGTTCGAATTTAAAAAAAAGATTGAAAACCCTGAAGAACAAGAGGAGCCGTCTTTCAACATTTTTAGTCTGGTTCATTTTAGGTACCCGGCAAATTACTTCAAATAAGGCTACGTCTTCGTTGATACTTTGCCATCTTATCATCTCTTTTAGACGAAGATCATGGTGTTTACATACCAGCATTTTCTATCATCTTCATGTTCCATATCCCAACCAAAGGTCAGGAAATAATTCTTACAATACATCCTACAAGATACACTGATAAACCTGATTCAGCATCGTTTCTATGCAAAATGACCTAACAAAAACATAACTGCGCCCATAACAAGAATGGCGCTAAAGTTTAATATCCATCGACATTGTGGTCGCTCCCTCATGAAATTTTGTTTCTGACGTAAATTCATAACAGTGATCTCCCTTCCTTCTTCCGGTTTTCCACAGAGGAATAACAAAACCTTCTCCGTCCATATCAACCCCTCATTTTCTGTTGCGGACAAAGAATCTTCTTCCGAATCAGCAGATTCTGTTAAAATAATTTTACATGATTTGGTGTATTTGTTGTAAACTCTGACGCATGAAGTGCAAGCAATTCCTATAAATTAAACTGTTTTGAGATCTGGGAAGAGATAATAGTTATCATCAATCTAAGTAAATGCAGAGGAATATTGAAGTGTTAAAGTAATTTGAGTTCATTTTTAACCAAAAGTAAGCTGAGTTCTGATTTTAATAAATATCTTAAATAAATGAAAATGACAAGATCTTCCAAAAGGAAATCAATTGCTTCATTTGGTATATCATATCATTTCATTAAGGAAATATCTTTGTCTTTAATTAGAAACATGGATTAGGAGATTTTGAAAAATTATATGTGAATTAATTTCAGCAGTCAAGAATATATTGCTACCAATGAACAGCATTTTCTGTCGCTCTGCCATATTCTAAAGTGAAACCTGACACATTTAAAATATGACTAAAAAGCCTGTGTTTTCACCAAGGATTAACTGAGGCAGTCTCTATGCCATTAATGACGGGTGTCACGTTTTCAAATTTAAGATGCGGCTAATATTTACCTGTGTTGATCTTCTTAAGCTGATTATCGGGTTCACTGTCATTCCGTAGTTTTAATTGATCTTCAACATTCGAAGAGAAATCACCTTCTTCAACGTCGTTCTCCTCTTCCTCCTTCGACACGTGTATCGCCTTTACCCGTGTCCACCAAGTTAGACCCTCTAGCTGAATGCATAGCATCATGTAACTCTTAACTTGATTGATGGTATCCTATATTTATTTATCTTATTTTTATGAATTTCATACCATGTTTTAAGACCTGTTTGAGTTCTTAGTGAATTATTATCATGATCTTTATAATTTATTTTTCATAATTTGGAAGCAAATTCCATATGGTTTTCCTTGTAGAAGCATATGCAAACGAAACAAAGATGTTCTTGTGTACGATATTGGATGCTTTTTCACTAATCTGTTTATCAAAGAGTAAAGCATAACTACCACATTGCACGGTGTTTGTTCATGAGAAATCGAGAATTTAACGACGGATAAAAATAAAAGTTCAGTAGAAGAAATTCAAGAAAGGTGCAGCAAATTAAATTGTGTATAATCTTACCTCTTTTTCATCCTTTGGTGGTGTCATGATGCTTATAGCAGCTATGGCAAATGGAGTTAATAAAACCAGGAATGTTCCAAAGTATAGAAAATGAACTTTATATAGGATGGATGGCCTTGTTTCAGGTTCGCCACACCCTGGGGCTGGGTAAGTAAACTCGAGTACAATCCTTATCACTCCACAAACGTGTGAGATTATTAAACCGCCAACGATACCCTAAACAACAACAAACCAAGAGCACATTACTTGCTAGCAGACATAAAGATCGTTACACCATTTTAAAAAAAATGAACAATTAGCAAAACTTAGATATATTAAGAAATTTATATGTAAAGAAAGACAATGATTGTTGTACAGGCAGGAATATTTGATTACTAGAAAGTGACATAAGACCAAACGGAAATATGTATCAAGTACTCGAAGAACGCGACAACGCATCATTTTGTATACGTATGCACAAACGCACGCTTGCTCCCAAATTAAGCCGTGTAAAATATTATCAAGACGCACATACTTTTATAACAAAGGTAAACTTAAATTTATCATTGTGACGAAGTTTATAATACTTTAATTCCTACCATTTCTGTTGTTCTTTTCCAGAGTATAGCTATCATAAATGCTGGACCAATAGGCGCCATTAAGTTAGCCTGTAGCATGTTTATGTAATTAAACAGTTGTCCTCCTTGTGACCCCTTGATTAATGGTAACCATGCGATACTGACTGCGCACATGAATAAGATAACGATTCTGCGAAAACAAAATCACAATTGATCTATATTCCGTGATTTTAATATAATCGTTAATGTTATACATAAAATCATATGATAATACCCAATAACGATTAACTGTTTAATCATAAAGAATTATACTGTTAAGTCAGTTATATTTTTTTCACTCAACATTACAAATTCATCCATGGTTACACAAACTCGAATGTTTAACTAACCACCACCCCAAGAAAAAGTAATGTAGGAACCTTTCTTCAATTAATGATAATAATCATATACATGCTTTCAAAAACAGAGAACACTTGCTATGGGCAATCGAAATTTCTTTTGTATCCCCCTGGTTCCCAGTGATACGTATACATATGCGTGGGTGAAATTCCTGATCGATAATCCGTGAATGAATACTTTTTGTTTCATACAAATATATTCATTGTTACCATTATGTTGTATCTGTACCTGCCGACAATAAGTAATTCCCTCTGAGTAGATCGTGGACGAAACCGTCTCCACAGGTCCATGGTAAACAAGGTACTCGAGCTGTTGAAGATGGACGTCAGGGAACTCATGATGGCCGACAAAATTACAGCCATAAGGAAACCTCTTACTCCTGGTAAGTATGTGTATCATTCGAAATAAACAAAAATTTCAAAAGTTGAGATCAAATTGCGTCGTTTTGCACAATTGCATATCTTGTCGTCGGTAATCATGAAAATACTATATTTACATAGAATCTGTACTGGCGCAATTGTACCTCTACATTTGAACCATTCAATGGTGAACTTATGATGATTGTATATAGGAATCTCGTATGTATCGAAAAGATACATTTTCAAATTTTCATTTTTTTAATGGAATCTCTGGTTGATAGCAAGCTTTTATAAAAGATGGAAATTCATTTCAGTTCAATTCATCAAACACTGGCTGTATGTAACGACCGATCATTTTGACGTCAACAAGGAAAGAAATATAGAATGAGAATGTGTCTCGTCAGTTCAGACTTGTTATCTGTCTAACGAAATGGTATTTTCACGAATGTTACTGAAGTATCTAAGTATCTATGAGATAATCAGAATCTTATATTTGTTTTGAATAAAAAGCTGGTCATATAAATGACAAATGACATAAACTATGACGATACAAAATGAATTGTATATTAGCATTCAATTATAAACTAAGTTATAAAAGTTTGTATAGAAAATTAACGTTGATACAACACGAATAGATAAAACCTTACCTTTCGGAAGAAGTTCCAGAATCATCTTAGGATAGGCAATGTTGGAACACCCAACAGGATTTTCACAAATTCTCATACACTCGTCAGGATCGGCACAGGCAACCTCATCTGTAAGGTCAAATTATAGCAAGCCTATTGATTCCAAGGAATTTTGTAGGCAATGTTTATCGCAGTATATAAATTACATTACGCAACGTGCATTGTTTGATATTATTTTATCGATAAGCCAGTCAGCTTTTTCTACTGCGTGACATACGATTGCAGTGCACTGAATGTATATGATAACAAATATGAGAAAATCACTGGCTAAACCCATACATATTCCTATTTATCTGTATACAAGATTGCACTCATGTTGATTACATACAAATGCAAAATCTGATCAATGTCCGGCATTCATCAGTGGTACTTGAATAAATAAATACTTGACAGTAAAAAAACAAAAACGTGAGAATGCTACAGACAAAATAAACGTATTTATCACTATGAAATAGTCTGTAAATGTTGAATATCAACTAATAATAACTGCTTCACCTGGAAATAACACTCTACTGATCATTCCAGGAATTACAATTAGGAACAGCGGCAGAATCTTCAGAGCAGCCGCTAGGACAGATCCTCCTTTAGCATGCTCAAGGTTCCTTGCAGCTAGGGCTCGCTGTACGATCATCTTCAAAGTTGTAAGATAGCAAAGTAGGTAACACATTGCTTATCAGTTACATTGTTAACATGTTTTTATTCGTTCTTGTTGATTTAGTTTACAAATTAATACATTAGATTATTTTCCGAAGTCTCTTTTATATATTTATGTTCAAGAAATAATCTTTGGTGATTCAACATTGCGGATATGGAGGTAACAGGTATAACTTAGTTATGTGTTTATTATGGCATGTTATTATGAAATGTTACTGTAACAATATAACTTTTGCATATTTGTAATCATAAAAATACAGGGATCACCTGGTCACAGCACCAGTATGCAACACATCCAAGGGAGCTAACCACGACAAGTCCAGGCCACGGCTGTTCGCTTCCGGCCGGATCAAGAAATATGTGGAAAGCATCCTGCCTCGGTAACCCACATGTAGAATTAACAATCTGGATGGTTGCTGTCGAATTCATATACCGTTTCTGCAAATTTTCTAGACTTCCTATTTCTTTCATTCCTGAAAATATTGAATGTTTTGCGACTAGTTCACATATTGTAGCTGAATTCTCAAATGGTGTACATAGGAAGTCAAATATTCATGATTTGAAATGATAGAAAACAAGCATCTGCATTACTCATCTGGTATTCAATGTTAATAAAAGATAAATCAATGTTCAAAACAGACACATTAACACATTGACAATCAAAGTGGCCATATTAAATCAGTTCTAACTAATTCCCAGACCAAAGCTAAACTAAAGCTTCTAATATTCAGCTCTAAAGAGTGACATGTATGACCTGGATTAATGTCACATCTTTTTTTTCCTCTCTCAAAATGTGTAGGGTTGTCACCTAGAAAACCCTTCCTACTAGATATACTGCTTCTCGGACTTTTGGTTTACCTTAAGAAGCCTTGTGCAGGTTTTGACAAATTGGATCCCTGTGACATTTAATATCGGTCATATAAGTCATTTGCTTTTGCAAACTTTTGTTAGGCCTCATCCTTGAGACCGACCTGCCAAATAGCACGTTTCTAGATCAGATGAAATTGTTCAAAGGTATAACATATCATACACCTGCGACCTTGATTTTGGTTCAAGGTCATATCTCATCGTTATAATAAATTCGATCACTGTTCCCTTGAATATGGGTCAAGGTCTTTGTTGACGGGCATTATCTTGGAAACCCACCAGCCAATAACATGATCCTCGTCTTTTGGTTAATCAAAAGTCGTTTAAAGGTTGTAATGAATTATTCCCCTATGACCATGAATATGGGTCAAGTTTATTTCTTTTTTTTTAACTTTGTCAGGGTTCTCTATACCAAGAACATAACAGTCAAATATAATGCCTTTGTGGATTTTGGTGAGAAGAAGATATTTTAATATATTGACAAAGTTGACCTCGGTGACCTTGAATATAGGTTAAGGCTGTTTCTATTCGCAAACTTTGTCAGGAGTTGCGTGATGAACTCATCAACCAAATATGATTTGTTGACGGGCATTATCTTGGAAACCCACCAGCCAATAACATGATCCTCGTCTTTTGGTTAATCAAAAGTCGTTTAAAGGTTGTAATGAATTATTCCCCTATGACCATGAATATGGGTCAAGTTTATTTCTTTTTTTTTTAACTTTGTCAGGGTTCTCTATACCAAGAACATAACAGTCAAATATAATGCCTTTGTGGATTTTGGTGAGAAGAAGATATTTTAATATATTGACAAAGTTGACCTCGGTGACCTTGAATATAGGTTAAGGCTGTTTCTATTCGCAAACTTTGTCAGGAGTTGCGTGATGAACTCATCAACCAAATATGATTTGTTGACGGGCATTATCTTGGAAACCCACCAGCCAATAACATGATCCTCGTCTTTTGGTTAATCAAAAGTCGTTTAAAGGTTGTAATGAATTATTCCCCTATGACCATGAATATGGGTCAAGTTTATTTCTTTTTTTTTTTAACTTTGTCAGGGTTCTCTATACCAAGAACATAACAGTCAAATATAATGCCTTTGTGGATTTTGGTGAGAAGAAGATATTTTAATATATTGACAAAGTTGACCTCGGTGACCTTGAATATAGGTTAAGGCTGTTTCTGTTCGCAAACTTTGTCAGGAGTTGCGTGATGAACTCATCAACCAAATATGATTTGTTGACGGGCATTATCTTGGAAACCCACCAGCCAATAACATGATCCTCGTCTTTTGGTTAATCAAAAGTCGTTTAAAGGTTGTAATGAATTATTCCCCTATGACCATGAATATGGGTCAAGTTTATTTCTTTTTTTTTTAACTTTGTCAGGGTTCTCTATACCAAGAACATAACAGTCAAATATAATGCCTTTGTGGATTTTGGTGAGAAGATATTTTAATATATTGACAAAGTTGACCTCGGTGACCTTGAATATAGGTTAAGGCTGTTTCTATTCGCAAACTTTGTCAGGAGTTGCGTGATGAACTCATCAACCAAATATGATTTTTCTGGGTCATTTGGCTAGTCAGAAGACGATACTATAAAGGTTTTAGCAAACTTGTCCTCTGCTGCCTTGAATAAACCTGTTAGGTCAGAATTCATACAAGAAATCTTCGAGGATTGATTAAAAAGTTGTGAGCCTTTAAATGAAGTTAAGCAGGGATGTCCTTTTTCAGCTCTTCTTTTCCCTGACTTTTTAAGCTGTGTACTAGTCAGTTAATTTCTAAAGTAAACAAGGCAAGTGACTTTCGCAAAGTGGACTAAGTCACTGAAAGAGCAGTGATTCAATATTTGCATAAGAAAGGCTTAATACCTAAGAATAGCAACACTGATATGATAGCAACACCAGGGACTGATGCCATTCCATACGCCTATAGCGGAATTTAAGCGAGCCTTGCTGATGACGCCTCTCCTGGAAGGTCTCTCATGATATAGTTCTAGCTGACAGGCGAATTACGGAGAGATATATAGCCAGTACAGTTGGGATTCACAGGAAAGAGCACGTTTTATTCTTTCGGAAGCTATTGCAGTGAAAAAGCTCTCAGACCGTTAGGTACCAAGACTTCTGACAGCTGATCAGAAGCGTAACAGGTGAACTTTGTCGAGTGCTAATCTTAACCTTTGGAGGACTTCTGAACAGTCAAGAAAATGACTTATGTAAAAGTGGCATTGAGGCCTTTTTGGCATTGAGGCCTTTTATCAAAAGTGTATAACAGTGTAGTATATCGTTTTAAGGTTTTAACAATGTCTACCCCTGTAACTTTGAATATTGGTTAAAGTCAGTTTTTCACTAACCTTGTTGGAATTCATACTTGGAACCTGTCAGCCAAATACCATGTTTCATGGCCTTTCGGTTAATCAGAAGGTGTATTAAGTTTTTATCAAATTTGATCCCTGTGACCTTGAAAAAAATTATGTTCATTTTTTTCCGCAAGATATGTCATGTTTCATCTATGGAACTTATCAAACAATTGGTTAATTGTTATAAAGAAGTTGTTATAAAGATTTTGGCAAATTTGGCTACTGTTACACATGAAATATTCTGCGGTTTTGGTTTATTCCTATTCAGGTCTTTTGACTTACCTACACCCATCAATACAAAAGCTCCAATAGTCATGACAACTGTTTGAAAGGTATCGGTATACATGACAGCTGTAAGTCCCCCTAAAATACAAAAAGCGTATACGGTTTATAGTATTATTCATTCATTAAGATAAACAATTATCTTATGAAAGCACCTGGTTTACATAGATTACTTACCATCAACAATATACAAATATACAAAGAACAATATGTCTTGTGATAAAGAACACTGACGCCTGTACCTACATATATTCATCCATAGCATACATCCAAGGCATAAAAATTGAATTTTGATTGATAATTGTTCATTAGAATAACAACTGTTTTAGAATTTATTAAACAATCGTGCTAGTGGTCTGAAAATTTTACTTTCGCAAGTAGTCTTCTAAATCATCCATCAATATGAGAACACCAAAGCATATGATGCCATTCAATCCTGTCTTTAACACACACTCATACTACTAATTAATGTGGATTTGACATTGCTACATTCTGCCTGGAATACGTAAAGTACTAACCCAGTATAGTGTAAAAACCTGTGACAGCCAGTAGGATGATAACAGATACGTACATATTCCAGCCTGTAGCCATTTGTAAGAAAAGGGAACCCGCGAACATGCTCACCTGAATAACAATCATAATAAATGTACCAATAGAGCTACACATTGGGGTATTTGTGTTGTGTTTTCTGTCACTAATTGTTTAAATACCACCATTTTCCTGGATGTGCGTTAATGAAACGATGTACAACGCTTCCTTTACTTCTCAAATATGTAGGGCGTAATAGTGGATATATATATATATGAAATAGTAATACACTTTTACCAAATTTATGGTTTACAAAGTAAAATTAAATCCCATATTTATAACTAGCGTGAAATACATGTGGTTTATTAAAAATAAATGGATTTCTTGAATAGGGCTGTCATTAACAAACCACAAAGCCAGTTAATGTTATTGCTGTTGAAGGTGAATAAATTCAATTTATTGCCGTGAAAAACGATATCATAATGATTACCATACTGAATATCAATATTAAAAAATAAGCTACAAGTGGAATTCATGCATACGAAGATCTTAATGTACATAGTGTGTCTCTATAATCATATATAAGCAAATTTAATATAGTATGTTCAATAGATTTGAATATATTACCGTAAAGCCGCTTATTTTCGCGAGGATGATATTTTCGCTATTTCGAGTTACATTAACGTGATCGCAAAAATATAATCCGTGAAATAATGGGACAGTGTGTATAGATGTCCTTTAACGTCAAGATCGCGAAAATTGTATTCGTTTAAATCGCAAAAACTTTTTTCGTCGCACATTACCGTCAGTTTAGTGACGATTGTGAGTAGTAGAGAAAAGTAACAGAGATATATTTTACGTTGCACATTACCGCCAGTTTAGTGACGATGGAGAGTAGTAGAGAAAGGCAACAGAGATATATTTTCGTCGCACATTACCGCCAGTTTAGTGACGATGGAGAGTGGTAGAGAATGGCAACATTGCTATATTTTCGTCGCACATTACCGCCAGTTAAGTGACGATGGAGAGTGGTAGAGAAAGGCAACATAGCTATATTTTCGTCGCACATTACCGCCAGTTTAGTGACGATGGAGAGTAGAAGAGAAAGACAACAGAGATATATTCGGATCCTTGTGCCACCGAGACGTTTTTCCATATACTCAGGTAAAGTATAAACCTAAAATATGAAAATACAAGATATTAATTATTTAAGTATATCATTTCGTTATCTAAATGTTTCATAACTTTTTAATCGTATTTCTCCGTTTTTTGACTTCTTTTTATTATTTTATGTTTATCCTTTTAAAAAATGTCCAAATGAAGTTGAGCTGTCATAATGAAAATGCCAAGAATACTAACAAATGATTCAATATTGTGAAACAACTCAAACAACAGGGCGTCTTTTATAAGCTCTGACCAAATCAGTATGAATTGTAGCTGTAATATCTCGGAACGTCTTACTTTAATAAGTTAGTTAGAATAGGCTGCAGAGATAAGAGGAATGTTGCACAACAATTTATTGGATATTGCACGGTGATAATTGTATTTATCAGCTTTATCTGTAAAATTCATTACAATTATTTTGAAGATACTTGAGTAACTAATATGATTGGAAACTTACCCCTGAAGATATATATACCGGAATAAAATACCAGCCAAGTGCTAAAATAAGCATTGCCGGCTGAAAGTAAACAAAACAGAAAATAAACATTTTTTTTACAGTAACTTTAAGTCTCTTCAACAACGTTAATATTCCATTAACTTCTTAAATGGACTTTTGAAACATCAATCTTACAATTCAAAATATAAATTTTAATGTGGGAAAACATAAAAATCAAGATATGTTTATGAAACGCTATGTCGCAAAAAAAATCTGAAGTTGGACATTAAAACTGTACATTGTAAGGCCTGGGCATATGCTAATTGCATCACACTTTGTGAAATACTTATGTCGTCATTGTAGTAATTTTTTTTTCATTTTCAAATGTAGGTCAAACGTAACGGTCATGGTTACATGGTAAAAAAACAAAGGTCTAATCATAAGGAACACACATGCCAAATATGAAAATCCTACCTCTTACGGTGCAAAAGGTATGGGGAAAGGTTAAAGTTAACAACATCCAAACAAACAGCACAAAAACAATATACCCTAGGGGCATAAAAAGATAGCAATGATATATTCATTGCTGATTGCAGTGGTTGCGAACTCTTGTTGTACTGTATCGTGACAGGAAAAGAAGTATAGATCTCACCGTAATAAAAGCAGAATACATCACTTCACAGATTGGATGGCTGAAACATTCTCAATCATCATAAAAATGTAGATAAACTATGATTTTAATATGCTATAAAGCCACGTTTACATTTGTGGCTGCAGGCCTCGACTCATGATGTTTTTAGCAAACAGAACAATGAGAAAAAATTAAGCGTTTTTCCTGCATACGTTTTTGTTACGTTTTGTTAAGTCATTGTGACTAATTTTGTGATAGTGTTGCCCCGTCTTTAATGAAAATGAAAAGGTAGTTTCACAAACACATGTTACATTGATAAAATATTGTAATATAGGGTTAACAAACCAGCCATTCAAACATGATATTGGCGATCCCACTAGAGGCACCAGATCCTGCGAGACCAACGAAGTGTTCGCTTCCGATATTGCTGGAGAATAAGGAAGCGCCTACCTGGAAAAAAGAGTATCATTATTGCTTGAACAAACATATTAATGACTATCGTAGTTGTGTCAGCAAGGAATTTTATCTTCAGCATGGAGGTATGAATAAGATAATGAGGTAAATAAATTGTTGATTCCATCTGTACATATCCACAACATATAATTGTTCTCATTTATTATATCTCACATCCCATAGTATATGTGAATATCAAATTTAATGTTTATAATTAGGAAAACAAAAATGGAATAGAAGTTCTTATAACACAATAAGTAGAAGATTAGAGTGAGATGTTTTGATGTTTACGCGGTCACCTTCATCAGTCCTGCAGACAGTCTGTCTTTTGAAGGTGACGGTGTAGTCATTAAAACATCATCTTGTAATGGGTATGTTATAAGAATTTATATTCTAGTGACATCATCAGCCTGAAAAACATGTGCCGAGATAGAAACCACGAATGTTACATACTGCTAACCAAGGCATGGATCGTCCAGCGAGGAAATAACTCTTCACATTCCCACGGCTGGGTCGCCTCATTGACTGAAAATGCAGAAACAAAAACAGTTCCTTTCCAAAGAATTGATAATATGATACAAGTGTATCATATTGTGTTGCTCTGGCTGAGTTGTATTTTGTGCTATATCTTTAAAGATGTTATTTATAGTAAAAAATATTGTCCGCTTTAATGACTTCTGCGAAAAATACACCTTTTATGCATTCAAACGTTGACAAAACCATGAAATGTTGAACCATAGTATAAAAACAAATTTTATTATATATGACATTGTGTTGTCAGTAACTTTTTTTAAAAGGGCAATAAAATGCTGCATAGTTCGTTATTTAGAAAATGCCTGCCATGCCCATATGTACGTTGACCTGAAGATATCGTTATCATAGGGGAAAAGTCAAATGTAAAAACCCTAATTCACTTAATTCACTCTGCTCAATTATTCATACAACCCAAAACTACCCTCTTACCCGATATCAGTATCCTAATAAACATATCTAAAATTTTAGTACTTGCAGCTAATATAACAGATTGAACGTTTTAATCTAAAATCATATTAAAATTTTTAATTTAGACTAAAACGAAATCCCCTATCAATCTGATTGATAAATTGCATGTCCCCAAGCTATAAAGAATCAGCAAACATATATCTCATGATAAATCAGACCATTTTCATACTCGATGGAAACCCAATTTTTTTTTTATTTTTTTTATGTTTAAGAAATGACCTCGTAAGAACGTGTACCCAGTCCCTTTTTATATTTTGAGTCTATTTCAGGAATGTTACTATTATCGTTAGGTGCACAAAGACTTAGTTTACATACCCATAATCCAATCGCTAGCACTGCCACGAAGTATAGAACAAGGACTAGAATGTCCGCCCAGTTGTCAATACGTCGTGTTGTCACCGCCATGTTTCCTTATCTGTAGGCTCTCACGGATGTGATATCTGTGGTGTGCCTGGGCGAACGTTAAATGTTGAAATCACTGCATAATTCATATCTCTTACAATGGAAAGGTATCAAATTACGAGCTACCGAGGCGCGTTTTATCACATTGCCTATAAAAGCGGCTGTGTGCAGTGGACTGCGGAAAGGGTCACGTAGAGCTAGACACATATAAGAGATCATACCCCATGATTTATTTAAAGATAAGTCTTGATATGTGTGAAAAAAAGTTTTCATCACTGCTAAAAAAGTGTAGCCTGTGCAGATGGCATGCCATAGCGCTTGCCGGAACGTTGAGAGATATAAATATACGTTCTCGTTTGACTACCTCAGAAATCCGTCTGAGCGACCAACAAAGTCAACTAATTGGCCTAAATGATGCAAAACCTACAGCAGTAGAATTAGCGGCTTTCGAAGCGAGACGTTGCCAACACAAATGTCATGCCAGAATGACCGTGGAAGGCAACAGATTCATTTTGCCATGAGAATCGTATTCGTCATGATTTTACAAAGACGTACAAATGCATAGCAATGCTTACAAACCTTCAAGTTGACGTTTAGGCTCTGAAAGCATCTCGGAAGACCTTTTGCAAAGGAGGAAGACACTATTACAAATGTGGAAAATTGGGTCTTTTTGAACTCTCCAATGATGACACAATCAGTAACACGAAGAAAAATATGTGTGCTGGGAATTAGCAACTAAAACGCGGTTTGTATTTCACAGCCGTAATGTATGGTAAACCGTGCATAATAATTACGGTGATGTCAGAGATAAAACATCCGCACGTGAGCAATTTAGAAAGACGTATTGGTCGCTAATGATGATAAAAACATACTTTTGGTCAACCAAGCTCGACGTTAAATTAGCACAGTGGTTGCCAATATTTCGTGCTATTAGATATTGAGCGTACACAAAACTGGTAAGTCGATCTTCTGAAAAAAAAATCAATGGATGCGCAGCGGTAATACCAATTAAGTTATTCGCAGATTCAGTTGCGCTCTTCTTCATCTCGTGGAAACGATCACGATCCCCGCATGCCATGAGCTCGTTGTCTCGGTGGGATTTTAAAAAGTATCATCAGATAGCCACCCACAAATTCTATATAAAAGTACTGCTGTTTGCGAGTTTGAGCCAGCCATCGGATTTGTACGACAATCTACAAAATATGTCTCGTCGAACCTAGATGCGCTTTAACATGAGACAAAGCTAAGGCTTAACAAAAATTAATTCAAATGCTTTAAGCGTTTATTTTACAGGTTCAATGACCTTTCCTGAAAAGATGATAATTATTTCGGGAAAGGGGGAATCATGAAGCACTGCATAGACACCGGTAACAACCGACCCGTCCAGCTCAACCCCTGTAAGGCTTCCGCATCATCCCAAAATAGAAGAAGACAACCAGGTTGAAGATATAATAAACCCTTCGTCGTGACCATGGACATCTCGAATAATTCTCCAAGGCAAGAAAGGCGGAAGTCTGTGCTTTATTGTGGATTATCAGCAGTTTAACAACGACACGGTCTACGACGCCTATCCGCTTTCATGCTTGGATGAATCACTCAACTAAAACCATTCGCCTGGGTAATGGCAGTTTGAAATGGACTCTTTTGCAAACACAAAATTGGTGTTCGTGATGCGCAGTGGTCCTATATATATAAATGGAACTCGTCTTACCCAGGTTGTTTTGTTGGATATACTTAGACGACATCGTCGTGCACGGAGGAACCGTTTACGGAGTGTAGAAACAATTCAAACATCTAGGTTATTTCGCTAAGGACGTATCATTCTTAGGGCACATTGTGTCATGCAAGCGAATTGCTACTGATCCGGCACAGTCGCAAAACCTACCGTCCTTCGTTTCGCAAGTTCTGTAATTTCTCGGTGTATGCCGCTGCTTTTTTTTTTTTTTTTTTAAATATATTTAGAATTTGTGCAGATCGTCCATTGCAGAACGCGCTTACAAAGAAGAATAGTTTTTGTTTTTGATTGGCGCCGTTTTATCGCAGGAGTGCCATCAAAGTAAGCTTTTACATTCGTCAAAGGCTCATGTGCAGACTGGGCAGAGTGGTCTTTCAATGGAACGTATTTCCGTCGATACTGCTGGACCTCTTCAATTGACCAAGGATGGAAACCAGTACATCCTATTCGTGGCCGACTACGTCACCTAATGGACTGAAGCTTTTGTGATGACGGATCAGGAAACGCTGGCTGTGGCAAACATTTTGGTTCAGGAGGTTATAGCCAGATTTGGTACTCAGACCATGGACACCAATTTGAATGTTTACAGAAATATTCGAGTTACTTGGGAAACGGAAAAAAACCGAAGATCAGCCGACCATCCGCAAAGCGACAGCATAATAGAAGAGGTATTACGAAGGCTCGTCAGCAAATATAAGAACGGATGTTCTTCTGTCCTGATAACTAATGGCATATCGGACGTCCATTTACGAGTAAAACGAATTTACTCCCAATCATAGGTGATAGGGAGAGAGGTATCGGCACCTCTTATGATTGTAATTTAGAGGCAACCAAATTATCAGATGATATGCACCATGAACGTTTGTAGTGGATCGTTTTCTCTCGTGACTCGCAAACACGCGCGTACACCAGGTATACATGTAAGCAAATACAACAAAGACGCTTCGCTGCGATATAAGTGGTATTTGATGGTGATTTCATAACACGAATTGTTATATAAGTTTATTCAAGGGCTGCAAGAAAAACCAAATGGACGTCAATAGTTGTCGCGACATCACATTTTTTATATTCGTATTGAAGATTTTTTTTTTAAATTTTAAACTTCTATATCGTAGAATATTTAAACGATCGGACAATCTTGGGTCCATGCTACCCTACAAGTTTTGAGACTACAGTATGATAGTGTTACAACCGGATAGTTATCATACACTTTACGGATATAGGGTCTACGGTTTTGATAGCATTCTTTGGCAGCCATAAGGCTTTCTACCAGGTTTGGATTAACGGATTGTTCTACAAGTTATTGAAACTAGGCTTCAACGGCAATACATGACGATTGCACCGGGACTCATTTAGTTCAGTAACATCGCGTGTGCTGTTTAAAGGACGTCTATCAGAACCTTATGACATCATGCGGGGCTTCGGTCAAGGCCGAGTGTTATCTGCATTGTCATTTTAGTAATGGTGAATGACCTTGCCATAGAACTTAACATTGCCTACCTACCCTACCTATCCTATCTGTCCATCCATCCATCCATCCGTCCGTTCGTCCATCCATCCATCCATCCATCCATCAAACCTCTTGATATGTTGCATCCCATGTATACGTAATTTTCTGTACACGATTCCATTTAATGTAGTCCCTACTCAAAATACATGTATTATTCTTTTGATTTTCGTATTTTCTGTCAAAAAATAAACATAATTTTCAAAACATTTTTTCTTAAGACTTTCGTCACTTGGCAAACATAAAATTTCAACAAATATGAAAATATATTGAATCGACAAAACTCAAAGATTACTCCGATGTGTGAGAGAAAAAAACATCCTACATCCTGTCGGTGCAATCTTTATCATTATTTTTCATTAATCAAGCTGAAGTTGTTAATTCCGTATAAGTTGATGCATTTCTAACGAAATCTGCATTAAGGAAAATAATGTTCGAAATCCTAATAAAGGTTTGATATCAATCATGTTTTATCAATACCACTTGTGAGTGTAAGACTGTTGGAACTACGAGATCAGCAGCAGATTCTGGAAGAGAAAGGAGGCATTCAACTAGGTAAAATGTTGATCTTTAATAGATTGTCAACTTTATGAATATTCTAGGAACATCTGTCGACGGTAAACGTGTAGATGGATTCTTTATTTCAAAATTACACAAGAAATTGGTATTTGATTTACGCTTAAATATGTGGTTATAAAATACTTATCGCGAACCCTACTGCGGAAAACTATAAAAAGGGACCATTAAAATGGATAGTTCACATTTCGATTTTACTTTATGATAGAGTTACTCTAAACTATAGCAAAAAACCATTGTCCTCGTAAAAATATTTTATCACTTGAATATACTTCTCTATCGATGGAGGAAATATTGAATATTTTAGCGCCGAGTTGAATGTATAACCGGGCACATTGTTTTGTTATCGGGATGATTGTTTTGTAAAAGTCAGGAGCGTAGAGTGAGTCAGGTGTGCACGTGATAAAGAACAACTCAGTATTGTCATAAATGTGTACATTGTAATGAAACAAAATCGAACAGTTACCATAAAGATTAAACTACCTGCAGGAACATGGATAATTACTTTTGTTAGAGACAACATGGAGAAATGCCTTATCTAGCTACAGCTACATTATATGTATTTTTACGGCCTTTCAGCGGACGAGCTAAGCTACAGCTGTTAGTACTATAGTTAATAATTTTATCTATACAGTTGTAGTGCTATGTTGAAATTAGTCGTGTGTTCGCATTTTAAGGCATTTTTTGAGTTGGTGGCCTTTGGAAATCAGGGATATTTTTAATTTATGTATTCAGGTGTACATTATTCTCTATGTCACCAGCGCGCGCGAAATTAGCACGAGTTGTGAGAGACTGTGAGAGTTTAGCATGCGCGTGTCGCGAAGCACCCTGTCCTCGGATTCCAGTCACGTCATTCCGCACCTGGCCGGCACCGTGTGCACAAGCGCATTCTCCCCTGTTGAGTATTGGTCCAAAATGTAATATTGCGTTGTAAGTTAATTATAATTAACTGTTTTATGTTATATGTAACGTAATGCATGTAATGTGCATTGCATGCTCCTGTTTTACCAGAAATAAAGTGCTAAACAAGAACCCCCCGACTTCTTCTATTAAATGGCCGGCCCTGCATTACAAAGGGTTACAAAACGCCGCCCAACGTGGGGCATGGCTAAGTACTATTCACAGGTCCTTACATCCGGAGAAGGCGGGCGCACTTCCGGTATGGACAAGCTTCAAAAACTGTTTCACGGGTAGAGCTATCATTCACCGTGAGCTGAGTGTCATCTAGGGTGATGACCTCACTGACTGGCTCCGCTGGCCTCACATTCTGGACCCTGGAACGCCTCTTTGGACACGGAAGAGGAACAGAAGTATAGTCGTCACTGCTGTCGGCATCAGCAGATGACGAATTCTCATTCTCGGCTGTAGCTGGAACGGAGGGTCTTGCTCTGAGGATAACTACCTCCTCAGGAACGTCTACAGCATTGTGCAGGGTGCGTACGCCACTTTTGCCCGATTCAAGTTTCACCTGGTAGACTGAAATATCACTATCTGGTATCTTCAAAACCAAATATGGTTCCTGTTCCCATTTGTCAGCTAATTTGTGCTTTCCCTGGAGACCGACATTTCTAACCAGTATACGGTCACTAACATTGAGCCGAGATACCCGTATGGACCGATCATACCGGTCTTTGTTGCGGGCAGCATTCTTGGATGCTCGAGCAGCTTTATAGGCATATTCCATCCTATCTTTGAGCTTGCCAACATATGAAGTTGGTTCTGCTGATCCCTCACTCCTGGTGGAGTCATTCTTTGTGGCATTGTAGGCCTGCACCAGAGGCGCTACGTAAGATTTCTAGTCAGCTCTATGGTCATGCTCTAAGGTACCGAGCATTGCTAACGAAGTTCTGTTGAACCTTTCAACTTGGCCGTTTCCCATTGGATGGTATGGTGTGATTCGGGACTTAGAGACTCCTGCACGCTTGCAGAGATCTTTGATTACTTTGCTTTCAAAGTCACGTCCCTAATCACTATGTAAACGCTCAGGAACGCTGTAAAAGCGCCTTAGCTGTCACATGTGCCTTCTGACTTCGGCACGGCACTGCCTGGGCATACCTAGTGAAATGATAAGTAATGACAAAAATGTTTTCAAATCCACATTTTGACCGCTCAAGACTGAGTAAATCAGTACAAACAATTTCCAATTGTCTAGAACTTTGAATGGGAACAAGTCCAGTTTTAGGTTTGACTGGAGTCTTGCGTCTATGACAATGGCCACAGGTTTCAACTCTATCATTTACATCTTTCTCCCAGCTCGTCCAGTAAAACCGCTGTCAAGCCAACAAGAGTGTTTACACAATCTTTATTTCTCCACTGTTAGTGCAATTGTTTTGTTGTGTATATATGTATAGAAAGGTCTATTATTTATGAACAATCTGCTATACCTGTATATCTCAAACATGATAGATAATTTCAGGAAAAACGCAAATTAACTGTTTCTTGCTCTCTGTATATGTTGTATAAAATCTTAAATACATTTAGAGTTATTTCCCTTGTCCAAGATGTCTGCGCTCATGAAACTGCACTCGAGAAGTTCATATTAGCATGTAATTGGAATTCTTAGTTTCCTGACTCATTACTGGTAACGAATTCAATCGTAATGTTTCTTTTTAAATTCAAGTATTGAGTTTGGCAAGCATTACCCTCTCGAATAGATGTACTTTTAAAATCTTTCATCTCTTGTTCACTCGTCGAAGGACGTCACGTACACCCGGTGCATAGCCCAAAGACACCTGTATCTTATACGATGTAGAATGGACTGGTTCATTTTGAGACTGGTGAAAGAATACATATGTCAGTCACTAAACACAACTCGATTATTTAGTTGTTGTTTTATAAGCTCTGTCAGCATTATGAATTTATTGTTAGATTTTGCCGGTCGGGGTAGGAGGCAATTAATGTTTGTACAGGAACCCTTCCAGCCGGCGCGACGATTTACCCAAATCTACACAAATACACCCAAACAAAGCCAAATCAAAACCAAGCATACCCAAATAAAGCCAAATCGGATCCATGTACATCGAAAAAAAAATCTTACCCAAATATACCCAAATTCGTCCCCGCTTCATTTTTGTCCGTTAGCCTATATGGTATTACGGAATTTATATGAATTGCCTTAGTAAATGGAAGCTAAAATTAGACAAAGATAGTCTATTTGATCATGTGTATATCGTTTATTAGTAATAAAATATAATACCAGGAACGTATATAACAGATATACGTCCCTGATAATACAGAGCCCGTTACGGCACGCTTTATTTGAGTATATTTGGGTAAGATTTGGGTATATTTGGGTAGATTGTAGGTATATTTGGGTAAGATTTGGCTTAATTTGGGTATATTGGGGTATATTTGGGTAAGATTTGGCTTTATTTGGGTAGATTGTGGGTATATTTGTGAAAGATTTGGGTGTATTGGGGTGTATTTGGGTATATTTGGGTGTATTTGGGTAAATCGTCACGCCCCTTCCAGCCTCTAAGCACAAGTAGCTTTACTAGCTTTTTTGTCATATATATTACGAATGTATATTTCAATGTAACTACTCAAATAACGGTCTTAATAAACTGAAGTGATTGATATCACACCTCTTCTCCTTTTATATTATACATGCTATATTTATACTTTACAGGTATTCAGCATGGGCATTGAGTCGGTGCTGGAATCATCAGAAGATGACAAGACCAGTATTGGACTAACAAAAAAGGGAAGTGTCCTGCTTGGAGTATTTGGTGGCTTGTTTGTTGGAGTCTACACATTAACCGGCCCATTTCTGGCCCCAGCCCTCAGAAAAATTTGTTTACCATTTCTGCCAGCATCACCTACACAAATGAGAAATGTGTTTAAAGCACTTGGCAGCAGAAAGGGAAGCCTATTGGATATTGGAAGTGGAGATGGGCGAATTGTATGCAATAATTTAATCATACCTCAAAAATTTTATTGATTGATTGATTGATTTATCTATTTATTAATTTGCTTGTTATTTTTAATTCATTCCATCATCTTTTTCCTTAAACAACTTTTAGTTTAGTAGATAGCTTTTACATTTGTTGAATAAAAATCATGACCTTGGCCCACTAAGGGCTCTAAAGTTTGTCCAAATTAATAACTTTGACCAACTTTGAAGATCGAAGGGTCAAATGTTTAAAAATCTTCATGAAAAACAACTTCTAAATAATCAAAATGTCCATGATCATGATATGATGCTCATGGTATATCGAGATGGTAATGTGAAAAACCTTGACTCAATGTAAATTTCACAAAGGCAAGAGCTAAAATAATCAATTAGAGTATAAAGTTCACCCACTCTCGAGGTCACAGGTCAAATTGTAATCATCTTCAAATGATTTCAAATTAAGCTAAACATCTGGAATAATGTTATTTGTATGCAAAAAATAGGAAAATGTGGTAGAAAGTTTATGATTAATATTGAAGTTGCTGGTACACTCTTCCATTTAAGTTATGTTATAGTCTTCATGAACTGATGTACAGGCAAATGATACAGGTTTATTGGGCCCCTTGTTGCTTACCAAATACCCATCTCTTGAGGCATTAATTTGTTGCCCATTAAATTGGCTAAACTGCAAGCTGACTGTACCCTTGCTCTAACATCAAGATAACTGTCTAGAGAATGAGTTCCATACCAACAAAGTACACATTTTTGAAAACTTGCTTACAGCAGATGCACTATCTCCTAATAAATTTTAATAAACTAAAACAGAGATGGGATTTCACATTTTCAAGACCCCTCTATGTTGTTGCATGCATAACAAGCATACATATATGAAATAGATATTGGCCTTGCAGTAGGTTTTGAGAAATTGAAGTCAGAAAGATGTTATTAGATTTTGTATCAGTATGAGCTTCTAGTTGTTAAAAGTTTCTGGTTTTGATAAAGAACTTATATGATAGGCATCAGAGTCATACTTATATTGTGCTTTGAAGGTAATTCACAAACTTTTTCTTTTATGATTATGTAAATGTATGAAAATCTGTATCAGGTGATCGAAGCCGCCAAAAATGGTTACAAAGCTTCAGGGATTGAGTTGAATATGTGGCTGGTACTTTATTCCCGCTTGGCTGCAAGACGAGCAGGCATGAACACACAGGCTACCTTCAAGCGTCAGGATCTGTGGAAAGTAGGTGTGAAAGAGATTGCCAAAATAAAAAAGCTTGTTTTTGTGCTACATCTTTCTGTAACACCTTAATATTAACAAAGATATTCAAAGCAAAATATTCATATTTATTTCCAATTCAATATATTAAACTGTAAATTAAGTGTGCATGACTTGTCTCCCTTGTATACCTCTTGTACAGAAGATAAAAACGCTTCAAAAAAGAGAAGAATGGTTGCTTGCTTCCTCACTGCATATAATGCAAAACTCTCCATATAAATGATCAAATCTGAGATTTACAATAATACTAATATTAATCCTCATCAGTGCTGAAATATCATCACCATTTACTGCTGTCTCTCTTTTGCAAATGTTCCAAGTTCCTTATACAGTGTTTAAAAAAAGAGATCTTGTCACCTTTCAGAATTACTTTTTTGGCATCAGTTATATATCCGATTTGTGTCTTGCTGAATGTTTTGAAAAAGCATGCAATGATGGGCCCCCCAAGATCCCTCTGGGATCTCTTGTTACTTTTGGTTGATCAGGTTCAAATATCAGTGCCTTCTAAAATGTTGGGTTTGCTAAAATGTTTTTTTTCCTTAGTCAAAAAATCAAAACTCAAGGTAGCATGTGGAATTTCATAATTAAATTAAAAGTGTTTTACAAAAGTATTTGGTAATGCAGGTGAAATTCCAATTTTGTGAAACTTGTTTATAATCAGGTCCCCAAGTTTTTCAATACTAATGAAGATTTCTTACCTTTCTTATCTGCTTCCCAGACTGATGTCAGTCCTTACAACAATGTGGTGATATTTGGTGTGAGACAAATGGTAAGTTACCCAGGGTGTAATTATACCATGATATTGTATACATGTAAAATATATGAGGTTATATAATCTTATGTTAATTTCTGTCAAAGAGAATTTGGTTTATACAAAAATTGACATCTATTTTGTAACAGATTTTCTTAAATCATTGCAAAACTTTTATTCAATCCAGCTGAATGCTAAAACAAATGTATACATATGTATTACCGTTTCCTCAAGTTTGAAAGAATCCCTTCAGAAATTTACTGTAAATACATCATGAGCCCACAAGTTGTATAAATCTTTGGTTGTCTGTTTCAGATGGAGCCCTTGGAACAAAAACTCGAAAAAGAGTTAGCACAGGAAAGTGTTGTTGTAGCTTGTCGTTTCCGATTCCCAAACTGGGAGCCAGTCCTGACTCTGGGTGAAGGAGTGGACACCGTCTGGCTATACAGAATAAATAGTCTATCGCACAGCACCGCTAACACAAAACAGTCTATCACACAGCACAGCTAACACAAAACAGTCTATCTCATAGCACAGCTAACGCGAAACGTATAACCTCTCACACAGCACAGCTATCTCATAGCACATTTAACACAAAATAGTCCATCACATAGCACAGCTTACACAAAACCGTCTATCACACAGCACACCTAACACAAAACAGTCGATCTCAGCACAGTTAACACAAAACAGTCTATCACACAGCACAGTTAACACTAAACAGTCTATCACACAGCATACCTTACACAAATCATTTCAATCTATATCTGGAGCAACTTCATGTGTATTACTTTAAATCATCATTTGGATGATTTCTAGAGCTGATTGTTCTGTGTATGCAGGTTTCCTGCTCATCAGGATTAGACAGCTTGATGTACAGCACCAATGCAGGACCTCCGCTAAAGTCCAGCTTGTGCTGGCTGTTACTGGCTGCAAAGCTAGGCATAAGTTTTAATCCACATCAATGATAAAGAAAATGTATGACATTTCAAAATGGGTATTTTTTTACTGTGTAAGATATTAAGAAGACTGTAATACTGAACTAATTTTCAGTATTCTGAGGCTTTTTGTTTGAGAAATAAAGATGTTTTTATCAAAATAAATTCTTTTGAAATACTCAATTTTTTAAATAGTGACTCCCTAGCTTGTATCACTGTATGTAGTCGTGGTCAGCGGTTAATTGGAAAACAAAGCTACCAGTTTTTAAGCATTTTCTCAATTTGCCAAAAGAGCTGTAAAATTAATATGACAACCATGAATATCATGTGTGTAGTATTAATAAGAGACCTGTTGGGCCTGTATAATTTACATGAATGTAATTTTATTGAATTCGAGCATGCTAATAAACCCTTTCTTTTTAAGTTAATGCTTGAAAAACATGACTATTAGTCTTGTTGAATGAGAGGATGTAGCAAATGACTTAAATAATTTGACCTTGCAAGTGGGTCAAGGTCATTCATTTATCAATAATCAAGACTTTGGACTGCTTACTGATTTGGTGGCAACTTGTAGAAGGAAACACATGACCTCTGCTTTGTGTGAAATGGCATTTGGTGATTGTCCCACAGTGACTGCATAAGTTACATTTTAGATATATTCAGATTGAGAAAGTGACTATGTAGACTTCTCTATAGTGTTCTTTTGACTAAATTGATGCATTAATCACAAGATGGAACCATGTTCTGGCAGTGACACGAAAACTACACAAGACCAGCTACAGCTCACTAATAATCTTAAAAAGCGAAAACATTTTTGCTTTCAAATGCAATTTATTTGATCAAATGGCTATTTCAGATCTGTCAAGTTTTGAAACAACGAGAAACATAGAACCAATATAACATGATCAATAATAAACTATGGAATGATTGAATTAATGAATAACATGCAACATATTGACAATAATTGTTGAGTATTGCTTATATCCGATTCAAAGTGTCTCTTTTAGAGAGCTGTTGTTGATGTGTAAATCTTTCAAGTGAATTTCTTGTATCTACACCAACCGAGATCACTCCCTAGGATTTTTATGTAGGGTTGTTACACTAGTAATTAAAGAGCCACTCCTTCGGTTTAGGTTCTTGGAGTGGGGATTGCACTCTAATGATGGAAGAGCCGCATGTTCGTATGAACCATGACCATCTTGTGTTCGTTACAGGCCTTGATAACTCCCCCATCATTTGTGGATCCTGCAGGTGACACAATGTACTCCACCCCACTCTGAAACAGTATCAAATTGTGGTCATTAAAGTTAAAGTATCATAACTACAACTATTCTTTAGTTTGACAGGTAACTGAGGTTATTACCTCCAAATAGATAGACAGGTGACCCAGGTATATACCTCCACATAGACTGGTAACCCAGGTATATACCTCCTCATAGACTGGTATCTGAGGTTATTACCTCCAAATAGATAGACTGGTGACCCAGGTATATACCTCCTCATAGACTGGTAACTGAGGTTATTACCTCCAAATAGATAGACTGGTGACCCAGGTATATACCTCATAGACAGGTAACTGAGGTTATTACCTCCAAATAGATAGACTGGTGACCCAGGTATATACCTCCTCATAGACAGGTAACTGAGGTTATTCCCTCCAAATAGATAGACAGGTGACCCAGGTATATACCTCCTCATAGACTGGTAACCCAGGTATATACGTCCTCATAGACTGGTAACCCAGGTATATACCTCCTCATAGACTGGTTACTGAGGTTAATACCTCCAAATAGATAAACTGGTGACCCAGGTATATACCTCCTCATAGACTGGTAACTGAGGTTATTACCTCCAAATAGATAGACTGGTGACCCAGGTATATACCTCCTCATAGACAGGTAACTGAGGTTATTACCTCCAAATAGATAGACTGGTGACCCAGGTATATACCTCCTCATAGACTGGTAACTGAGGTTATTACCTCCAAATAGATAGACTGGTGACCCAGGTATATACCTCCTCATAGACTGGTAACTGAGGTAACTACCTCCAAATAGATAGACTGGTGACCCAGGTATATACCTCCTCATAGACAGGTAACTGAGGTTATTACCTCCAAATAGATAGACTGGTGACCCAGGTATATACCTCCTCATAGACAGGTAACTGAGGTTATTACCTCCAAATAGATAGACTGGTGACCCAGGTATATACCTCCTCATAGACTGGTTACTGAGGTTAATACCTCCAAATAGATAAACTGGTGACCCAGGTATAATCCTCCTCATAGACTGGTAACTGAGGTTATTACCTCTAAATAGATAGACAGGTGACCCAGGTATATACCTCCTCATAGACTGGTAACTGAGGTTAATACCTCCAAATAGATAGACTGGTGACCCAGGTTTATACCTCCTCATAGACTGGTAAACCAGGTATATACCTCCTCATAGACTGGTAACACTGGTATATACCTCCTCATAGACTGGTAACCCAGGTACATACCTCCTCATAGACTGGTAACCCAGGTATATACCTCCTCATAGACTGGTGACCCAGGTATATACCTCCTCATCATAGACTGAGGTTATTACCTCCAAATAGATGACTGGTGACCCAGGTATATACCTCCAAATAGATAGACTGGTGACCCGGGTATATACCTCCTCATAGACTGGTAACCCAGGTATATACCTCCTCATAGACTGGTAACCCAGGTATATACCTCCTCATAGACTGGTAACTGAGGTAACTACCTCCAAATAGATAGACAGGTGACCCAGGTATATACCTCCTCATAGACTGGTAACTGAGGTTAATACCTCCAAATAGATAGACTGGTGACCCAGGTATTATCCTCCTCATAGACTGGTAACTTAGGTTATTACCTTTAAATAGATAGACTGGTGACCCAGGTATATACCTCCTCATAAAACGTAAAAACAGCAGAAAAACTCAAGAAAGAAAGAATGGTAACGCAGGTATATACCTCCTCATAGACTGGTAACTGAGGTATATATACCTCCAAATAGATAGACTGGTGACCCAGGTATATACCTCCTCATAGACTGGTAACCCAGGTATATACCTCCTCATAGACTGGTAACTGAGGTTAATACCTCCAAATAGATAGACTGGTGACCCAGGTATATACCTCCACATAGACTGGTGACCCAGGTATATACCTCCTCATAGACTGGTAACTGAGGTTATTACCTCCAAATAGATAGACTGGTGACCCAGGTATATACCTCCTCATAGACTGGTGACCCAGGTATATACTAGAGGTAACCTCCAAATAGATAGACTGGTAACCCAGGTATATACCTCCTCATAGACTAGTAACCCAGGTATATACCTCCTCATAGACTGGTGACCCAGGTATATACCTCCAAATAGATAGACTGGTAACGCAGGTATATACCTCCACATAGACTGGTAACCCAGGTATATACCTCCTCATAGACTGGTAACCCAGGTATGTACCTCCTCATAGACTGGTAACTGAGGTTATATACCTCCAAATAGACTGGTAGTATATACTGGTGACCCAGGTATATACCTCCTCATAGACTGGTAACTGAGGTTATTACCCTCATAGACTGGTGACCCAGGGTAACTTAGGTTATTACCTCCAAATAGATAGACTGGTGACCCAGGTATATACCTCCTCATAGACTGGTAACTGAGGTTATTACCTCCAAATAGATAGACTGGTGACCCAGGTATATACCTCCTCATAGACTGGTAACCCAGGTATATACCTCCTCATAGACTGGTAACCCAGGTATGTACCTCCTCATAGACACCCATAGACTGGTGACCCAGGTATATACCTCCTCATAGACAGGTAACTGAGGTTATTACCTCCAAATAGATAGACTGGTAACGCAGGTATATACCTCCTCATAGACTGGTAACCTAGGTTTATACCTCCTCATAGACTGGTAACCCAGGTATATACCTCCTCATAGACTGGTGACCCAGGTATATACCTCCAAATAGATAGACTGGTAACGCAGGTATATACCTCCTCATAGACTGGTGACCCAGGTATATACCTCCTCATAGACTGGTAACTGAGGTTATTACCTCCAAATAGATAGACTGGTGACCCAGGTATATACCTCCTCATAGACTGGTAACCCAGGTATATACCTCCTCATAGACTGGTAACAGGTTAATACCTCCTCATAGACTGGTAACAGGTTAATACCTCCAAATAGATAGACTGGTGACCCAGGTATATACCTCCACATAGACTGGTGACCCAGGTATATACCTCCTCATAGACTGGTAACCCAGGTATATACCTCCTCATAGACTGGTAACCCAGGTATATACCTCCTCATAGACTGGTAACCCAGGTATATACCTCCTCATAGACTAGTAACCCAGGTATATACCTCCTCATAGACTGGTGACCCAGGTATATACCTCCAAATAGATAGACTGGTGACCCAGGTATAATCCTCCTCATAGACTGATAACTGAGGTTATTACCTCCAAATAGATAGACTGGTGACCCAGGTATATACCTCCTCATAGACTGGTGACCCAGGTATATACCTCCTCATAGACTGGTAACTGAGGTTATTACCTCCAAATAGATAGACTGGTGACCCAGGTATATACCTCCTCATAGTAACTGAGGTTATTACCTCCAAATAGATAGACTGGTGACCCAGGTATATACCTCCTCATAGACTGGTAACTGAGGTAACTACCTCCAAATAGATAGACAGGTGACCCAGGTATATACCTCCTCATAGACTGGTAACCCAGGTATATACCTCCTCATAGACTGGTAACCCAGGTATATACCTCCACATAGACTGGTAACCCAGGTATATACCTCCTCATAGACTGGTAACCCAGGTATATACCTCCACATAGACTGGTAACCCAGGTATATACCTCCTCATACACTGGTAACTGAGGTTACCACCTCCAAATAGATAGACTGGTGACCAGGGAATATACCTCCTCATAGACTGGTAACACTGGTATATACCTCCTCATAGACTGGTAAGCCAGGTATATACCTCCTCATAGACTGGTAACAGGTTAATACCTCCAAATAAATAGACTGGTGACCCAGGTATATACCTCCACATAGACTGGTGACAAAGGTATATACCTCTACCTCCCAAATAGATAGACTGGTGACCCAGGTATATACCTCCTCCAGGTATACCCAGGTATATACCTCCTCATAGACTGGTAACCCAGGTATATACCTCCTCATAGACTGGTGACCCAGGTATATACCTCCTCATAGACTGGTAACTGAGGTTATTACCTCCAAATAGATAGACTGGTGACCCAGGTATATACCTCCTCATAGACTGGTAACTGAGGTTATTACCTCCAAATAGATAGACTGGTGACCCAGGTATATACCTCCACATAGACTGGTGACCCAGGTATATACCTCCTCATAGACTGGTAACCCAGGTATATACCTCCTCATACACTGGTAACTAAGGTTACCACCTCCAAATAGATAGACTGGTGACCCGGGTATATACCTCCTCATAGACTGGTAACTGAGGTAACTACCTCCAAATAGATAGACAGGTTACCCAAGTATATACCTCCTCATAGACTGGTATATACCTCCTCATAGACTGGTAACCCAGGTATATACCTCATAGACTGGTAACCCAGGTATATAGACTGGTAACCCAGGTATATACCTCCTCATAGAGGTATTATCATACCTCCAGGTTAATAACTGGTAGGTATATATAGACTGGTGACCCAGGTATATACCTCCTCATAGACTGGTAACCCAGGTACCTCCACATACCTCCAGGTATATACCTCCTCATAGACTGGTAACCCAGGTATATACCTCCATAGACTGGTAACCCACTGGTATATACCTCCTCATAGACTGGTAACCCAGGTATATACCTCCTCATAGACTGGTAACCCAGGTTATATACCTCCAAATAGATAGAAATAGTATATACATAGACTGGTAACCCAGGTATATACCTCCTCATAGACTACCTCCTCATAGACTGGTAACTGATTTTCGTTGTTTTCGTGGATGGTCCACGAATTTAAAAACACAACGAAATACCTCTAAAGTAAGAAATTTGACCAAGTAATCTTTGTGACCCGGAAAGGTATATACCCCCGTAATTCATAGACTGGTAACTGAGGTCGACATGGATACGCTAAATTGGTGTCAACGATATATAATTATATATTACTGGTAACAAAGGGTAAGTACCCATTGTGATGCTAAGTATGATGGGATCGCAGTCGTTAGCGACACTGGACACTAGGCTTATCGGACCAACCTGTCGATTGAAGATTGGTCAGGTATATACCTCACAATAATTATTAATAATGCAGATACACACCTGTTTACACACTGGTCGATACCGTGGTATATACCTACACCTCATAGCACACTGTTTATCCACTGAAAACAATTGGATAATTACCAATATTACCTCCAGGATATATACTGATTTGTGGTTTGATATTAATAGACTGGTAAACAGCGTTATAAAAACACAGGTATGAAAAAAAAATACTTGTCTCCTGTGAACATAGCCTTAATACAAACAGAAAAAAAGACTGGAAGCAAAAAGAGGTTTTTATTTTTTTCCCACAGAACCAAAAATCCACGAATTTATGAGTCCACGAAACTGTCTAATTTGTAGAAACAACGAAAATTGAACCCAACGAAAATAAATGAATCCACAGTAGATAAACTGGTGACCCAGGTATAATCCTCCTCATAGACTGGTAACTGAGGTTATTACCTCCAAATAGATAGACAGGTGACCCAGGTATATACCTCCTCATAGACTGGTGACCCAGGTATATACCTCCTCATAGACTGGTAACTGAGGTTATTACCTCCAAATAGATAGACTGGTGACCCAGGTATATACCTCATAGACAGGTAACTGAGGTTATTACCTCCAAATAGATAGACTGGTGACCCAGGTATATACCTCCTCATAGACTGGTGACCCAGGTATATACCTCCTCATAGACTGGTGACCCAGGTATATACCCCCTCATAGACTGGTAACTGAGGTAATTACCTCCAAATAGATAGACTGGTGACCCAGGTATATACTTCCTCATAGACTGGTAACTGAGGTTATTACCTCCAAATAGATAGACAGGTGACCCAGGTATATACCTCCTCATAGACTGGTGACCCAGGTATATACCTCCTCATAGACTGGTAACAGGTTAATACCTCCAAATAAATAGACAGGTGACCCAGGTATATACCTCCACATAGACTGGTAACTGAGGTTATTACCTCCAAATAGATAGACAGGTGACCCAGGTATATACCTCCTCATAGACTGGTAACTGAGGTTATTACCTCCAAATAGATAGACAGGTGACCCAGGTATATACCTCCTCATAGACTGGTAACTGAGGTTATACCTCCTAGATAGACTGGTGACCCAGGTATATACCCAGGTATATACCTCCTCCAAATAGATAGACTGGTGACCCAGGTATATACTTCCTCATAGACTGGTAACTGAGGTTATTACCTCCAAATAGATAGACAGGTGACCCAGGTATATACCTCCTCATAGACTGGTAACTGAGGTTAATACCTCCAAATAGATAGACTGGTGACCCAGGTTTATACCTCCTCATAGACTGGTAACCCAGGTAACCCAGGTATATACCTCCTCATAGACTGGTATACCTCCTCATAGACTGGTAACCTAGGTTTATACCTCCTCATAGACTGGTAACCCAGGTACATACCTCCTCATAGACTGGTAACCCAGGTATATACCTCCTCATAGACTGGTAACCCAGGTATATACCTCCTCATAGACTGGTAACCCAGGTTTATACCTCCACATAGACTGGTAACCTAGGTTTATACCTCCTCATAGTCTGGTGACCCAGGTATATACCGCCTCATAGACTGGTGACCCAGATATATACCTCCTCATAGACTGGTAACCCAGATATATACCTCCTCATAGACTGGTAACCCAGATTTATACATCCTCATAGACTGGTAACCCAGTTTTATACCTCCACATTGACTGGTGACCCAGGTTTATACCTCCTCATACACTGGTAACCCAGTTTTATACCTCCAAATAGATAGACTGGTAACCCAGTTATATACCTCCTTATTACTGGTGAACCAGTTTTATACCTCAGAATAGATAGATTGGTAGCCCAGACTGAAACCTTCAAAAATTTACTAGTTAACTTGCTTGTGCTGCCAGGTCATGAAAACCAGACTGATACCTCCAAAATTTTACCAGTAAACTGAACTGTGTATCCTGGTCAATGAAACCCAGGTTGACATCTCTAAAAAATTACAAGTAACTAACACATGCTATCAAGTCAACAAAACCCAGGTTAATACCTCCAAAAGTTTATCAGTTAACTCACCTGTGCTGCCCGGTCGATGTTGTCTCGGAAAGGGAAGAAGGCATCTGAGCTGAGGGACACGCCTTTTAATTGTGATATCCATTCCTTTCTTTCCTCCTGTTATAGGAACATTTTAAGTTATAAAATACATAAAAATCAGTAACGAAAAAAGGGTTATTACGCACTCTCAGAAAGAAAAAATGATACCATCCACTCAAAATTAAAAAAGTGAATACATTATTTACAACAAATTGGCACATATAGAATATTTTTTCCTGAGTTTTCTCCTCCTAGCACAATATCATATGTAAATGTTAAATATAGTTGATTTAGTAACTCCATTGAGAGAATTTGACACACATTTTTTTAAAAAGAACTAGAATCACAGTTTCACAGATCCATTACTTCAGTGATACTTGTATGATAATTTTGAATTACCATTTTTACCCATGTACATGAAGGAGGGCATGTCAACTGAAGAGCAAATTTATTTGAGAAAATGATAGATAACCAGTTATTCTCAGTTGTGAGTATTAAAATCATATATTTTTCTGTTAGAAATAAATTAAATGTTTTACTTTCACACCTGTGAGTCAACATATATGTTTTTACCTGAGAGAGCAATGTGGGTGGTTGATCTTCAAACAACTCCTGCCATGTCTCAACATCCATGTCCTACAACAGAGTTTTAAAAGATCCCTTAAGTTCTCACCACTTCTCCAGGTTAAATGTGTTATGAGTCATCCTATGCCTAGCAGTTGATAAATTTCACATGATCAAGTCTCTCTTGTTGCATGTGGTGACCCCTTACAAAGTCATCCTTTCTTATTTCTGCATGTTTTATCAATGACCACTACATGTGGGTGGATCTATTATGGTTGTGGAAAAGGTCCATGTAACATGTTGTGTACTTACTGATCCAACTGTACCAAGCACAAACTGATCTATTGCATTATTTCTCTCTGCCCTCTTCACTCCTTTCTTGAACTTCATCTCCATGACTTTTGGATGCTGTCTCAACCACCTACAAATTAATGTAATATCATTACCATATCCATCATTTTGTCAATTACAATGGAACCAGAACAGTTTTCAAGTGTAAAAAGTCTGCCAATTCACATGGTCAGGAATTTGACTTTGCTCCTGGAACTATACATTCAAGATTTTAGCTTTGTTTAACTGCAATGAATGATAGCAGAAACTCTAACCCAACATATAACATATGTGAATGCTTTACATTTCATTTGATTTTCTTGAATTTGAAATACAATATCATAAATTTAAGTTGATGCCTTTTATGGAAATTTCTCCTTTTAATCTGTGGAATTTAATGATCTTTAGATTCTTATGACTTTGAAAAAACTTTTTCACTGCATGCTTGCTTATACACCAAATGTCATTTCTCAGTGTTTACAAGTCTGTAAAGCTTCATATGTAGACCTACCAGTTGTTAGCCTTGTCCCCAGCCAGACGTGTACAGTGTATACGCGACTGCTGGCCTGCCCCTATTCCGATAACTTGACCACCCTTGGCGTAGCAGACAGAGTTAGACTGTGTGTATTTAAGGGTGATGCTAGCCACAATCAGGTCCTCTAATACACCTTGCTCCAGCTGTAATGTTAATTGTACAGTAATGCACTTTTGTTTTCTGTATGAAAGAGTAAGTCTAATTAAAGTATAATTTGTCTAATTGTAAAATAAGAACATTTCCATTTAGGAGGGTTTATTCACTGGAAGAAAGTTCCATGAATTTTGTAAAAATGGGTAGTGTTTCTTTGACAAAAATATTCCAAAGTGTATCCTGGTGGAAAACAATTTTTGTAAACAAAATCCAAAAAGATTATCACATAAAATAATAACTCCAAACTATGAAAGCTTGAAGAGGAATAAAGGAAAGGAGCCCTTCAAGAATTAAGACTATAAAACTCAAAACCTTAGATTGATATTGCAGTCATATGATTTAAATATCATCATGTCAATTCAATCTAATCAGAATTATCAATATTAGATCAGTCAGTAAACTAGATATGTTATAAATCTATATGTAAATTGACAGACCTCTGTTCTAGTAGTAACTGTATTCGTCATCATTGCTGCATTGATGACAGCATCATTCTGCTTCTGCTGCATCTGAAGTCCAAACACTGTCCGTGTTTCAGTGGCTGGTGGATCGTAAGTTGGGTCAATCTGAAGTGGTCAATGAGATAACTTAATGTTTCACTGAAAAACAATCCCTCATCGACAGTCCTCTTATGCTAGCCCTCTTTTTTCACTGAAAAACAATCCCTCATCAACAGTCCTCTTATGCTAGCCCTCTTTTTTCACTGAAAAACAATCCCTCATCAACAGTCCTCTTATGTTAGCCCTCTTTTTTCACTGAAAAACAATCCCTCATCGACGGTCCTCTTATGTTAGCCCTCTTTTTTCACTGAAAAACAATCCCTCATCGACAGTCCTCTTATGTTAGCCCTCTTTTTTCACTGAAAAACAATCCCTCATCGACAGTCCTCTTATGTTAGCCCTCTTTTTTCACTGAAAAACAATCCCTCATAGTCCCTAGCCCTTTTTTCACTGAAAAACAATCCCTCATCGACAGTCCTCTTATGAAAAACAATTAGCCCTCTTTTTTCACTGAAAAACAATCCCTCATCGACAGTCCTCTTATGTTAGCCCTCTTTTTTCACTGAAAAACAATCCCTCATCGACAGTCCTCTTATGTTAGCCCTCTTTTTTCACTGAAAAACAATCCCTCATCGACAGTCCTCTTATGCTAGCCCTCTTTTTTCACTGAAAAACAATCCCTCATCAACAGTCCTCTTATGTTAGCCCTCTTTTTTCACTGAAAAACAATCCCTCATCGACAGTCCTCTTATGCTAGCCCTCTTTTTTCACTGAAAAACAATCCCTCATCTACAGTCCTCTTATGCTAGCCCTCTTTTTTCACTGAAAAACAATCCCTCATCAACAGTCCTCTTATGTTAGCCCTCTTTGAAAAACAATTATGTTAGCCCTCTTTTTTCACTGAAAAACAATCCCTCATCTAGACTGAAAAGTCCTCTTATGCCCTCTTTTTTACTGAAAAACAATCCCTCATCAACAGTCCTCTTATGTTAGCCCTCTTTTTCCACTGAAAAACAATCCCTCATCGACAGTCCTCTTATGTTAGCCCTCTTTAAGCTTGTCAACTGTAATTTTACTCCAAAACGTGCAGAGCAGATAGATCTATTAATAAATATGTCTATTTTAAGCAGAACTCTGCAATAATAGAAATCTGACATACCCTTAGATAACATTTAACAATATCAATCACTTGCTATATCTATATACATGATAAAGACAATGAAAGATTAAACACAAAATAATGAGTACAGAATTTCTAGAAATACTTTAATTTTATAATGTCAACTTGGTTTTTTGGCAAAAAAAGTGGAAAATACACTGCAGATTAATCACTGTTCTTAAGACAACCTTTATATCGGCTTAACATGGTGTATACATTCATTATCAAATGGAGAATGACTACAGTAAGGCTGTAAAATAGACACTGTTCTTACCTGTAAAACACAATAGTTTCCGCCTTTCTTCTTCTGTAGGATTTCCAAGGCTTCATTGTCATAGCCTGGTGCGATGATACCATCTGATACCTGTTATACAAAGCATACACCACACATATTATGGTTTGTGACAACTTATCCATCAAAATCCTGTTGATAACAAAATTTAATAGTAGCATATACTATATAGAAATAATATTCACACTGACCTCAGAACTATTTAAGCCCTTCGGGCCAGGTGAGCTAAAAATGAAATAAAAATTTTAATTGAGAATCAGGCCAATTATCTGCCCAAAGAAGCCCTGAAACAAAAAGCCCTTATGATAGAAGTTAGAAGACATTATTAGTTGTTTAGTTAAAGTTACCAGGACACTGATATCAGGTCATATTTCCTTACCTCCCGTGAGATTATCTTGGCAGTGGAAACATCACATGTGTCAGATAGAGAAATGAAATCTCCGAAAGATGACATCCGGTCTGCTCCTGTGTAACAGACCCAACATTTCATTAGTGGTGTATGAAGACAACAAAGGAAAACTGCTGCATCAGACAATAAAATCTGTTCTTATTTATGCACTTTGAAACATTTGATACAAACTACCTACCTCTTGCCCTTGCATATGCCTCAGCCAAGGGAGATAACCCCTCCATATCGTCCACCATGCAGACCTTACGGTCAGCCTCACTCATCCCCTGCCCTCCTATGGCTGCACCTGGCAACAATAGTTCAAGTTAAATTTTATACGACTGACTCTCCTACATTTCTCTGTCCCAAAAACTAGACGATTTACATCAAAGTAGGACCATTAACAATCTACATCCTTAAGTAGTACTTTCATGCCAAGAATAATTTTCTGAAAATGGCCTTATCAACTAGAGAACTTCAAACATTAATAGTGCAGTGTTAGAAATTCAAATTTCTTTGGTTCAGTATAATCTCATAGGTAGACCTTCATATGATTAATGCAGATTCACCATAACTTGGTAGAAAGATCAAAAAGGTTGTAAGCTACTTCAAGTTATCAGCTAAAATAAAATGGCTATCCTGAAATTTTAACATTAAGATATTGAATACTGTCTGATACCTGCTCCCTGTATTACCTGCTGGACTGACATGCTTGAAAGAAGTTGCAGCTGGTTTGTTGCAAGCTTGACTGATTTCTCGTACCAACTGCCAACCATTGAGAGCATCTAATAAATTGATGAATCCTGGGGAGCCATTCAGTACTGTAATCACATTAAAGAAAAATATCTAGCTTATGAAAACCCTTAATTGATTTAAACTTTTTCATCAGACCATATTTTAATGCAGCAGTCTGAATTATACTAGTAGATTCCATTAGTGTAAAGAACCATAGTATGAAGTTTGATGTAGGTGGGAACTGCAGTAAAACTGAAATAAAGTTTTGTATACAAACTATGAGTAACCTAAACATTTCAGTTTAAAACATTAAAGCCAACACCAAGCAGCACTTTAAACAAGGAATCAGTATGTGGAGTTTGAATTTTGTAAGCTCAAGAAACTCTACTTTATCTTCTGAAAATATTTTAGCTCAAGAAACTCTAGTATATCTTTTAAAAAATTATTTTACCAATCATCCACATTAAGTGAATTTGACCATAGACTTTCAGATACAAAAGGTTTCTACTGTTGTTTCTAGACTAATACCTTTAATTGGGAGGTTGGGAAGGGTGGTGGATATCTGAGCAGGTTTCTGATGTGGGTTCATTCCATATCGAAGAGATAACTGTGAAACACCTGCACTGTACCGACGGCGGAAATAATCAGATATGGCTGCATCATACTCAGCTGTATGATTAAATGCCTGAAACAAGAAAATCGTTGGTCTGTATAATATGAAGAATTGTTTGTGTTCACAATGACAATGACTAACTTAGAAATACAGAACTTAAGAGCCTTTATCAAACAGGCTATAAAACAAGTCTGCACCAAAAAGTATAAAAAAAAATAGGGCATTGCTGTTTTTTCTTTTTGATCAGATTTAGCCAACAGTTGAATACTGATATTTTACTGCCAATGTGTCTTTCGTACATGTATGGGTACCTCAAATGCTACTTTACTAAGTGTCTGCAAATCATTACCAGGCTACTCCAAAGGCACCTTAAAAGCAAATCATTCTTGGCAACACAAAAAACACAGCAAATCAATGCTTTGCAGCAATTTAATTATCATTTCTCACCTTGACCGCCAATTGTTGTCTTGTGGCCACTGTTGTATCTATGTTGTCCGTCTTCTTCATTTCTTCCAAAATGCTTCAATGATAAGTTGCTTTGTTCATTAAAATTCATTTCATATGTAAAATCTTACTGGAAAGCACTACTTTTTACAATAAATCATTTTTCTATATTTTTTGTTGAACATTTTCAGAACTGAAATAATGATCAACATTGTACATTTGAAAGTATGTCATCCTCAATAAAACATTGAAAAACTTCTTGATTAGGTCAGGAAGAGATTTTTATGTGGCTATTCAAAGAGTGATACAAACCGGCTGTAATCTGCAGGATCACACACTACTGTTACACGGGCATGGTTCTTGGCAGCTGCTCGCAGCAGAGTTACTCCCCCTGAAATTTATGACTATCACATCAACTGTAAAACTTTGGAAGTAAAGTATTATGAGACAATGGCATGTCTAAAACTTTAGAACAGACATAAAACATGAAAATGCACCATACATTATTATTAATGTTTCCAAATCAAATTTTGTATATATAGATCAACAAACCTATGTCAATTTGTTCCACAGCATTCTCGGGCAAGACATTCGGGTCAGCTACAGTCTTCACAAAGGGATACAAGTTACATGCTACCAAACTGAAAAAAGAATTGTATTAATATTACCAGGTATAAGTTTAAAGTATCAATATTTTCTCCTGTAGTGGTGTATGTACTGGTATATTTAATGGAATGTTACTTTCCTTTACCAATAAACTACCAGGTATAAATTATATTTTCAACAAAAAGTATTTCATTATTCTCAGTAATAACTGTGGCGTTTCAGTCAAAAGACACTGCTGTACATATTAGTAAAATTAACAAAATTTCAACCTTCAACCAACCTACTTTCATTTTTGCCAGCGGCCAGACTCACCGTATCATTGTATATCCTGCCTTTTTCATGTCTGCCTGGTCTGATTCTGTCATTCGTGCCAAAATACCTTGAAAGACAGCATTGATAATAGAGAACTTAACTTAACATTTGTGTTAGGCCTTTAGCATCTCTGACCATTCCTAGATGAACAAAACAGCTGTATGATGCAGTCTAATTCAGTATTTTGTTTTACTCTAATTTAAAATTTGTAGTAAAAGCTGCCAATCACTTTTGTGTCTTTTGTTAATCTTTGACTATGGTCTAAGAATACAACTTTTAAAAGGGCAAGATGGAAGGCTCTAGAAACTCAGGGTAATATTATTTCCAAAACATTATCTAATATTTACCTCCATGAACAGCAGGATGGAGAGTTTTGACACGACCTCCCAACATTTCTGCTGCTCCAGTGATCTCTGATACACAGCTGTAAAGACAGCATCAGTCTTGTAAATTTTGTCATTAAGCATACCCTTCCTAGAGTGTATTTGGAGTAGGTTTATCAGCATGTCATCATGTGTTGAAAAATGAGACCACAAATACATAAACAGGGTGATCTACATATAAAGACACAATATCACTGTAACAACTGTTTGATTTGATCTTACCTGACTGGTAACCCAGCATCCTTGATAGCTTTCGCAGTGCCACCTGATGCAGCAAGCCTCAATCCAAGGGCAACTAATTCTTTTGCAAATGGAATTAAACCTGTTTTGTCTGAAACACTGATCAGTGCTAAAGGAAAACAAAACAGAAGTAATTAATGAATTGATGAAAAAAAATAGACATCATTTAATAAATTCACAAACAATAAATTATCTTAAGGTATGGAAGGACTCAAAATAACTTCAAAATTCAATATCATATAACATTACTTTGCTCTGCAGTACCCTTGTTGATGTATAAACTACAATCAAAGATTTCTTCAGAAAAAAACATCTCACTAAACATTTAAAAACAAAGGAAAATGACTTAACTGTTGTTTGACTCTAAATGTAAGTTAATATATTTGATGATTAATGTTATATGGAACTAATTCTAGTCCAAACACTGAGAGTGGAGATCTCTGGACAAGATCAAAAAGAAGAAAAAAAACTCACCCAAAAATTGCAAATGACATGGCCAATAAAGAAAACACAATTTTATGTGGTTATAAGGTTATAAAGCCTGCCAAGTTAAAGAGAGGTTGGTGGAAAACTTGGGGTGGGGAGAATCATGTGTCACCCACCAAATTTTTCACTATACAGCTTTTCTAACACTACTGTAAAGGTCATACTTTCTTGACTGGCAGGTCCCTTGAGTGAATTTCAGAAGACCTGACTGGTGAAGGTAACAAAGTTGAGTTGAAAGCAGGTCAAGGACACTCATCTGAACCAACCTGGTATTCCTATTATTACCCTAAATCATGCGTCATCCACCAAATTTTTCACTATACAGCTTTTCTAACACTACTGTAAAGGTCATACTTTCTTGACTAGCAAGTACCTTAAGTGAAGTTTCGAAAGGCCTGGATGGTGAAGGTAACAAAGTTGAGTTGAAAACAGGTCAAGGTCATTCATCTGAACCAACCTGGCATCCCTATTATTACAATAGCCTAGGTTTCTTGATTTTTTCCAAGAATTTACATGTACTTCAAAATTTTAAAACATTTGACCAGGAGTAGTATGGTAAAGTGGAGCCCATGGTAAAGTGGTCCACACCTCACTTCCCCATTATGGTAAAGTGATGCCATGCCTATATTTAGTTTTATATCCATGTCAAAATCACTTAACCATTTCTTTTTTTTATAAAAACTTTTTCATCAAATCTTTTTGAGATCTCCTTGATTCATTTTATTAAACACAGTAACAACCTAGAATATGTCTGGGGTGGGGAAAAGTTAGGGTGGGGCATGGGGCTTCACTTTATCATTTTGGTAAGATGAAACCAGTCACTGCAGACTTTTTTTAGTCTGCTGTCACTGTTTTCTTTTCAATAAAGATTTCTTCACATATTTTGGGTTTTGGCCTCATGATTTTTGACAAGTTATTTGAATTTGACCCCTGTGACCTTGAAAGTAAGTTAAGATAGTTCATTTGAACAAACTTCATCCAAGCACGCTATACAACTTTACATAGGTGTATATATATATAAATCCTTATATTATCATCCAGGTGTACAAATAACCCTATAATACATAGTATGTCTTGGATGGTGCAAATCGTGTTACTTTATAATCGGGTAAATCATATACTTTCACCATGTACGGTGTCGGTAAAAATACTGACCCTGCTGAGGGTTGACCACATGGCTTACACGTAACTTCCATAAAATTATCTTTCAAACGTGTGTTGAGAGTAGTACGTTTGTAAACTGATCGGGTGTATAGTATGCAGATTTTCGTATTGTCAACTTTTTCGGGCTTGTGTAAGGCAATTGTTTACAGGCAAGTCAGCCGATCACGAGTGACAAATCTACCCTGATACATGTGTTTTGTCATTTATTTTTCATTTTATCCCGACGTTAAATGGTATATGGAGAAACCTATTTTGTCATCCCCTTAACATTTTAAATCCGCAAGACGAGTAGATTTGAAACAAAAAATGCTCAAATCCGACCGCCAGGGATATGGTTAGACAATTTGAAGGAGTGGAGCAAACTCGATGAAAAGAGACAACAATTCAGTCAAATTAAAACGGTGAAAGAATTTTTCATCAAACATATACGTCATAAATAATCCATTTAAGATCGTAACAGTCAAACATTTAGTTGTCATCATCCAAGTTACTCACAAAACACTTACCAATTTCCCCAGAAGCCATGGCGTTTCGGTTTTCTGACAGCAGGTGTTGAGCGGTTCTGTCGCCGGTGAGACTGAACGCAGTGACCTAGATTTTCATTGGTCAATCCGTAATCGTTGAGAGGAAAGTTCATGAACTTTTTCTTTTGTATAGAATTAATGCATTACACATGCATTTTCAGAAATCTTATTTTTATACGTTACTATACATGGATCTTATTATCAATTTCTTATACATGTCCGTATTCAGTCAGTTTGAAGACTTATTAGCTTTTTTATTTTTTATATAATTTAGACCTACATTTGAGATTCACAAGCCCAACTGTCCAGTGTACTCTTTTTTTCATTAGCTTTTGTTTTTGAAAGATAAGAAGGGGAAGTTCTAGTGCCTAGGTTGGCCACAGATCATTTTTCGAACATTTTTGTTGATTTGACCGTTGGGGAACCGGTCGGACGCTAATGTCCGATAGAGAATTAAGAACGCTATTCTTGAATTCGAAAATTGCGAACATATGAAACAATAATGCTACACATGTCCATTACCGAAACGGCAATAGCAAAAGCGTGACGGACATACATCTACACGAAATAAATCACCTTTAAGATCACTGCACTTGTGTGTGATTCCTGTTAACGGAATCGTTCGGTGTTTGCCAGTATTTAGATATTTAGGTAAAACACGTGGTATAGTCGATATTCTCATATTGAATGCTGATAATGAAGTAGTATTTTTACAATTATACAATAGTCAATAGTACTCATATCATTATGCCCAAAATCCGTCTGTTTCGTCCGTTACATAAACGGATATCACAAAATATACATAATTCGATTAGACAATTACCAAAGGTATTAATTAAAACATCCGGGTTATTACTTGCACTAAATACTTCATCGGATTCATAATCAAAAATGTCTGACAAAAGATCATGGAAACTGGAATGAACTACATCATTTAATAAAAAATCGTATTGATTACCTGTTCGACTATTAAAATCACCCAACATTACATCACCAAATCAACTATATTTTCCAACACTGTTTTCATACTCGAAAAACAAATCACAACTGTATAAATTATAATAAAGATAATTTGACGAGGACGAGTAAGTACATGCTAAATACAATTTCTCTTTATTGTTAATTAGACGATTAGATATCTTCGACCAAACAACTGAATCACACACTGGTTCAATTATACCTACAAAATTTGTAATGTAATATTCTATCAAGAGAAGAGAATAGCCGTTGAACTGCATTAACCACTGATTGGACCAATCTTGTAACTCACTGAATGACATAGTTTGTCTTGTTCTATAACGTTTATGTCTGCCGTATAATTTTGAAGAGAAGAGTCATCGACAAACAGCTTGTAACAGTTTTAATAGGGTCGACAAGATCATTAAAATGAAACGAATACAAAAGGGAGCCGAGGACAAATCATTGCGGTACACCAGCAGACATATAGTTGAAGAAGAAACAGCATTTCCATAAATGTTCTATACAATGTATGTACAGGGAATGCAAATTATATCAAACAAAATCGATTTTTGGAAATTCGATATTTAAATGCGTCATTTATGAGATCATAAAGATTTTTAGCTGATGTCTAGCCACAATCATATTTCACAATGATATACGTAGTAAGTCATTTTCATTTTCTACGGTTTTGTCCCCTTGTTAGATACACCTAAAAAGATAATGTCATTTTTACAGTTGTGTCCCCATGTTAGTTACATATAGGAAGATCATATCATTTTCTACAGTTGTGTCCCCTTGTTAGTTACATATAGGAAGATAATATCATTTTCTACAATTATGTCCCCTTGTTAGATACACGTAAAAAGGAGATAATATCTTTTCATAGTGAAATCTGTAACGCTGGGAATTTTGTAAAACGTTGTACAGCGTAGAGTCTGTCACGGTTTTTGTTTTCTTATCGCTGTTCAACCATGTTTAATGTGTAATATCAATGAGGCATCAATTATATATCCTGTTGTATTTTCAACGGAAAACATAAACCTTGTGCACATGTATGAAGAGTCATCAAGGTCAGTAACCGGTAATGGGTTAATAGAGTCCTTCAGCTAAGATTGCGAGGGTCAATATTTCATCAGCTATACACTATCGAGGCCTCCACTTGGTTAAAAAAGGCAGAGTCGATATATTCGTACATCATCTATGTTTTTAAACTATTATTTAATCTTTTTCACCTGCGACTATACCATTTCAGACGCTACAATGCTATTATGAAATTCATCCCAGATTATTAATGCAAATTTTAAAATCCCATTAAAATGAAGGGATCGTTTTCCATTTGAATAAGCATTTAATTTTAAACGTTTGTAGATTTTTAAAAAGTTGAACATACTATGAAGTGATATATCAATATTGTTTATTTCTAGTTACAACAACTTTATTCACTTCATGCACTGTTTCCAGTTTTCACTGGACATACATACATATATCAGATTTCTAGAGAAATGTCATTTTTGTAATTTAAACATACGTGTATTACTATGTATAATTATGTAATTAGCCAAAACTTAATTTGCGAGCCATGCTTCAATTCTTACTTTATAAAATGATCCTTGTTTCACGCAATACGCGTGTCAGTGTGAAATAAATGAATCTGAAATTGTTCACTGGTGTTCAGTAGTAACGAAAATTAAAATTAAAAAACTAAAATTTCAGTATATATCTCCGTTCTCCACAACTGGTAAATTAATTAACCCATATAGACATACTTATGTAAACCACCAAACGATGAATCAAATGTTTAGTTTGAAATGTAATTAACTGCTGTCAATGGACTAGTTTTGAATGGATATATGCTCTACTACATTTAGGTTTCAGGTAAATAGTTTCGGTCATCATTTCTGCGGTTATATAGTGGTCAACACTGGAGTAGAAAAAATACAGTCCAGCAACATTACGGCAAGATAGCTTTTCCCTACTGTTCACGCCAGCTTTTGAACTTCTGGCACCAAAATATGTGCAAAGTTCAATTTTTTATCGCCAAATATTATAATACTTTGGAGCCAGTTCGTTGGAATGTTTTTAAGAGTCTTTGATTGATGAAGCTTATCGTTTTGCTTTCAGTTACATATTCCACCAACTAATATGTTCTGGTGTTTAATATCTAACAATATCGTTTTGAAAGGTTATTATTTTGTTACATTTGATTTGCATTTACATTAAAAACCAGAACAACAATTCAACAGAAAACATAGTGTAGCCCTATCTTATTTATTACAACATTAATAAAAACAAGACATGACCATCATTTACATAAAATGACTTGTCAAAGTCCATTTTACACTTTCCTTTTTTTCCCCGTTGGTGTAATAGGCCTTTACACATCAATTGAAAAATGTATACACCCCATGCTAAATAGCATGACCTAGGTGTTTTTATGTATTATAGATACATTCACTATCATTACACAGTTTATAAAGAGGAAGTTGACTATACTATCGTGTTAAATAGCTTTGGTAATTCCATGTATTAGAAATAAATACACGTATGAAGTCACCTGCACTAACATGCTGCTGTTCGACTAGAAATTGTGTGAATCTTCTCCTAAATCACAAAGACATCATTTGTATGGTCCAGTTCTTAAGTTGATGGTGAAATTGTCGCTGGTGTGAATCCTCCTAAATTTGAATACAGCATCATAGAACATGATGACCCCTGTCGTCCATCAACGCTGTAGTAAGTGACCCAAGGATCTGGTTCCGAACCTGTTACATACACAGGTTTTTATAATATATAACAACTCCTTCTTTAAACCACACTTTCCTGTGTATCCCACTAAAGTTCCTACAAACTCACGGTCAAGTCCCTTTTCTACATAACACTTCAGAAATGGCAGTTATGACCTCAGAGTCAGCCCCATTACTGAATCTCTCCCTTAAACGATCAACTCTGTAGGACTCAAACTGATCACATACAATACAGTCTCATTCCTCTGACCAATACTATCACTGAACATGCGCCCATCAAACTTCAACACGCAAATACCATCATCACCTAAAACAGGCTCACCTGGAACTAATTGAAGGACACTTTAAACCTGGACCTGACTTGAAGTCATGAAGATCCTCTAGCATAGTGATGGTCTGAAGTTCCGGAAACACTTACCGTGGACAGAGAGATGTTTGAGAACATCAGACAGGAAATGAGCACTATAAGACCTTGTGGTTAGAGACAGATTTGTAAAGACTAAGTGACGGACAGCATGGCAGAGTAAGTCCTGACCAAAACACCAACTTTTTTGAGTTCGGAGTAAGTTTCTGATGAAATATTTGTATTTTCTGGTGTTTCACAGTGAAGAACGTCAAAGTAACACCTTATTGTGCCATCATGTTTCTTAGATAACGGAAGCCTCTATAGATATTGGTAATGTAAATATAGAGCTGGAATTGTAGTCCGCTACTTCACAACGCATTTTATAGCATTCTTTTCTATGCATCCTCTGTCATTTTCGTTAAAGTGAAGCTGTCATTTCACCAGATCCAAACCTAAACGTAGAAACAGCAACGGCAGTTGTATCACGGTGGATAGAAAAATAAATGACAGGACTATCTTGATGGGCCAAGTACGAATGTCTCTCCCGCTCGAGTTTCTTCCACATGGATGAAATCAAGCTCTAATAATAGGTACCAATCCATGTCTCGGCGATATTGGCTGAAGTACCCAGATAAAGAGGCGTCTGTTGCTGTTTCCGTACAATAACGTAAGTATTCGTAATTGGCAACGTGCATGCTCGAATCCAAGTCGCTGTGACAGACTTCAATCCCAGTCTGATGAGCATTTGAAGGGTATGCAGTCCAGTCTTTCCTCGCTTGTATGTGATCATTGCCAATACACGAGAACGAAGAGAAAAATTTCCGGCGTACCATGTTGGGAACAGTACCGCTGTTTTTCTTGTGATGTCATACCGAACACTAGTGTATAAACCTTTCACAACTGTGACATCACTTCCGGCTGATGTCAACCTCGTGCTGGTTGTCTTGGATGACTTACGTACCTTTCCAGCTGTAGCATTAACCGAAATATTTGTGTCGATTATTTTGGAGATATCCGAGTGTAAACGCGGGGAGAATATGATCTGCTGCCGAACGGGAAATAAGCGCAGAATGTCATCCGACACTGTTGTTCCATCGTAGAATCCTTTTTCATGGAGCAAATCTAAAACATTCTTAAACATATCAATTGACATCAATAAAATACGTACATTATCTTACTCCTTATAACGTTAGATACATACAGTACATGGAATGTCTTTTGATTAAGTACTTGCTGTTAACATGTGTTATTTATTCCGTATGTGTTGTTTAACCATACTCTGTGTGAATTCTTGAAATAGGCAAGTACTTATAGCGCGTTAATTCTTTTTTTTTATTTTCGTCACTAATACCATAAAATCTTTGTTTGAATTTGTCCCCATTAACGGCGAGACACAATATCGACGTTTTCCCAGTAAGGAATCGCCACCAAACTCCAGTAATGAATATCATCAACGATTATTTTCACTGAAAAGTAAAACCTCGCAACAAAAGAACGAATGCGTTCACACTGTAAAATATATGGAATGAAAATTTGGAATGGATTAGTCTTGTGAGAAATAGTCATACAGTAGCTCAGGAAAACTTGTTAAAAAGGCTTACATAGGAAAGATAGGTATATCTTACAATGAATTACTTCACCATGGTAACTATAGACACAGACATAAGAGTTTGATGTCCATTTTGTGGTGGACTGCTGTAAAAGACAAATATATATAAGGCCTCTCTTCCAGAAAACTAATTAAATTATACTTCACAATATCTCATGGTTAATCTTTCATCCTAGTTCTTTTTTGCGAATTGAAATGGTTATTGTGTTTATAGGTCAAGACAGAATATTCTTTTTTCTTTTCCTGGTCACTATGACAGCATGGATGCTTAATATGTTTATCATTGAATTTCAAGTCCGTACATACAAGTAGTCATTATTTATCATCTCTTTATGTCAGCATATAAGGGTTCGGTTTGCCTTTTATATTACGTAGTTGTAATTAAAGTCAATGTCAGCCTTCCATGAAACACCCCGATAGGCTCACATTTAAGAATGTTTATTTAGATTTACTGAAGTTGCGGGTCTAAATGGGTCTTTCTGAATGAATAGTTTGACTCGTCAAAAAGATCGGTCCTAGCTCAATATAAAAATAAATGAAATACTACACTAACCTTATAAGAGGCGTCCAAAATTTGGATATCTTTTCTTCTCCCTCAGTCTAATTAAAAATACTGATCTTAATTTACCTCACCATGCTTTCCGTAAACGTGAAGTATTCAGAGTGGTAAGTTAAGATCTGTATTTTAATCAGATTGCTTCTCATTCTACAAGTAGCAAATATAATAACCCGAAAATATTGCAGTCTCCATCAAGCAATCCTTTCTTTAATCAAACTTTTAATGTTCAATCTGGCATTTTCCACAGGAAGCAACATCGCTGTATTAAAGACACAGAAAAGATTATTACGTGTAATTTTATAATGCCTTATACACAAATTCAAAATACACCATGTACTGCAAGTTGGAGGGTTTTATTTTACATGCGAGGAGCGTTAAATTAATGGTCAAAGTTTTTATAGTCGTCATTTTTTCGTCTCTTAAAACCCTAAAATTTAACTGAACTTAAAAATGTCCAGGGTGACTTTATTGGCAGCTGTTGACCTACTTCAATGCCCCCAGTTTGATCATACTTACCATATACTAACTTATTTTTATGCTCGTTCGTTTGTACAGTATTGAAATGTCACCTTTTTCTCTTAACATACCGTATAATTACTCCTTTATCATATTCTATACACTAGGTATCACATGCACTCCAGTATTGCATCAGTGCCAATTTGTTCAATTCATAAGTCATGATTTCAAACGTTTAGTACATGTGATTTTGTGCACGATATCAATTTTTCATGTTTCATTTACACTATTTGTATCCATCTTTCTACCTAAAAGGGTATCCTTGGCATACATTTTTGTGATGTGGATGTCTGTAATATTGTCTTTTTTGTTGTAATGTTAATCCTCTGAAGAGCTGATGTTTCTGTTCTTTAACGTCATCATTTATCTACCATCATATACAAGATCATATACCTAGCACCCTTCATGTTATATCTGTACCCTATACCGGTACATCCTCATTTCCAAATCAATGCTATATTCTGTGCTGGTACACGGCTTACAAATTAAAGATACAATGCATGACAAGAATTCAACTCACTTGTGATTTATCACTGTAAATTTATTGAAACATACATCATAAAATGTTCTTTTCTTTCTTACCATCCTGATTTCTTGTAAACAAGTGCAAATACCGTTTGAAGAAGCAAAAACAAAACAGAATCATCTGTGGTATAAATAGTGTAATATTCCAGTATCGACTAAACAACCAACATACCAGTCGTCTGTTACACATTAGATACAAATCATCTTTTTATTTTCAATACAGCTTTTGGTTTTGGTTTTTAAACTATATTCTTCAAATTCTTCAGTGACATTTTGAATGTTTTGTACCATAAATCACAATATCTTTTCCTAAAAACAGATTTATAGTGGGTTAATCTTACATCAATTTATGCCCTTTTAACCAAAACAAAGGCATAATGATGCATGTTATCTTTTCATGAGAATGCAGAAAATTCATCACTTTACTTCTACATTGAATTCTGAACTTTCTTGAATGAAAAATATAATGTAGAATTCATGGTAACTAAAACTGATATGGAGAAAGTAAGTCAATATATGCAAACAGCTGCAGCAAAATACAAAGTAAGGCCATCAAATTCAACCCCTCTTTTAGAAAATGCATGAGATTAGAAAGGATGAAAACAAACAGGTTGAAAATAACTGTGCACAGCGGTTTACCCTTCAATCAAGTCTACAGTGAAACAAAAAAGCACAGAGCTCTTCCAGCACTACACTTCGGAGTCAAATAAATAATTCATTTCTCTAAACAACGTTCACACTCACTCTTTTCTCGATGGTTTTATTTCCAGCACACTAAAGAATAAGCTACCGTGGAAAATAAGTCACAGTGGAACATATTCTTATAAAAATCTTATCTGGTAGGCAATACAAACATACCTCCTCTTTTTCAGCTATGTATCAAACAAAAGAAGATGGGAGAAAAAGGTTTCTTTCAGAACTTGGATTCATATCTCCATAACAATCAATTCTCTCATACTACTACACTAACATGCAGAAGACACAATCAGGATCATTCAACAACTCTCAAACCAGTAGATTTAGCTCAAACACTAGGAAAATATGTTGACACAACAGTTTGTACATGTAACAGAATATTGCCATCAAAACTTTGTGACTAACTTTTTAAGCACTTGTATAGCTAAAGCAATGTCTACACTTTTACCAAACTTTATACATTCAATTTCGTTTTTATGCATGAATGTCAAAATACAAAAACAAATTATCCTCCGAGGCCTCTTCCATTGCTTTCAATTCATCCAACTGGCTTAGAGAATGCACTGCTTGACCTCATGTACAAAGATTTTTGTTGGTATCAAGATGGACACAACCGGACAGAGCAGCATAATTACAAGTATTTTAGATAGGAGTTGATGAGCCGTGGCCAACAGGGATATCAATTTTATTACAAGCTACAAAAGTTCATTTCCTTCATCAAATTTTATATTTGAACTTAAATCACATTGTATATTTTGGTTTTGTTGATCTAACAACATAGAAAAAATAGTTAATGTTCATGGGACTGCGTTAAAAATATCTTAATCTTAACTGATGAAATCACAACAGTAATCAAACACTGTTGTATTCAATGTAAGCAATTTTTAAGTGATATCTATGACATAACACAGCAATGTATGTAAAAGACTGCAATGTATTCGATGAGAGACTGACAAAATCAAATGATTGATGGTATCATGATAAAAGAAATATGTTCCCAACAAAAGTTATTAAGTAAGAATCTACTGAAAGAACAAATACATTTTGTGAAAATTGTTTCACTTTTAATCAAAAACTTTGAAGTTTCAGCTGTAATTGTGTCTTTCTTTATCTGTTGATCATTCTTTTGAAATCCAAATTAATTGACAGTAATAATACAGAATAATTTAATTTTTATTACAATCACAACCAGCTTCAGTTAACACTGGTCTATAAGTTCCAGCTTCTTAACTAACCCTTAATTTCTAAAATTATCAGAAATATTAATGAATTTAAGTAAATATCAGATATTTTTTGTAGAGAATTAACATCCTTCTCTTAAAAGACATTACAAATTTCTTGCAATCATAAGCATTTTGATGCCTCGAGAAATAAATATATCTGAAATGTACATATGACTTCAGTAGTGTTGTGTTGAATCCAGTGATACACAACAATGACATCGCACACACATCAGGACACTCGCCAATGCATCACTAACTTTCACATAAAAATTTAGTCAAATCTATACAAACAATGTATTCCATGATATTACAAAAGTTATTGTTACAGAGGTCTGCTAAAATGAGACTTGTTGCAGTACCAGAAAAAATGCTACAACACCAGCAACAAATGTATCACGTCGCGAGCTGTAATCCATGAAAATTTCTTACATGTGACAACTAAACAATGTCACATCTTCAGTGACACTGGAGATGTTCGTCATCTCATCGCAAAGTACCAAATTAATGTTTGAACATTAGTCAAACAGCACATTTCCAGAACTTTAGTAAAAAAAAAACCCAAAAAACAAAACAAGCTTTGCTCACAAACATCCTGCATATATAACCTTTCATTCAACTAATTCATTACTTTGTTCCAGATAATCTTAAATATGTCTTTGTGGTACCTTGTCTCCTTTCACAGAAAAGAAAACACTTTGTACATGTCCTTTACCAGCTCAAGTCTTAAAGAAAGGGGAGTTACCCCCAAGTTTATGCATCCCTTGTCATTTTATTTAAAAATACATTTCTCTTCCAATCACAATTCCCATACGATTCTTCTGGATATTGTATGAAATATCATTTCTTTTTCCCCAAAGACCTTTCCCAAAATACCAAAACATACAGTTTTTCGGTATATTTCAGATTCTTACAGTTGTCCAAAGAACTGTTCATCTGTACTGACAGTAAGAAAATTCTAGCTTTCCATCAGTCCACGATAAAAGAAGAAAACAGAGAAGTCTGCTATAATACTTCAGTAATCACAGTCTCTCAATTATCCTCTGAAAACTCTCCATCCTGTTCAGTGTGATTGCAATTGTTTAAGATGAAACAAATAAATGCAAATCACCCACTCTAATCTCACTAGTCCAGGTCTGACTTTGACAGACAGAAAGGCACCTCCAATTAGGCTAGGTAACTGTATGTGTCCTTCTGTCCTTCCACACGAGCAAGATACTCTTTCTCAATCAGGATATCTATACATTTCTGAAAAAGAGACAAAAATGTAAATAATTGAGAGTTGGTAAAATGTACTTCACAAAGTCAAAACAATATCAGAAAATTGTTCAATAATACAATCTTTGTTATTTTGTTCAAAAGTTTTTTATTTATATATACTTATTATACTTTTAAGTGACTACTATTCTTTGGAGCTGCACAAAATAATCTTTTGTACAGAATTTTGTTGAAAATGTTATGAAAACTTGCTTACATTTATGTGAAAGAAAGATTAAAGAAAGTAAAATATACCTTAATAACAGGAACACGGGGTTTGAATCGAGAAGAAAGCTGGTTGAGCACTTCAGCCAGTAACTGTTGATGTTTCAACATTTTCCTCATCTTCATTATCCTAACTATGGCCGCCTGTAAGTATAAAAGATGGGATATGACAAATAGAAACAACTCCTGCCAGAATTAAAATTCTACTGGCCCTCATTCTATAACATCTAAAACTCATCACTGTGTACTACCACTTTCACATTGAGATATTCATTCTTACATGTTGATTTTAAGTTGTATTTTAATGGTGGTAATTTGCCATGAAAAACTTTTTTTCAGCCCCGAAAAAATGACAAAATAAAGGGAGTTGAATTTGCAGTTTAAGACAGTGACCTGTATAAGAAGCTTTCTATCCTCCTCTATATGTTTATGTGTTGCCTCTTGTTCAGTCTTCACTTCAGACTTCATGGGGACATTGATATTCACACGAAGCTTTTTACTGAAATAAAAACACTTTTTCTGTTAGTGTAATCAGCAAGAAAACATGACAAAAGTCCAAGAACCTAACATACTAGTAAGTAAACAGCACATTCTGAAGTACGTTGTTCAACTCATAAACTCTTGTATAAAAGTAAGACTTCAATATAAAAGATAAAAACAGTTCAGACTCAGAATGTTTTCAAGGGCAGGCAATCAGGAGGTCCAATTGGCCTGAATTGTTCATCTGTTCTACAGCTTACAAGGAAGGTTTTTGAGATGAAGATATTTAAGATTTTAATATGTATGATCCTTGTGACCTCAAAATGGGACAGAATCATTTACTCGAAAAAACCTTGGTAGCCCTTTATCCCAGCATGTCAGAGGACTAATATCAGCACCATAAGCTGTTTGCTTATAGAGAAGTTGTTAAAAGATTTTAAAGACATTTGATCCCTGTGATTTTCAATGTGGGTCAAGGTAATTTATTTTAACAAACTTGGTAGCCCTGTATCCAAGTATGCTATAAGCCTATTCTTTCAGTACCATGGGCCTTTAAGTTCTTGAAACCCTTATAGTAAGATGATCTAAAACTCCAATTTAAGTCATCTTTGTCAACCAGTTTTGATGCAGTTGTCTAGTTGTAATCATGTGTCAGAATTTACAGTCAACGTTTGATCATACTTCATAGAGAAAATTAAGTGCTTTGACAATTTAGTTACTCCATATAATCGAATGCCGTGACAATTCATTCAGCTTTATAATTCAGTTACTTCACAATTTAGTGCACTGGCAATCCAGTTACTTCATAAGCTAATGCCTTGACAATTCAGCCAGCTTTACAATTTTGTCACTTCACAATTAAGTCCTTTAGCTAATCCATTACTTCACTATCTTTTGCCTTGAATATTAAGCTGCCAACAATCCAATCATATGAGCTAGGAAGGAGAACAAATAGATTGTTAAGACTCCTTTAACTTTTAAAAGCTATATGATGTACAAAATTGCAGTTCTACCTACTTTTTGTAGCCAAAGTATAGCGAAAGCTGTGTAGAGGGCGAAAGAGAGTTCTCATCATCTTCGGTCACCAGTAGTTTGGATTTCAACAGGATCTGCAGTACTTGTACAAGAGTGTCCTGTAGACAGAGAGTGGACGTTTATAGAAACTATGACACCTAAATGCATCTCTTCTTTCCCTCTGATCATTATGTATCTTTAATTTATCATTTGTTATCTACCTTTTTCTTCAGTTATAATTTAGCTGTGAAACATATTATTTCAATTGCAATCTAATGTCAGTAATATTTTATACAAAACTGAATGGATGTATATAGGACTTTGACCTGTGATAATTTGTTCCTTATTACATACATACCATTTTGATCTGTGTACTGTCTTGTACTTGTTGAACAGACATAGAGTCTGTAGTGTTGAACTGTAGAAGGACGGCAATTTGAAAAGTTGACGCCTGAAATAGATCAGATGAATATATACACCAGTGTCAACCTGATGCACAATACTGAATCAGTGGTATTAGCATCTTAAATAGCTTCCGTAATCTATGTTAAGCAAGATTTCATATAAAATAAGCTATACCATATTTACAAAATTAGCACCCAGACTGCCTGAAGATAGGTTTGTGACAATTTTTTTTAGTCAAGTCAATAAGTACCAAAATCTACATCACTAGTTAAAATGATATCGCTGAATTATAACATTTGTCATTTTTATTTCAAATTTACATGTTTTCTTCTCCCATTTCATATTCCAGCATGATTAATGTTATCTCTAATAATGCTACCAGAAAGATGCTTACACATTTTCAATTTGTATCTCACAACTAGTAAAACGAGTAGAAATACTGCCCACTAATATTCAAAGATTTCTGAGAAAATTGGTAAAATAAAGCAAAGTGATCCGGGGCTCGATTAGTGGGTGTGAATATGAATGAAGTCAGTCAATGCATAAGTGAAAAATGATAATCATAATCTTGTTTACATGGTTGCCATATCTGTTCATATTGGAAACAAAGCAGAGGAATTGTGAGAATTATAGTAATGCACCTATATTTAGAAAACCAAAATATTTTTGGAATAAATATATCAGTGTAACAAGAATCCCTGCCGGCAGCACATTGAGAATAAAATGTAGTAATAAAATGATTATGGAATACTTCATAAATATTCTAATGGTTTGACCTGAGTTACCTTTACACCGCAGACATCAATGAAATGAAGTCACAACAGAACTTAAAGTGATCATACTTAAAGCTATAAAATCATTAGAAGTTTTCCGAAGACATGAAAATTTCAACACCAACCTGTAGAGTGTATCTGTTTTTGAAGCAATGCGTCACCAACTCGCCTTTAGACATGTGGTATAACCAATTCAGTTTTCGACCACTGTGACGATTGCTATAGAAACATGTAAATCTTTGGAAGCTCCTTTCCATCTAAAAGAATACAAAATTTCTTGTTACATGTAATATTATAAATTCACATCTTTTTCTTAAATTGTCATTACATAATTTTTTTTCATCTTTCTTACACAAATGCTGGTAAAAATGTTGCAGTTGTCATCCTTTTCAAAGTCTTAAAAGTTAAAAGAAATATAGCAGCTTGTGTTAAGATTTGTCAGTCCGACATGATAAAACAAAAGCTATCGTCTCTACTGAAACATGACATCATCTGATGTAAAAGCCTGTTTGAAAAGTGATTATTACAAAGTTTGGGGTATGGTATAAGGTAAACAGTAAATAATCAGAAAAAAATTGACCTGAATGCCTGCAATGAAAACAGGAATACATACATGTGTCCAAACATTGTATGTCACAGAATTTCTTTTGCTCCCAGCATAACTTCTACCATAAAACTGTTTAATGTTCCCTTCAGATGCTAATGTTCAGCCTCACAGATCCAAAAATACCTGTATGCTACTGTTTCAATAAATCTATGATTAGGGAATATCCAAATAACTTTTGGTACTGAATTTTAAGTCATAAAGATAATACGCCTGCACTGCCAGTGTTACCAGCTCAAACCTACCTCCTGAGGTAAAGAGAAAGCTGACGACGATTGTTGGAATGGCCATGATCCAGAACTCAGAACTTCTATACTGAAGTCAACTGAAAATACAAACACATTTTATTTAGTGTCAGTGGTGTTAAAATATCAAACATAACATTCTTTTTATTTTCTTCATAATATGGTGTATAACAATTGCAAGAGGCCCATGGGCCTTAACTGTCATCCGCCTATAAAGCCTTTTATTGAAAGAGGCAAAATAGGCCTAAAATAAAATGCTCAATTTCTGTACTGCTTACACAGAAGAAATTATTGGTTCAACAAGACATTTTCTGCAAATTTGAAATCATATTCTTTACACATGCACTGCATAATTGCCATTACTCTTGATATATCGCTTGTTGAAAAAGCAAGCTACAGGAGCCCCAATATCAAGACCCTTGGCCTTTTGGTTATTGAGAAGAAGTCATTTAAACATTTTAACATACTGGATACCTGTGACCTTGAAAATGGGTTGATGTCATTCATATTATATAAGTCGGTAGCCCTTTATCTTTCCATGCCACAGGCCTAATATCATCATCCTTAGCCTTTTGGTTATTGAGAAGAAGTCATTTAAAGATTTTAACCTATTTGATCCCTGTGATCTTTCAAGCAGATCAAGGTCATTCCTATTCACTAGGGGTTGAATCAATTTTCTAAATTTAAGAAATGATTCCCCACACATAGCGATGATTATGTCTAAATTTGGTTAAAATCCATTCAAGCATTAAATAAGAATAGCATTTGGAAGCAAAATCTTGTCTAACTTCCTCTTTTGGGCCCTGTCCCCAAGTCCCTATGGGTTGAATAAAATTTCTGAATTTAAGAAATAATTTCCTACCCTAATTGATAAACCAGGCCAAAGTTTGTTGAAACTCACCCAGGAATACAGGAGAGGAAGGGTTTTGAGAAATGCTTACCCTTAACCGATGATGAAGCAAACCAAATTTGGTAGAAAACCATCCAGGAATATGACAGATGAGTAGGGTTTTAAAGTAAAAGGTTTACACACGACGATGGATGAAACATGATGGCTATTCATTCTGTCGTGTTAAGATGTCACATACAAACACATAATATGCCCACTTTCAAAACAAAGCTAAATACATGTATAAAGCCAATAATTGAAATTTAAACACCTGAAATTTTCTTTGGCTTCTTTCAATAAACATTTTATTGAAACTTCGTGTAAATCTTTGCTCTCCATTTTCATAAATTTTACAACTTGAAATTAAACAATTAAGACATTTAAAGAAAAAAGACTGCTTACTGTCGAGTTCATCCTCCGATGATTTTTTGAGATGATCCTTAAATTGATCATTAAGCTCTTTGCTGACACTGATGTCCTGGAACATGCGCTGTAACTTTGATGTGTACTCAAACCCACAAGCTTGCTGTTAAAAATAAATTGTAAATGTTATATAAACAATGTTGAGCTGTAACTTGATGTACTATAACATATGTACCATAACTTGTTGCAATACTTGAACACTTGTGTTGTAACTTGGTTTGTATTCAAACTAACACACTTGCAACAACACAACAAAGAAACTTTACAAACTTTACATAATTCAATTTTATAATCCATTTGCCTTTTTTATATACACAAAACAGAATATTGATATTAAAAAATGTTAAAAACTAAAATGTACCTGGGTATATCCAAATTCTTAGGTGTGTACCAGAAAACACAATCTTGCATTAATTAACATATAATTCATTATATTAAGACATAGATGTTATACAAACAATCATGTTGGTACCTTTACAGATACAAGCAGAGCTTATTTAACAGATACAAACACAGCTTCCTTTACAGACATCTGGCTTCCTTTATAGATACAAGGACAGCTTCCTTTACAGATATCTAGCTTCTTCTATAGATAAAGGCATAGCTTCATATACAAAGAGGATCACTACTTTGACAAGACTAAGGACCGTTCAAGCATCAGAAGTATACTGACCTTTAGCTTGGAGATCATGCTAGCCTCAGCATCATCGCTGGCAGACATGTGTTGTACAAGCCGTTTGGCTAGCATCTTGCTGTAGAATTTCTGGAACACATCCTTGTCCTCAATGTACTTGAAAACCACCATCTATACAACAAAGCAATGGTCAGTTACTACCTCCATAAAATGAAAAACATTAAAAAAGTGAGTGATAGATGAATTTAAAATGTATGCATAATTTTACATTGTTACATGCAATCAACTTCACCATCTACCTTATCTAAATCAAAGAAATGATTTTGCTTCCAGAATCAAATAAATACAGCCACTCACAAAAAGACAAAGCCCAATGGAAATACTTCACTCAGTCTGATACATAATATACATTACTACTAAAAGCACTGACTGTTTCTATCATGTGTTTTTATGAGCCTTCTTGTATTGTCAATCATGTGGGAGATAATAAAGAATTCAAAGAATTGGGACTTTGAAATGTACTACATATAAGTTGTAGTACTTGATAAAATGTAGACAAAGTTATACTGTGATCATGAAAAGGACAAACTGGAAGATTGAAGGATCTGTTACTATCTGATACTTACAACTTGGTTTAAGGTATCTTCAAGTTCTGCCTCTTCTGGGTTCTTTGAACTGAAAAACGGATGGTCACAATTTAATTTATCTCGTTACAATTCAATTCATCTGGTCAACAAATCCAAATTTTAACCAATTACCAATTCATGTTCATAAGGAAAGATATTGCTATATATTGATACATCAAGAAGTTACTATATTTTTAATTTATACTTTTTTTTCGTACCAACTTACCAATAATTTTTTAATGATTAAATGTTACATTCAAGTTTTTACTAAAGATGACACAAGCATCAGCTACTAGTGAAAGAATATTTTGAAAGTTTTAAAATGAAAGAAAATAGTGTATTCAAATTCAGGGAGATTACAGAAATGTACAGAAATGTATTATGGGTAGATTGCACAAAGTGTAATGTTACTTTAAACTCCATTTTTCATATGTTGTACAATATTTGACAAATACTCAAAAGAAACTTCATTCAATAACATTTCACAGATCTTTTTTTCTAAAAGCACAAAAACTTTAATTCAAGATTGATCTCCTCTGACTAATCGAGTGCTCACCTCTTTTTGAGAAGTAGGTCACAGTATCGTGCCAGTAGCTCTGGTGATTTACTGGAAGCATTGGCTAGCTTGGTTACAGAGTTATTGTTAATGAACCTGCCACAGGCCTGGAAAAAAAACATTTATCAAATGTCAATCAACAACAACAAACTAGCAAAACAATGTCTCTAAGATCATCCTATAGAGCTGGGAATTGACACCTCACTCAAAAAAAAAAAAAAAAAAAAACCTTAAACTTTTAATTAAATTAATTAAAACAACAGTTTTTAAATCTAAAATTCAAATAGGTCAAATAAAAATGCAATCAAGTCCAGTGATATTTGATAACTGAACAAAAAATCACACTATGAAACAAAATTCTATAATTCTGGTGATTAGCTCTTTCACAAAATACTTTTTTTCTCTCTGAATTTTAACTTTGTGTTTTTTAAAGTAACTGTATAAAAACTAGTTACAGTCTTCATTACCTTATCAAGGGCAGCAACAAATCCAGCATCATTACTGAAGGCCGTCATGACGAGAGCATGGTACTTCTTATGGACATCAAGGATAGTCTGAACATACACTTTTGGATCCTACAACAAAAACAAGAGTTATTATCTCCAGTAATTCTGAAGTTGTGTTCTGGTATTTAACAATGGTAATGCAAGGTTACACTTAATTTTGAACAGGATGACTTATTAAAATTTGATTTGAAGATTTTTTTCATCTGAATAGGAGAAATGCAACATGTCAGCATAAATTACACCATTGAAAGTTGTTTTTCTATGTAATTATATACAGCTTTCTCATGGTTATATTAGCAAGTACAGATTCTCTTCAGGGGTATAAGGCCCATTGTGACTTACATTAAGGGCTGATTCTCCACATTTGTCTATAGCAGCCACTCCCTGGTTGTAAATGTGGGTCTCCAAAAGGGATTTTAGCTCTCCAAGCCCATCTTGAATCCTTGACACTAATTGGTACATACGCCCCAGATCTGGAACAACAACATTCCCTGCACATGTAATTGCCACCAGGTTTCAAGTTCAAAATACTTTCATTTAACAGGTTAAATTACACAAGTATATGGCAGAAAGCATAAATATTTCTACCAGACATTTTACATACCATAATTCAACCTCTATTTGGTAGATGGCAAAAATTTTAAGAATATGACTTATTACAAGCATGTGCCAGAGTCAATGTTAAAACAACAGTATAGTGCACTATTGTATTGTGCAATCAATAAAATGCATATGCTCTAACAAGGGGATAGAAAAATTACCTACTAGAACCCAGCTGTACAAGACAATTTCAATCGATAAATATCGAAACAGAAAAGGAAAGAAAAATTACCATCATTTTTGTCATCATCAAGCAGATTCTGAAACTCATAATGGAAAATCTCCAAGTGTTTCTCAATGAGGACTTTTTCACACTTGCGTGCTAAGACGTCCTGTGTGCTTTCATGCAGATACAGCTGGACACGCTTCTGCTCTTCCATCAACCGAGCTTCGGCCTACAGATAGCAATTTCATACAACAGGATAAAGAAATGATGTGCCAAATATTCAGAATGTCAAAAAGCAATCTTCTAAAGAATACATGTATTGAAAGTTTTAACCCAACATCACTTATAATATTTTCATGAAAATATGTTTTACAAATTTTCATAAATATAAATTGTTACTAAGAAGCACAAATTCATGCCAATGAGAAATGATGTGATACTCTACCTTTTTCATATATTCTGTAACTGGATTCTGACGTAGAAATTCTGTACTCTCTCGAGTGAAGAACCTTTCTGTATCATCCAGGAAGGGGGACTCAAAGTTTTCTTTGTAAACTGTCAATGTTGGCCCTTTAGCTGTAGGGTCTTCTTCATTTAGACCAAGTTCCACTGTGAAGAGAAAATTTACCAAAACATTTCAGACTACTTTTGAGATACATATACCCTTCCGTATCTTACTGTATTAAACATATTTAAGCTCGAATTGTGTAGTTTTCATGATCGCTCCCAGTTACCAGCGACTATATTTAATTTTTCTTCTTTCTTAACTAGTTATATGACTTCATAGGTTACCTCTACAAGAGTGTTTCAGCAATATCAGGACCCTTTTTCATTACTTTGGATATGGCCAATGGTTTTGAATTTGGGAGAAAAGTGTGTCAAAATCTCAAGTTGGGAAATCTAAACATAACGTATTTCTCTCCTACACTATCACAGAATCCCGAGTTAAAAGCTCAACCATTCTAATCGAGGACGGACGGTCAATAAGTTACACAATGGACAGCACCGTCTATTAGAAAATACTTTAACTATCATTCTTTGAAACTTCACTGATTGATAAAATAATACAGGTTTTGTCATTGGAAAAGGAGTCCATATTTGGTCCCAAATCCTGTGATAAAAATACCTCAATGCAGGTTATCAAGCAAAGTTTTGCAAGGAGCAGCAAAAATACAAAGTTGGTTCTTCAATATACAATTTATTATGCTCAAACCTGATCATTCATCTGTCAGATACAGAAATGATTATTTCATCTGATCCTTATACATTAACATACTATTATAATGAGACAAGTCAAGTCCATACTATTAATTTTTTTTCCTAAGAACGCTTTTAAAAAGTTGCTGATATTTACACTTATTCAACTTTTATTTTCACCATTTTTCAGTACTAACAAATGCCATAATCAAACAAATTTCAATGATGATCCACAATTATGAAAAAAGACCGATATTTCCGATACCAAGCACATTGCATGAACACAAGTGGAAAACACCTAAACAGAACTCACCATAGCAGTTGATGACACCACTCACTAGGCCAGTTTTAATGGTTTCTCCATTTCGTTCCTTCTCAATTAACTTTAGCACTGCATTTGTTACCTGTTTGTTCAGAGGCTTGAATAGATTGTCCTTCCAGGTTATAAGTGCAAGCTGTAACAATGAAAATTTCAGAGTGAGAGCAAGATCACAAATTTTCTTTGTAAACATGTCAAAAAAGAACAGCAGACTATGTCACTTATTTTGACATGTCCAACATTATCAAATTGATGTGTTTTTTTTCATATTTCATACAAGCAGAGACTTACATAGAGTATACATGGTCAGTGATTTAAAAATAAGCTTTATTTTGGCACGGGTTAAATAAGAAAACCTTGGTGAGCCATTATTGCCTTTCTATCCCCAGCCAGACTACAACTTAAATACTAAATAGTAAGACACTGACCATCTATTTGTGCAACATTCATTGAATAATCTGACTGTCAAAACTTCCAACAATTTCTTGTTCAATCTTTATTGATTACCTGATGCTGACCTATCACTGAATTTTTCCTGATGACATACACAAAAACACTTGCTCCATGCAAAACTATAGTTTAAAATTTTAGAGGACAAAACGACGATTTTAAGAATTTTCTCTTAATTAAACAACTATATATATATATTTTCACATCAATAGTCTGGTTAGTCAGAAAGCAATTTTGTCTATTCTGTCATTGCCAAATACAGAAAAAATACATGTTGAAGGTGTTCCCAACAATGGCAGAACCAGTTGTAGTATAAAAAGTTTATCTTAATGTCTTGTACTGCTTAACTTACAGAATAGATTTCATAGATGCCTTTGGTACCCTCATCACATTCACGTCGAACCCAGTGACGATTGAGGTAGGCACACACACCATTCAGCACTTTACTCGAGAACTGATAGTCCTCCCACTGCTTGGTGTAAAAGGACAACACTTGTTCGTCCAGCAGATCTTGCCCATTCTATAACAAAGGTACAGGTCATAAGGATTGTACAAAAGAGACTAGCCCCATAATTCAATAAATTTTGTAATTTTCATATATATATATATCTGATCCTTTTAGAATGTGACTGATATGTGTATACTATAAACTGTGCCATTATTTGGATGAATAATAACATGGCTTGCAAGTTACTGTCAACCTCAGGGACTAAAAATAATATATAGGAGTAGTGACTGACAGTGTAATGATGAAGACATGTATTCAAACATACATATTTTTTTTCAAAATTATTAATATCATAAAATTACATTTTGATAATGTAATGATATCATTTAAAAAGGAATTGAACTTAAAAGAGATGATATGACAAACCAACTGACAGGAAATATTTGAGGACTTCTTAATTCATATATGAACAGCTCAATGAGATATCACTCAATTAACTTCCTTGATCTATTATGACATGGAATAGCATAATTCGTTGTATAAACTGATAAACACTATCACACTTTCTTATAGAGACATACTGTTAACAAGTTGACGAGATAGGATTTGAGGAACTCTCGCAGTCTCTTATATAGCTCTAGGCCAACAAATTGTGCTCCTCCAGTGGGAGGTCTTTGGCGACGCCCAGCAGGTCCTCTGGCTTGCTGTTGACCACCTTGACCTGGGTTGTGGACACTTGTACAATAATTATAGACATGTCTGCATACAGGTTAAGGATCATGTTTTTTTTCTGGTATTTCAAATTTTGAGTTACTTCTCTATACGTCCTCTGCCAGACTGATGGTTCCGTTCCAAGAAAAGCACAACTTTCAATACTTTAGTATGCTGAAAATTCACACAAGTAATGTTATATCAGTATATGAGTATCAGCATTTGAAAGTAAGACTGTTAGCTATATATAGCTGTGTGACCTTGACAATTATATGTGTGTATTAAGGGATCCAAGGAAACTGTGCTTTAGCAATGTATAATAAAAGAGCAGGGATAAGGGATCACTGCATGGGGCGATCTGTTCCACAAGGTAGAAATTAGCCACTACATTTTTTCCATGTTCTTTTAATCTTACATTTGGTGTTGACTAAAAATTGGTGAAAATGATTACAAAAGTATCATATTATGGTATATTTATGGCACACTTAACACAATGTAACAAATGTATTTCAGGATGTCTACAACTGTAAAACAATCATACTACAGGAATACAAAGCTAACTCTACATTTTTTTGCTATGAAACTGTACACATTGGTCTATAAACAACAAAATAAATCTTGGTGAACATTTGTCTCATTTACTCAAAAATGGTAATTAAAACTAACTTAAATTTCAAACCACTGCCATAATTTGGCATTCTTTCATTCAAACTTGATCTTTTGAAATAACAAAGAGATTTAACCATTTCTATCACGTGAAATATTTCATATCATATCTTGGTGGGGGAATAAAGTTTTTTACTTGAGGCAACAAACTGACATAAACACTTTTTTTCTTGTCCAAATATGTGTTTTGCATAGCTTATTTCTGCTAGGTAATAAAAGGATACGTGTAGAGTTCCATGTATCGAGTCTTAGCCATACTCTGCCGTCTATAAACATGTTGAATGCCACCGCGTAGGTCATCCCAAATCTGGTCCAATCCTATCTGTCTTAACCCGTGTGGGTTTTGTGTTCTTGATGATCCAGACATTTTTATTAACAAAACTTATCACACTGTTTCAACAAAATAACTTATTTAAATTTAGCACAACAGAAACAACAACAGGTGGTAACAAAACTCCTTCAATCCCACTGGTATTCTAACAAAATCCAGAGGAGAAATTAGGTTTTATCCACACTTTTCCATGGTAGCTTATCCTAGATTTTCTGGAGACACAACCTGTAATAAAACATAAAAAATCTGCAGAGTGATTACAGCAACTAGTAAACTACAATCTATATATGAGCATTCAAAGTTTATAATAACTGAACTTGTGAACAATATTGAAAATAACATACACAGTTACACTGCATAGCTGTTTCTTCATCCTTAATACTCGAGGGGTTATGATCATTTTCGCTCTCTGTAGCTTGAAAATGTCATGGCAAAATCGAAGATTTCATGTGCGACACCTTGTGGATGGGAGAAAATGACTAGTGTGGTCTTTTTTTCCTCCTGAACCAATCAGATTACTTCATTTGTGCCTTCAATGTTGCCACGACATGTTCCAAGGGTGCAGAGAGCTGAAGTAATTGTAACACCTGAGTACACAGGATGCTGTTTCTTATGAATAAATATATTTCAATTTCATAACAAAATTCAGTTTTAACATAATACATATACATATAATAGGCTACTAGCAATTCCAGCCATTCTTAATGATTAAAATAAGAAAAGAATTAAATTTTTATTTTGTGTAATTGCTAAAAACTAGATGTTGACGTCTATACCACAATCAATATGCACAGGCTCACCAAATCCTAGTTCTATTCCATATATATAAGTAGACTGTCACCAGTTTTAGTATCAAAGACGTTTCTTAAACAAAGTAACACGCGTTTACCAACAGAGTTTAACGTGTTTGAGGATTGGGGAGGGGTATAATTAAAAAAATAGGTTTGGATCTAGTAATTTTCATTTTCGAAAATCGATTTTCAGTACAACTAAAAAACCGTAAAATCACGTCTCCAACAAAATCTGATAAGATATAGGCATACGAATAAATGACTTTCGATCAAGGTACCAAGTGATATATATCGAGAAATGTATATCTATAATAGAAGCTGAGTCACTCAAATGTTTGTATATTGGCATTTTTCTGTGAACAATATGGCGACCAAACAAAAAAGGAATTTCGAAACATAAATGTTATTTCCATATTACAACCTAAGGTTCCATGTACGACATCAAAAGTTTATAGTGAGAAACGCAATCTTACAAACAAACTTGTCTCATTTAAATCCATTTTCAAGCTATACGATGTTCGTCAAATCCCTCGAAGAATGGCCTAGTTTTTCCCACACGGTCAGACTATTTCCCTCTTTTTCAGATATAGTTATCTCCCTTCTACAGAAATATTCACCGCTAGGCGAAGTTAAATCTGAAAAATAACCGATAACAGGGATATCTTTGAAATCTAATAAGAAAATTTTATACAGAATCAACATACACATAAAAATTGATTAAAAATTCTTCATCTTTGCAAGTACAACTTTTGACAACATATTATAGTGAATATATACAATGTCAGATATTTATCGATTATATTTTCCTTCTGTTCATTGATCACTTGACCATTACTCACAGCGCCACCAAGTGTTTACTGAGACCGTGATTGAGCAATCTCACAATATTTCCACAAAAGGACAGTCTTTAGAAAGGACACACAGCACAAGAATGTCTGGTAAGTCTTCAGTGGAATAAAAAATATGCATTAATTTTATTTGATGTTATAGATGTCAAGTAAATAAGTTTGAGATGGATTTTTACAAGACGGGTTGTCACCAGGGCAGGAAGAGAGAAGAAATGTAAACAAACAACTAACCAATAGGTCAAGTCGTGGGTTGATCTGTGTGTTTAGTGATGATAAAGCTGATTTCACATTTTATCTTTTCTCTTTTTATGCGACATTGTATTTTATTGATACAGTCTTCCGTTTCAATATTTTGACATCTTTCTTTCATTAGGAAAAGGTGGTTATCCAACACAGCCCCCCTATCCGACACAGCCATCTGGTGGGTACCCACAACAACAATACCACCAACAAATGATGCCACAAGGCTATGCCATGGGACCACAGCCATCAGCAGGTAAATGTTTTCTTCCTTTAAGACAGATACTTCGTTTTAGTCTCTGATCCCTGCTGTTCCTGTGGACTCGCTCTGATATTGAGAACCACCCTACTTTTTCTTCGCTGGATTTGTAAAATATTGAAACTGATGCTCTGGACTCATCAGGATAAAGAAAATTCTACGAAAATAACTGAAGCAAGTGTCACTTGAAAGTAAAAAAAAATATATAACGACCACACAAAACATATCAATAGCAGCAGACATTCTGTAATGTAAAAAGAAAGAGTTAATTTTCATTGGAGATTTATTTTCATTGACATTGTGAGTGCAATATATCCACGTACTTATCTGTCCTCAAAAAGATAAACAAATAACAGTTGACTAGGATTATATTGCTAGTGGTTTTTGTGAGCAAGGTTTTCCCATGAAATCCAAGTCGGAAAGAAAATGTATCTTTTTAAGAACTTGTTTTAATGACTTGTAAAACTAGTGTTATCATCAAAATATCTATCCTGTGGTCAGTTTTGGGTGGAAATGCTCCCAGCCAAACCATCTAAATAGAGCACATCAGGAAATCAGGAATTGAAAGGTCACTGGATCATAGTAATATGCCGGGTATTGAGTAAATACACAAGTGTATGCTGTACATTATGCTTTTTGCTTGGGTTACAATTTTATTACATCATTAAACTGCTTTGTGTTGATTTCATGATTTACACAAATATTTCATTCTGTAACACAAACTTGTTTTGATGCAATCAGGGCTGTACAAATGTTTATAAATTGATCAAGCTGGGTTTATAAAGAATTTTACATGGAAAATTGAATTGTCTGAAATCCATAAGAACAGAAGTAGTGATTTTGTAAAGTTTTCTTCAAAAACATCCCATGAAATCCTAACGTGTGCAGATTATCCCTTTAATTGGGTTAAAATCATGGTAAGATGGTAAGTCCAAGCAAATTTGACATTGAAGTCAACCTGATTGACTTCATCAGTCAGTTGATTCAATGCGAGGTATGCTTTTAAAGATTGAGATATTTAGACCTAAAAAACAACCTATGCATTGCCACTAATTCATATGGTTAAAAAAATCCAAACAAATGCAAAATACTTATATATATATATAGAGAGAGAGGGAGAGAGAGAGAGAATACATGGTCAGTGTCTTAAAATATAAGCTGTATTTTGGTTAAAATGAAAAAAGACAAAAGTGTATTCTATTTATCCTGCAAAATTGATTGAAAATCAAACTATTGAAACTTAAACAGTTTTGTTGTTCAATCTTTGCTCACCTGACATTGATGTTATGCTGAATTTTGCCTGATTATGGACGCCAAAATAATTGCTCCACATGGTACATAGTACCAGACCTCCTCGGGTATAACAGCAATTTTATGGATTTTCATAAATCAACATGTTTATTACAACAAGTAAGGTCGCTTATTTCAACAACTGTTTATATTTCTGAATGTTATATTTAAGTGAATTCAGAGAGTAATTCTGTTGAATTACTGCGCATGCAAAAATACAATTGTTTTCTGTTACACAGCAAAAATATATCTGGGAGGTCTATTCCAACAATGGCAGTGACAGTTGCAGGATAAATATATATATATATATGTATTTATATATGTATGTCAATTTGAATTTTTTTTTTTTTTTATAGTTTTTACTAATATGTGGTATATTGTTATAAGTTATTAAAAAAAACTAATTTTTTCCAGTGATGCAGCCTCCAGCCTATGCCTCTGCTCCACCTCCTCCGTACACACCTGTAGCCACAGTGAGTACCTACCAGTACTATGTAATCTAGAATATAAGTCCCTTCCCAGTACTAATCTCCTTTTGGAGATAACAAGATAGCAACATTCCACCAGTGTGTGTTACTCTCCATTTGGTGCTATATATCTTCATTTAGAAATATCAGCATCTTTGAAATATTCTGTTATAAATGTGTATTAGCTACAAATGTAGATGGATCCATTAAATGTCCGAGAAGTAAAATGTTTCTGGTTAAGACATAAAAATCAAAGTTTTCCATGATTAACAATATGTTCCCTCTGTCAGTGAGATTGAGGGGAGGATATTCTTCCATTCTACTATAGAAATATTTTTATGAAGTATGCTCAATAACAAAGGAAACCCTACCTATACATTATGCAATATTTCTAAAGAAGATATACTGGGTAATCATGCTTCAGTATTACAATCATTTAGATTAGCTATTAATGATAAGAATACAGACCTCTCTCATTTATTGTGTTGCCTACAGAGCTGGCGGATACTTAGGGATCAGTTTGTCCGTCGTCAGTTGGCGGTGGTGGTATCAGTCGTCCGTACGAAAGCTTTCCGGTAATGCTTTGCAGTATCAAAATGAAATTTGGCATATGGCTTCTTGTTGCAAGGGTACAGATTACGTTCGATTCCCAGCTGTCTGTGATCTTGGCTGAGTTATGTCCCTTTGAACTTGGAAAATTTCTCAGGAATATTGCTTTGCGCAGTTTTCCCTATATGCTTAAAGTTATAGAAATGAAATTTGGTATTACAACTTTATAGTTGATTGTTACACATCCAGTTCAATTTCTGGGTGACTGTGACACTTTATGCAGGCGACACATACAGTTCTGAGGAACTCTTGTATTGTTAGAACTATCAAATCAGTGTTACAGTTCTTCAGTGAAACTGTAATGTAATTATATGTTTCCTTGAAAAGTGATTTTGATGGTATGTAGACTGCAAAGAGTTTTTGTATGATCTTATACTCCTTCTGAAGTACATTTCTGCTATAAGAACATTTGATTTTCTAGTCTATATACTACCATGCCCCATTCCAAGGAAAGCCTTCATTATAAGAGTTTTCTTTTCTAAAAAGACAGTGGTACAATTATTTGGCTGTAAACTAAATACAGTAGTGTATTTCTTGTTAAATGTCTCAAAATCAAAGAAGTATGCAAAGGATGAAACCATCAAAAATGTGGTAAGTGGTAAGATCTTTTAATAGACCTATACCTATACAATTTTTATGCAAGATTTGGACAACTGATAGATGAATTTACCACACATGGTTTCAAGTGATCCTGGTTGATAAGGGTTATAGGGGATCATTTTGCTCCATATGAAGTTGATCATGTTTGCTCAATGGTTCCAATGTCGCTCACCTTTTTCTCTTTTGGGAGCATGACATTACTTACTTTGATTGACAAAGATTTACACAGCAGATACAGTCTGTTGCAAAAGATGTTTATCCTGGAATATCTGATCTTCTCCTTGATATATTGTCATAGTCTCATTGAATTTAGTTTGAATTTTCTATGTTCGTTTTCTACAGAACCCAATGCCACAGCACTATGGTGGGCAGGCCCCACCCCCAGCTGTATACTACCAACAACCTCAACAGACCGTAAATGTTGGTGCAACTTTTGACAATGGGTGTAGATTTGATGGAGTAGCTCAACCAAGAATCCCTGTAAGTATTTCTATTGAAATAGTCTGTTATTAACCATCTATTCCTGTATCCTACAGAAATATATCATTACCTAGAGTTTGAGCCCACATATAGATTTTGAAGCAATCTTCTGGCATGACATTTTTTTTCATAGTAAATATTAATTTTTTCTGGCCTTGAGTCTTACTCAAGGTCTATTAGATGCCAGTTTTATGTTTGTGGTACATTTGTTTTTACATTGTTCATTCCTGAATCAAAGATAATGGCCATGAACCAAGCCACTGTTGATTATTTTGTAAATATCTTTGTATACCAATATATATGTAATGGAGCCCACTATTGCAGTTAGTGTTTATAAATTGGGCCAGGGTTCACACCAGCTTTTGACATTTTTGTTCCATTTTTCCCCAAATTTTATTTTGTAACATCAATTTGTAAATTTCTATTTACAAATGTTGATAAGAAAGATTACATAGTTCACTACAGTAAACTTTTTTATGTTGATTGTTTATCTTTTTATTGATATTTATCATATAGAGTTTTTCATATCCTTAACTGGGTATCAAGGATAGATTAAACTAACATAGATTGTAATATGATTTATAAATGAAAGTATACCATATTTAGTTTATCAATTCTGTAATCATTGATGACCTATGTATTGATATTAACCAGGTGTAAGTTGTACTTCCTTGATATACTGATGAAATATGACGTATTGTTCTGATCAATATATTTCAGTAGTATAGACTGATGTCACCTATGTTGACAGATATACATTATTGTATTGATAATGATCTCCCATAATCAGTTGTATCTGTGATTTTCTGTTTCATTTGATTATCAGTAACAAAAACCATGTCTCATTTGAGAATACAATATTGATTACTGATATTGTCTAGGATTACATGGCAAGCTTTCTCAATGAATCAGAACACTGAGTACTTTGTCCATCTCTCCTTCCTTCCTTCCTTTCATCTGTCCTTCTGCAATCTTGTTCAGACTCATTCTCCTTCAATACTTGTCACTGGATCACTCTGAGCTATATTCTAACCTTTGATCTACATCAAAGAAAAAATTGTCTGGGTTATATTTCCAACATTGTTTGTCATTGGAATTTTATACTTGACCACAACCTAGACAGAAATAAAAACATGGGTAGATATTCAGAACTGTTTCAACTATCCCATACACCTTGTATTGACAAGTACATAATTCACCTAGCTGATACCTTAACAGGAATGGGCTCCCTGAAGGGACAAATTGATTCTTTATCTCCCTGAGGGTCATTACCTTCATAACTGAAAAGGATCTTTATTCACGGGAAATATTGTCGGCCTCCAGATTTAATGATAATATTTTGCAAAATGTGATAGACAAGACTGCTGGCGTGAACCCTGTGCCATTAAAGTTGATGGAATGTAGCTTATTCTTCTACCACCAGTGTAAGTATTTACGTTATATATTGCAAGCATTAGTTTCTTCATGGATTTGTGCTGCAATTGTATGGAATGACATACAGAGAAAATCCTGTTCTTTGAACCTAAACTATCCGAATATCCTCATGTACTGTTAATGAATATTGTATTGGTTTTAATCTTGTAATATTGGTGTTAAATCAGGAACTCAGATTTATTTATTACTTACCTCTTATAGAATGAAAGATCATTTCACAAGAAAATTTCAAAGATTTTACTATACAAACAATGCTTGATATTCACAATTTTATTAACTTTTTTTTCCAATACAGAGACAGAATACACATGATTAAACTGAAATATTCTGACAAGTTCTTGATCATTTGTTATATTCCAATACGTTATTTTGATGACATTTATTTATTTGTTTGTCTATATCATAATAGGATTGAATTAACATTTCTTCATAATTTATTTATTGATTCGGTCAGACCCCCCAACCCCCCCCCCCCCATCCCCCAACCCCCCCCCCAAAAAAAAAAAAAAATCAAAAGACTAAGTCCCATCGCAAAGGTAACAAAAACAAGCACTTATGATAAATTGTCTTTATTCATGACTTTTTATTGTTACACATCCTAATTTTCTTTCAACAATGAATTGCAGCCACCTCCCCCTGGTTACCTCCCTAATCAGGCACAGATGGCTGCAGCCCAAGGTCATGCAGTAAGAGGAACTACACGTGGATATAGAGAGTGTGACGGGGGCTTCACCTGGTAGAGTGCATGTGATGAGGACATCACCTGGTAGAGAACTAAGATAAAGCAAGTGTGATGAGGGCTTCACCTGGTAGGAAAGTGGAGATTTATCAGAATCCTCGACAATTGTTTATGAAGTATGAGGACCAAGGAGAAGGGAATACCTAAAAAACATTAGTAAATACAATTAATAGGAAATGTGTGTGCTAGATTTTCTTTTACATCTGAACCCAAAAATGTTTTGTAATTTAATAACAACATTAAATGTACATGTGAGTGCAGTGAATTTTAATGTTTTGATCATAATTTCTGTCAATCTAAAGGGAGATAACTTTTCGTTCTTACCCAAAATTGGCCCCCAGTTTACCAGTTAGTATTAAGAATATGAGAGAAAAGTTGTGATCAATGGATTTGACCCCCCCCCCCCCTTTTTTTTTTATACTTTTACACAGATATCAATTATCTCTAAAGAAACAGAAAATTATTGTCAGAATATTTTGTCAATGAATTGTGTATGAAAATGATTTTGTTCAAATTTGAGAACCCCTGCCTTCATTCCAAATCACTAGAATCAAATGTATCAGATTACTTCAGAATAAAATGTATTGAGGATTTATAACACAATAAAAATCAATATAAAATGTAAAAACTTCATTGTGATATTTCTTATCTAATTGTAATGTTCCCTTTTCACAGAATTTGGTACTAATGAAGGAGGTGTATTTTACCTCTGGGTTATTAAATGTTTAAATGATAGACTGTTTATAGATATTAATATGGCACATTACTACCCAATATTTAAAGCCTTTTCATCTTGAAATGGAATTAAGATTTCAGAATTATTGATAAATTTTGTACTTCAGACAAGCAATGAAGGAGTAAAAATGACAGGTACTTTTGATTGACAATTCATAACATTTGCATGATATGTTTTAAGGATTTGGATAATGCAGCCACATTTGCTCTACCTACAGTTATCTGTGATATATATACCAAATGGCATGAATTTCCCAATCTGCTGTCAGGAATGGCTTGCTTTTGCAAATACAATGTATCTAAAACAGAGGACCATATTAAACTGATTTCATTTCAAATAATTGATTGAGATACATGAAACATAGTTAAAATACTCATATTTCAAATATTTCATTGTGTCGATAATGGATTTTATGTATAAAACATTATAAAGAAATCTTTGTGTATTAAACCTCAATCCTTTAAAGAATTCCATTACAATTAGCATAGTCTCTGGCATTGTTAATTTTGCTTGGACTGTTGCGATGTTTCAGGGCAAAGTAAATGGCAAAACTCTTAACAATTTGAGCTAGCCGTTGAAGATGATTGGCTGACAATTTTCCTTTCCTTTCTTTCTGTTATTTTTTGCAGTAGATAACCAGTGATCTAGGTTAGTGATTACTTGTATTTTTCCTCTCAAAACATGAAATTTATCATAAACTGTACATTCAATCATAATTCCAACATTTCTGAGGATGGGAGATCATGAAAGTTATAATTTATAATGATTTTTAATTAAATCATGCAATTTTAAGTTGCTTTGGAATTTATTGTTTCATATTTATACCTGTTGATAAATAATAAATTTGTTTTTTTAAAGACAGTCTAGACCTGATTTTGTTATTATTTTACATTATACTTCATGGCCTGTGATTAGAATGATGAGTTATGTTCTCTGTCAAAATGACACTAGATACATAGTGGAGAGAGTTCTTGTCTGCAGACTTAAATCCTGCTGTAACACATTTATGTGTTTGCTGTTGTTGATTAACAAATTTTATTTGAAAAATGAGATGAAAATGCCATCAATCAGGCTTGTTTTATTTCAGACCACTATTTCTTTGCTAAAATAGGTGATACGGAGGCCATGTAATAATCATGGAAGGTTTGTTCTTGTTACATTGAATTATAAACACAAAGAGAAATGTACCAAGGTTGTTTGAAAATTAGTCTAAATTAAGAAAGAAGAAAAATCCTTCCAGGAAAGCCATCTAAATGGACTTTGTACGTATTGGATTGGTCAGTCAGAAAGAGTTAAAAATATCTCGGGTCATCAGAGGTAAGAATAAAAGAATGAAATGATGGTTGTCAAGACAATGAAATTTTCATTTAATGCAAAGTAGTTTCAAAGTTGGTATGATGAACTTGTAAGGTGATTATGTCTTGGCCAGTTGCTGTATTGTATTCCCATAATCTATTCACAAATATCTGTTGAACTAGCGTGAAATGTGGTCTTTCTCTTGTTATTTTATTTTTAACTTCAAAAGAAAAAGCATCTTCTGAACAGACAAGTGTTTCTCCTTAATTGCAGCCACCTCCCCCGGGCTACCTCCCCAACCGAGCACAGCAGGCCACGTTCCAGGGCCAGGCAGTACAGGGAACTCAGCGCAGGTATAGAGAATTTGATGATGACTTTACCTTGTAGACAACGGAAGGACATTACCAAACATCAAAATCTTACCATAAATGTTTTATGGTTTCTGTTTTTTTTTTTTCACAAGAAAAGTCCCAGTCATGCAAGTTTAAATAATCATAGTTTTCATTGTATTGTATGGCATTCCTGAAGGTATATCTAGAAAGAATTTTTTCGAAGATTGATTAAAAAAATGAAACATGCAAAAATCTCTCACAAAGCCATAAATTTAAAGAAACTGATAATTACAGACGGTTTATTTTTTCTTCAGTGGTATTTGAAAGAAGTTTGATTCTTTTATAAGCCCACCATCTGATGATGGTAGGCTATACAAATCGCCCTGTATCTGTGGTCCGTCCATCCATTGTTCGGTCGTCCATTCGTCAACTATTTTAGAAATCACTATTTCTTGAGAATACTGGATGGATTTTTCCCAAATTTCATGTGTCGGTGCCCTTTGGTCTCTTCTTGTGCCCTTTTGATTTTGGGACTGATCAGAAAAAACAAAATGGCTTTCAGGTGACCATCTTGGATTTGGCAAGTAAAGATTATCATTGTGATTTTTGCTAAGGAATGTTCCAATATCTTACCATTAAAAGTAAAAACAGAGAAGAGAAAAGAAGAGATAAGATCCAACATTCAAAGAGCAAATAAAGATCACACAATGGTTGGTGCCAAGATCCCTCTCGGATCTCTTGTATTATGTGGATAGTTCAGTTTTCATAGAATGGTAGGATTTGCAGATGTTATGGTAATTTTGACTACAATCTGTGATAAATCATCAGCATTATTATCATGTTAAACCAGCATCAGAAACCATTCTTTTTTGTAGACATTTTATATTGTAAACAACTTGATGTCAGATATTAATGATTTTATTTTTTGTAAGAAGTCTATTTCCTAATGAATTTCCATTATGTAGCTACTTACTTACCTCATGCACACATATCAAATAGAGGGCACTAAATATATATTCGGAATTTTTAATTCCCTCACAGCTGAAGCATGTGAACCATAATTTCATTTTATTTCTTTTCATATTGCTACTCGGATATTTTGTTTTTTTATTTGTTTAACAAATGTTAATTTTGGTAGGGAGTATCTCACAGATACTCCTAATGCCAAATATTTTCCTTGAATTGTAAAATAGATGCCTAGGCTATACTGCTCAGTAACACTATGATGTCAGAAAATCAGAATTTTCCTTTTGTGTGTGAATAAGTTTATGGGTATTGCCAAAATGTCTGTGTCCAGAGAATTAGAAAAAAATATGTATTTATGAGCAAAGGAACATTTTAGGTTCTGGTTGTGTAATTTCTTGAAATAACTTGAATTTGTGAAGAAGGTGGTAGTTATACCAACATGTGAAAATTGAATAATTTCATAGGTCCTGCATTTTGTACACAAGAAAAAGTGCATATCCAATTTCTATAGAATTTATACAAGATATTCATACAATGTTCATTTTAATCAAGTCATGACAACTAGTAGCAGACAGTCTGTTGGCACAATTTTTAGATATCTCATTTTTGTATGATTTAATTGTAGTGCAGTATATCTGTTTGAGTCTGTTTCTTTTTGTTTATTTGTGATAACAATCTCCATTTTGTGTCATAATTTACAATCAGATATGTAGATTTGTTGTTCATCTTAAGCTGTTGAATTAATGTTTAAATTGTTTTTAAGTTCCTTTAAAAGTAAATTTTACAATATACATTCAATCCAAATTTCTTTCAATGTTTATTTTTAGAATGTATAAACTTGTAACTTATACTTTGTAGTGTAAATGTTGTTCCTAATAAGTTTTGAAAAAATTATTTCTGTTTTCATTCCTTGTTTTCATGAATAAAACTTACTGAAAAGACATACATTGTGTGGTATCTTAATTCCTTTCCTTACGTTAAAAAAGAGAAATTCAGATTGAAGGTGCTGCTTTCATCCTCATACGTCCATAAACAATTTAATATTGTCGACTACTTCTCAAAACCTCCTGAACTGATTTCAATGAAATTTTGAAGAAACTTTCCCTGGCATAAGATGAAACAAAATATTGAATTATATGGTCCCCACACCATGGGGGCCTGAGGACCACGGCCAAAAGTGTTAAATTTACTCAAATTTCAAAAATCTTTTTCTCAACACCAAGATAAGGTATAATCAAATCCTCTTCATGGTTGGAAGCATCTTAAGGTGGTTTACAAAAATTGTGAATTTCATGGCCCTAAGTCTCACATTTCTCTGTGGAAACGGGGTAAAGTTTATTATAGTTTATATAGGATTTTTGAGCATAATCTGTTTAATTTCCATACAAAATATTTCAAACTTGGTTAGGATTGTGAGTGAAGGATGATGGTTTGATGACATGCCCATATTGATCCTGGTTTACCCACAGAGACTGATGGGTATGGCCAGAAGGGGTCAAAGTGACTGAAATTTCAAAAATCTTCCTTTCAACACCAAGATTTGGTCAAATCAAATGCTTTTCTTGGATGGAATTGTCTTAAGGTGCTTTAATTACCAAAATGGCTCTCTCATGTCTTCCTGGAGAGGAGATTAACTTAACTTTAATTTTTACAGAAAAATTGCATTTTGAGTGTATCGTTGTTTATTTCCCACTGGAAATAATTTTGTAAGAATCTTCTTCCTCATTTTTTTTCATCAATTTATCGGAAACTTGACGACTTTATAACCATTACATAAAATGTGGTGTCCTCACTGGCATTGTGGTTTTACAATTTTGGAAAGAGTTATTGCCCTTTGTGTGTGGAACAACTTCAGACAGTTTCTGTGAGCTTGGTAGGATTGAAAACCATTACAGTATTTCAAAACAGTTATTGCCCCTTGTTCTTTTCAGCATTCTAATCTTGTCCAGAAATTTCCGCCAGGTTTCCACCCATCTCTTTAAAACCTGATATGCTTTAATTGAACATTAATGTAGATAGATGTGGCTGCATTTTTTCTCTTAAAACTTTGATTTATTATTACCATTTCCATATATCTATGTTTTTCGTTACAATAAACTCTGAATATTTCTTTGGCATGGAACGGGCGTGCCGTCCGGCAGTACTCGTGTTATGTTTGTTCATAAAATAAAGCTGATGGAACTTCAGAATAATTTGGACTACTCTCCACAAGAAAAAATGGTAGATCGCATTATATGTAGTCCCTGATACCCCAGTAACACCTAATGATTTACTGAAGTTCGAGCCCGAGTTATCAGAAAGGTCGTATTAAGACATTGACTGCAGGGAAATCATCAGCTAGCCGTTGTAACAATATAAAAACAAAAGAAATAAAAAGGAAAAGGTAATTCCGTTCCCATTGGGAAAAAGAAAGAAAGAAGAAAATAAACTTCATTTTCAACTGGCAAGAAGGTTAAATAACTTTGGCACAAATAACTTAACATGTTAAAAATGAGTCTTTTGTTGTTTTAAATGTTTCTAGTTAAGTGTAAAGATATTTAAGATGCAATGACGAGTCATGTCAAACTGAAAATAACGACGAAAATGTTTGTATAAAGATGTATTGACATTACCAGTCACCATTTGATGGATAGCTTGATCGGGAATGTTTCGAGATTTTGTCGAAAAATAGTATAACCAAGAACAAGAGGCCCAAGGGCCTGAACGGTCACCCGAGTTACAAAAGCGCTTGTGTTACTTGTCAAAGAAATGCTTTTGTGAAAAAGGTAAGATAACTTTAACTACATTGTACACACAATGCAAATGAAAATTGTGCAAAACATTATCTGCTGTCCCATGCTAAGGCTTTTAACCAAGTTTGAATCAAAAGAAATTAAATTCACTCTATATCAAATCTTTGACCCATTTTGGCCCCGTCCTTCAGCCCCTGGGGTCAGCATAGGTCAATATGTGCATAACATGAAACTGCCAGCTTATACTGATAATTTAAACCAAGTTTGAACTATTTCTGAAATGTGGAAACATGCTCAAAAATATCTATTTAATATATACACTATAGTAAATACCCCCTTCCTCCTCCATCGGAAATGGGATACCTTGGGGTCATGAAATTCACAATTTTGGTAAAGAGCTGTAAGACACCACCATCCATGAAGAGTATTTATTTCTACTTTATCCGGGGATTGAGAAGAAGATGTTTGAATTTTGAATAAAGTTTGAATTATTTCTGAAAGAAAATAAACAACTTATGCTGATCAAAGAAGCCCATTTTTCATGGTCTTAACGATCATCTGATTGTTAAGACTTATATATGCAAGAGGTCAATGTGCCTATAAAATTGCTCAACTATTCTATAGATTTGTTGGTCTATAAAACATTTTCTGTAATGTCATATTCCTAATATACACACATGCCATTACTCCGGAACTATTTCTTGTTGAAAAATATATTTTCCGATCACAACTCATTTCACTCAAGAGACCTTGAATATAAGTCAAGGCCCTTCATCCACTTCAAGAACCATTACCAACAGCCTTGGCCATTTTATTACTGAGAATAAGTCATTTGAAGGTTTTAACACATTTGACCCATGTGACCTTAAAAAGAGCAATGGTCGATTCCAGCATGACGCAGACCCAATGTAATCACCCTAAACCTTTAGGTTATTTAGAAGAAGTTGTTTAAAGATTTTGACATATTTGACACATGTTACCTTGGAAAAAGGTCAATGTCAATAATATTAATACACTTGGTAGAACTTCATTTCAGCATGCTACTGGCCAAATATCAGCACTCTTGGTCGTTTGGTTATTAAGAAGACGTTGTTTAAAGATATTGACATAATAGGTACCTGTGACCTTCAAATTAATTCAGGGTAATTAATTTATACAAACTTGGCTGTCCTTCACCCCAGTATGCCCGAGGCACCCTGTGTCTTTTGTTTATAGAGAGGAAGTAATTCAAACATCTAACAATATTTGTTTGACAGTGGGTCAAGGTCATTCGTTTCATTAGTCCTTATGCCAGCATGATACAGGACCAAGATCTGCACCTTGAGCCTTTCGGTTATCGAAAAGTTTTTAAATATTTCAACACATTCGGCTCTTTTGACCTTGAAAGTAGATCATGATCATTCATTTAAACAAACATGGCTTGGTAGCCCTTTATTTCATCATATTACATGCCCAATATTAGTACTCTGGCCCTTTTGATTATTGAAAAGAAGCCGTTTAAAGAGTTTGACCCCTTTGACATTGATATTGGGTCAATGTCATTCATTTTATCAAACTTGGTAGTTCTTCATTCCAGCATATTACAGGCCCAATATCAGCAGTGTGGGTTTATTAGTTATTGAGAAGATTTCGAAAATGGCAATTGTTTCGGGACACACGACGCACACCGCTGACACACGACGGACGGCGCAGGACAAAAGGCAATTGCAATAGGTCACTTGAATTTTCGTCCCTTGTGATATAAAAACTAAAATACTATTATAGTCTAATTTAGACGCTGACTATGCATAATTTTGGACAAGTAACTATCATGTATATTTACGTGAGCGATGTGTAAAAGAGGCGATTCAATATTTATTTAAGGCAGTGGTTTAATCAAGCGGTTAAAGCAAGCGATCACCTAGATTACATATGGAATAGTCGCGACGTCCCGGGGACGCATACAGTACTCAGAACCCCCGAACAATTAGCTAGTACACATGCCTGAAAATAATTACTTTTTGCTGCGTTTCGTTATATAGCAGAAAAAATGGCTTACATTTTTCGTCTGTCACATACATCCTCGATACCCGAGGGATTCCAACCACTTTTGCTCTCTGCACCTATGGAACATGTCATACAAAGTTGAAAGTTCAATTTGTAAACATCCTATGGACAAGACAAAAAGATAGTTTGATCATTAAATTTTGATATACACCAAACGAATCTCGAGGTCGTAAAACGATATACTGTAGTGAATTTGAAGTTGTGTGTCTTCAAACGGAGCGTATCAGCTTGTAATTGGTCTGGTTTTTTTCTCCTGGAACCAATCAAATGACTTCATTAGTGCCTTAAATTTTGTTATGACATGTTCCAGGACATGGCAGTATGGGAGGGGCAAGTTATTATCCCTGACAAATTGACTTTCTTTTTCACTCTATCAGATGGTATTGCGATAAAATTGACAGTTGATAGGACTGAGAATGTTATGAATATGTCAGAGGTTGAATGATATGAGAATACTTACTACTTGTTGAACAACAACCCGAACCAAAAGAAATGAAATCGAACCAAAAGAAATGAAATCGTCATAAATGTCTTAACATGTATTTGTTTATGTATTAATCTAAAGCCAAACCCGCAAGTCAAGATAAACATACATATTTTCAGCATCCGAAACGAACACTACCCCAGCCACACATGCTCATATTGCAACAGTATGTATTTTCTTTATGGCAACAGTAAATACTACAGGTGTTTTTGCCATTCCATCGTGATAGCAATTAAGGTTAACGTCCAACAACAAAATTAAATATAAGAGAGAGAGAGAGAGAGAGAGAGAGAGAGAGAGAGAGAGAGAGAGAGAGAGAGAGAGAGCTATGAAATACTTCATGTTCTACCATGAAAGACCAAGAAAGTGCGTACGTCGTAGTTAGGGCTCGATATGGGTTATGGTACGGGTGGTGGTATGGGTAGTGGTATGGGTGGTGGAAACCGCGATGATTAAATGGACCAAGATGCTACATCATAGCTTGTGTATGTATATGTAGAAAAAATGAGACCTCGTGATTCATTTGTAT